GTGAGTAATTTATGGTAAAAACCTACAGCATGCAACATTCTTCTCCTCTGCATGTTCAACCACTTTAAAACCGGCAGCTTACAGCTGACGTGATCTCTGCGTTTCAACCCAAAAATTAGTCTGATACAGGTGTTTTGTACCTTTTGAATTTTCCTCTTCAATGCATAGGACAGAAAGGGTGCATACAATGCATCGCCATAATTAAACATTGATAGTACTAAACTTTCGCATAGGCGCACTGTTGCACTATGATTAACAAAGGCTCTGTTAGTATAAATAATTCTAAGGCTACTGTAAGCTCTTTGAACGCATTTATTGACGTGTTCATTAAAAGTAAGGCCCTCATCGATTAAAATGCCTAAGTTTTTTACTGTTTTTTGAATAGGTAGTAATTCGTTATTTACACAAATTTGTAAGTCATTAATGACTTTTTGTTTTTGTTTCTGAGGACCAAACATAATAACGTTTGATTTTTTCTGATCACCTATAGATGAATTCCTCTTTATTTCGGAGATATCGAAGGAATTAAAAAAAATGATAGTCATGACGATTTAACGTTTGACAAATTAATGATTTTTGTACTGTCTTATTCTACCAGTATTCGTAGAATATCTCATACAACGGAATTCCTCAAATCAACGTATGGAGAATTCTGCACTATGATGGACTTTATCCCTATCATTTACAAAAAGTCCAGCATTTACTTCCTGAAGATTTAGAAAATCGAGTACGGTATTGCCAGTGGTTAGAAAATAATTTAGAACTTATTTCACACACACTTTTTACGAATAAGGCCCAGTTTACAAGGAACGGTATTAACAACACACGTAATTCTCACATCTGAACGGATCAAAACCCACACGAAAAATCGTTGTTAACCATTAATATCGTTTTTCCGTCAACGTGTGGTTAAATAATCATCTTATTGGACCTCATTTTTTTGAAGGATGTCTTAGTTCAGAAACTTACCTTCACTTTTTGGAAGACGAATTGCCGAATTAGATGGAAGATATTCCTCTAGAAGCTCGTTGTGGCATGTGATTCCAGCAAGAAGGTATTTTTTAATAAAAATTTTCCGAAAAGGTGGATAGGACGGGGTGGAACTGTACATTGGCCAACTCGATCACCTAACTTGTCACCTCTAGATTTTTTCTTTGGGGTAGTCTCAAATCTCGTGTGTATAGTAGTAATCGTCAATCACGTGAAGAGTTGATTAACAAAATAGTTGAAGCTACTAATTCGCTAAAGAATGAATTGGCGGTAATTAACTGGCAACATTCTATGATATCAAGGATAGCTGTATGTTTAGAAAATGGCGGTTCTCATTTTGAACAGTTGCTGTAATTTTGTGTTAATTAGCTACCCATTCATAAATAAAGAAATGAATAAACTTTCTTTTATTCATACCATTTTCTTACCATTTTCTATACCATTTTTTTAACGTAATGACCCCCGGAATATATGGTATAAGTTTGTCGGTCGAGTCACGGAACACTCTGTATAAATAGCCAAGAACATAAATCTAAATGTTATGGTTATGGTTCTTTTGGCAAAGTACAGCTCTAACGAACGCTTGTGGAGAAAAGCTCTTTTATGGGAAAATATAAACCTTTCAAAATGAGCTCCACTGTCATGGTGGAAGAGACTATTTAGCAGAACTAACACGAGCAAAATTGATGTTTATATTTTGGACATCTTTACATTAAGAGACGCAATCTGCAGATGTAATCTTTTTGGAAATTTGTGCTCCTGATTCAAAATCTCATCCTAAATCAAAATTAAAAGAAAATTTGTAAAGAAAGTAATTAATCATAAATAGATTAAATAAGTATGATGTCAAACTCTCATAGAAAAAGGTGAGGAGTCTCCTTGTCATTCCCAGTGCTGCAGTTAACGTTTTAAGTGGACTTGCCTTGTTATGAAGAATGTTTGATCTGATCCAAATCAGGACATAATGCTTAATATCATATTGTACTTATCTCAGCTGTAAGTCTCCTTAACAAGCAACTTCCATTGTTGTTGCATGTGCAATAAAGTGCACATAATAACACCCGATAAGCAATAATCATCATCAATTTTACAGTAATCTTGATTTTGATGGTATTTCAGTTTTCGAGCTGATCTGGCATATCACTATCCAACGCACTGCGATTTTAGTTCCGATAAATATACCCGGTACAAAAATTCATTGATTTCTATCATTCTCAAAATGAATTCGTCGCCATTCTGTTGCTACGCTTTTGAACTTCTGTAAATATACTAATCATTTCGCCTTTAGCCCTTATTTGCGATTGGCTGCATAACACTGTTTATAACCATCTCGCAGAACGGTGGTCAGACAACAGGATTGGACATTCCCTTTTAGGCTATTATAAACCCATTAAACAGAATTTTTTAATTCAATATATCTTTCCAAAAAAAAAGTATTTTTAGTCCAAACTCCTCTGTTGTACCTCTTCTCAGAATATAAAATTCTGTTTATTATTCAATATCGCCGAAGTTAATGGCCATAACGAAGAAATGTTTGAAATGTTAAGTATCGTAAAAAGCAATATTAAATAAATTTAATGCTGTTAGGTGAAACCAAGAACACTGTCAATAAAACCTGCATGAATTGGTTTAATACTATGGATATTCTTTTGCAAAGAAAGTGATAAAGTTCAAAGGAGAATGACAACAATGAAGACTTAGAAGACAATGTTCAAGTCGAAATTGACATAGTAGACAAAAATTAAACTACGAGGAAAAGGATTTAATTCAGTAACATATATTATTAATCTGAAAGCCTTTATGCCCTTTCTTATCTGTTCATTGTAGTAGAAGTTAATCAAAGTAACGGACAAAGCTTCTTCTGTAAGTCTAATTGAGATAGAATTAAAAGTTTTACTTTGGTATTACAACCATTTTAAATTTATTATGCAATGTTTACGTTTTGATGTTCGAACCATTCATCCGCAAAAGAGTCACACAGATAAGATTACAGCCATTCACCAAATGTTGAAATAAACTGCCAGAAGTGTTATTCGTTGGAGAATAACATATTATTATTATTTATTAACATATTTATAAAATTTTTAAATATATTGGCGGATTGTAATCTCAGGAAAATGCATAACGGCACTGGAAGAGCTGCTAGCAGTACCATTTTAGAATTTAGACAAAAACTCATAATTTCACAAGACATAGACAAGCTGTAACACATGTACAACAAAGGGAAGACTTGTGAAGCACAATGAGAAAGCTGCAACAGAGCTGTTTGCCGATATATATAAAAAGCTTTTTCACTGAATGCATTATTCTTCCAAGTTCAGCGCAGCAAGATTCTTTAGGACCTATGGATAATATTTATTTTTAAACATTTTTTTGATGACTTTGAAAAATATCTTATTCACGCGGAAAACATTTTTCTCACATTTCGATCTTAAATTATTAAATGATTGATGTAGGTAACTAAAGTGAAGTGCCATCAAGGTATCATAATGTTCCAACAATAATCACAATAAATACAAATGGAAAAGTTTTTGTTTGCAATCCAACTCCATAAGATGACAAGTAAATTTAAAGAATTGGGTTGGCTTTTCAAACTTTTAGTTAAGTCACGTGTTTTAATTTCTAATTTCACTCCAATCAAATCATAGTTTCAAGGATCTAGCGATGATAAATTACCAAATAATTTCATTAATTCTTAATTTCAAGAGGTTTTAATCTAAAATTCTAGAATTAATTAAGTTAAAACTGATTTTAAATTGATAAATTAAATTAGCTTAGAAGTACTCAAAACACATACATAATTTTTAATTAGAAGCTGTTTAACCTATCACATTTAATCTCATTTCTCAACGCAAAATCAACAGTAGCACTCTTTTAAAACGCCCGATTTCAAAACTGGCTCAACAATACAAATCTTGTCTACGTTGGACTATATAAACACACTTCTGGGAACTACACATCATTCTCGTAAACGTTCACATATCAAAACCGGTGTGTAATATGTCGTCATTATCCATAAATTTACGTCATCGTTCACAAAAATGTAATAAACCAATTCTTAAAAATTCTTTTTTTTATTTTCTTTTTACTCCGATAAATCTCGAGGGACATTACAAAGGCCGTATGACTAATTAACGTTCGGGGAAATTCGTGTCCTCTCTTTGTTCATATCTTCTTGAGTCAGATCAAGAGAGGTCTATGACCAAAAGGTGAAGTAACTCGATCTTTGGTTGTGTGACTTTGTCCAGGGTCCACCTACAGAAACTTGAGGTTGTGACTGTGGGCAAATACAGTACACAACGGAAGGTGTGTCTTCTGATTTATTTCCTTTCTATACCGTATTGAAACTGCAAACGTTTCGATCGGGTATTAAAGCGTGCCGAAGAAACCTTTCTCCACCTTTCTTCATTTAGTTTCTTTGTTTTCATAGTATTCACGATCCTAAGTGAAAATCAAAGAAATTTTCTTTTTTATTGGTTAAAAAGTTTCACTTGGGTTCGACTTGCGTGTATTTGAAATTATTTGTGCGTGTAATTCAGTAGAAATTAACTTTTTGAATAATCAGCCATTTTTTTCTCGATAAATTAAACCGGTTAATAGTGACGTCTATATTAATATTAGAACTTTATAGAACGTTTAAATGCTGTCGGGAACAACAAAAGGGTTTATCACAATAAAAAATTTCATCGTTACGATAACGATCTTTATTGGTATTAGGTTGTGTGACATACCAATATGAAAACGAGATAATGAGAAATTCTAATAGTGTTTCCTACGTGTTTGTTTAACTTTATAAAAATTGAAGATATAAATAAACGGAAAAGATAATTATGTATCTTTACCACAAATTTAAAACCGTCATCTCTATTTTCGTTGGAGCGTATCACACATCCCGGATGAAGATACGTTAAAATACAAAAAGAACCTTGATAATTAACGCCGATTTTTATTTCCTTCATTCCTCTTTTTGACTCAGCAGCATTGAATTTATTAAAAAAAAATAAACTTACGTCTTTGAGTTTTGGTCTGACTGCTAATTTGCTGTTAGAAGCCCTTGGACTGACGTCCGCGTAAGATCCAGATTTTCCCTCGCTCGATTTTATCGTTGAATAATCGTAAATGTCGTCGGTTCTGTAGAAATCCGCGGATAATGGTGGTAGAATATTCGAAGTAATTGTCCCGGTAGCTCCGCCGTTCAATGGTTTTGTACTGGACATGGTGCTCACGTTACTTTCGTAATGTTCGCCGCCCCCATTAATGCCACCGCCCCCGTTGTTATCGTTAACAAACGTATAATTTTCGTATGCGCGAAAATCATCGTCTATTGTCGATACGCTGTTGTAATGGTCGATGGCTTTTTGTACGTGAGGGACTTTTGTTAGCAGTTTTGGTCTGTATTCTGGATACATTATTATTCTTTGATGACCCTGAAAATAAAATATACAAACAATTAATTTGTCTTGTTTATTTATAGAAATTAAGAATGACTTTTATATCACATTTAAATCTTATTCAATGCCAGAATAGTTTATGGATTAAACAAGATATTCTTAAAAAGTATGGGTTAGATTATTTATAAGTGTATATCACAAATTTTTAAATTATCCATCCTATGTAACACGCTTCTTTCACGTAACATATTTGTTTTAAAAGTTAATAGTTTACCACAAACAATTAAGGAATGGTTTTTATATCAAATCAGGTTAAAAATTTCCTCCTCTTAGACGATTCAGGATTATTTATTAATACATGGCAATTAAAAAGTTATATTGATTCGAATAATAATCATAAAAATTGATAAACACCCTGAAATAAAATATACAAACAATTAAATTGTCTTGTTTATACGCATTAAGAAATGAGTTTTATATCAAATTAAAGCTTAAAATACTCTTCTTTTGGACAGTTCAGGATTATTTATCAAGAAGTTAAACAAATTAACAAACCAAAAATTTTATATCACCTTTAAACACAAAAGTTTCCTCGAACATATTAAGGGCTTGCACCTGGGTAGTTGAAATAAACTAACAGGGAGAATGATTAAAAATTAACCATATACTATGGCATAGCAATCCGCAGAATCAGTAAAAACAATGAAGGGTGCTGCGTTTTATTATTACAGCTGTAGAGCAAGCACACCACGAAAAATGTTCCCAGGACTCAGATAACACACAGCAAAAGGCAAATGTAGATAACAAATTGAATGATTACACACAATTTTACAGCACTTTCAGAGGTGGTTCTGACTGTAATCAAGCCCAGTCTTTGTAATGATAATTTGTTGGAACGTTGTGTAGGCGGATTTACACAAAATAACAATGAAAGTATCAACCACGTCATCAGGAAACCAAAAGATCATCATGGCACCAACAGAATATCGGTGCATGTATATTTAATGAGGGAGTGACGTGTATTGCAGTGCGCTGCAACAAAGGCAAAAGAATGAGGTTATCACAGCAAAAAAAAAGATCTAAGGGAAACGTCAACATCTAAGAATGATTCGTCATTTCAGTGTAAAGTGTGAAATGATCCTCTGAAATCGTCTACATTCTGACTTGTTCCTTGCTTTTATGTCTTAAGCTTCTTTCTGGGGTTTCGGAATTTTAGTGTCACTGTTTCTGGCTCGCTCTTTTTCCAAGATACTTGTTATTTAGTTAGGTGCTAATTTATAGTTTATTTTCAGATTTTTTTTCTATATACAGGGTGATTTATTAGCTAGATATTCTGTCTTCCTTTTAGCTTCTCACAGGATTCATGAATTTTTAGTTTCTCTATTTGTGACCCCTTCTGTTTCCGTGCTAATTACTTGTCTGATTCTGGGGTTTTCTTTATTCCTGTATATGGTTTGTTCTCTCATATTTTCAGAGTCTTTTCTGTTGACTCCGTTCATACTTCTTTCTTCTGTCTGGTATATTACGAACCATTAAGTATTTACTTCGTTGCTGGTTTATTTCATTCCTTTATTTGCAACGTCTTTCTGGCTCTTTTGCATTTATCTTCATTTAGTTTCTGTCTTTTTCTTTATTTAAATTGTGTGTTTAATATTTCTAGTGTGTTCTTGCGTTTGCGCAGTTTGTTGTTGGCTTGTTTCTTTTTATCCTGTTTATAACGTTTTTCTTGCTTCTTCACTGTCTACATTTTCCTTGGTTTTGTCTTATTCTTCAGAAGTTCTATACAGATCTTTTCTTTTCCTCTAAATGGTTCCTTGGTTCTAGTGTCATTCATTCTAACTTCGTTCGCAATTCTTCCTCTTTATCTGATATCCCCCCAGTTATTTGCGTTTTTTTACTTTGATTCTGGCTTCTTCCTGTTTCTTGTTCATCTTCATTTTGTGTCCTTCTGTCACTTTGTTTGATTTTTTCCCATTTTTCTGGCATTTCTGGTACAAATCACATTTTTTTCATTTTAACTTCTATCTTTTTTTTGCAAATTCTTTCTTTTTTGTACATATTTGGTTATTTCCTGTTATAAACAGATTCTTTCCTTTTTCTCTATTGGACTTCTTCTGGAATTAGTAAATGAAAATGGTAATCTGTACTTTTACTGGTTTTTTTATTTTTTAAATTCTTAGTCTAACATGTTTCGATATATTATCATCATCAGAGACGCTACAAAAGATGTTTTAATTGTGTTGTAAAAGTTAACATTCAATTCTAGTTAATGTGACTAACGTTAAACAATAAAACAAATTAAAAACTTCCAACTAAGGCGATGCATATTAATCACCATTTAACAAAATGGTTTCCGAAATTTGTTATTGAACAAGTTTACAAGAACATTCTTCTGGAATGTTTCTAGTGTGTCTTCTGGCTTCGTTATCATATCTTCATATTTATCTGATATCTGTCTAATTCCTAGTGTTATTACATATTTAGTTTGATTCTTGCTTTCTTTTCCTTCTTTCTTCTATAATTCTGGCTTTTTAAATGTGACAGCCTTTATTACTGTCTATATATACTTTGATTTCGTCTCTTTCTTTTTATTTGACTCATCTTTTCTCATCTTTCTACCTATTCTGGCATCATCTAGGTTCTGATTTATTCCCAGATTTCTTCTTATCACGATATATCTGGTTCTACGTAGTTGGTGTTTATCTCCAGATTTTCTTTTATGACTTCCTCTATGACTTCTTCTGGTATGTTTCCAGTACCTTTCCTTCTGGATACGTTCGCACACTATCTCTATTTCTAGTTTAATTTTCACGTTTATTATCTAGTCAAATATCAGTTTTATTCCAGCTTCTTTTACAATCATATCCTAATTACCTATTCAAAATAAGACCCAATTTTTTTCTTTTTCTTTATTTTATTCCCAAACCATCCAATACCAAAAAGTTTTTAATAGCTAAAGTTCATTCGACGTAGTCGCTTTTCCCATTAACTTTGGAACATTACCAAAGAAATTTACTGTTCCCATTTCTGTTTAACCTTACTTGTTACTACTGCAGTTCGTTCTTCGATATCCATAAAAACACTTTACAGTTTTACTCTTCGAGGCTTCAGATCAGTTAAGTGCACTAAATGATTACGTAAACACTTAAAAAAAAGATCCCAAATGCGTTAGCATTGTGGCGCTAAAGATTTTTTATTTATTAAAAAAAAATTAATTGAATATCAAAACGTTCCGACACCGGATACATTGTGTGATTAAGGTACATGCCTTATCTGTATATAACAGACATGACTCATCTATCTAAAAGATAATATAAATAATACTATGACTTCATACCTTCATACAAAGAGTTATTCGTGTATTAAAATCTCATAACATAAACTAAGTAAATTAGTTTATATTATTTCTCCATTTGTCCTATCTAATTATGTCAAAGTTTAACGTTCATTTTATAATTAATTTATTTTTAAAATTAATAAATAATTCTTCTAAAACGTAATAAACCTATTTATCTTTCGACCTTATCAATCTTTACACATATAAGTACTAAAATGGCTCTTAAAACACTATTTTAATAACGCACCATGTGGTCGGTGTGAGATTCCTGAACTCTTTTCAGATTCTTTTAAAAACATCTGTGTCTAAGTACGTGTATGAAAAGGAAAATCTCGAAAAAATTCTTTACATCAAAAGAGACCTGATTGTTAATACAGTTCAGGAATGTCCTTTGTATTCCGGAAACAATCGCGAGTGAGAACACTTTTCTCGTTTGAAAAATTGAAAACTGGACTGTTATTTCATTTTTATTTGTGTTCCTTTGTGTCGTGAAAATACAAATTCGATTCATTCTCGCAAAGTTATTGCAACAAACCGCAAAAAAAGCAAAGAACGCAAAAAAGGTGGGATGACAAGGTCAAGGAGTTGGGTTTTTTCTTCATTCATTTTAAAAAATTTGCATAGATAATGTAGTCGCGGGTATTGTTTTAAGTGATGTTTGGGATGGGATGAATATTCAAGACGTTGTGTACGCGAAGTCGTACACACACATTAATTGCTTGTAATTTAAAATGATGAGGGTGGATTGGGTCAAGGAGGAAGCTGCTATAACTATGTAAGAAGATGGTTGAGAAATATTAATTAATCTTAATAATGTTGGATGTTAAGAAATTAAAATAAAAATATTAAATTCTTTTTCTTATTTTTTTGTTATTGTTGATTGGCTCATTTATATTTATAAATAAACAAGTCGATGAATCATAATTTTTTTAACACCAACCTAAGTCATTAAACAAAGACTTTAACCCATTCACTTTCAATTTCATACTACTGTCGCATAAAATTTGCATTGTAAATATATTAATGTATTAATTTACGTAGGCTACGTCTAAAATTGTTGCAGAAACGTTATAAATAAAATATAAAAATGTTTGCTTTTCTTATCGAATTTAAAACATTTAACTAGATTATCACATCGAAGAATTAAGCCGATAATCAATTCAGATTGATAAAACGTATTCTTTAAAATCCTATTTAATTCATTTCAATAACCTATTAATTTAAAAAAATTAAAACTAAGATAACGTTCAAACTATATAGTTCAAATCTATATCTGAATTTAAAAATAAAAAAAGGGTCAAGGAGAATGATTATAAAGGGTTTTCTTTACAACATAAACGTGGCCTTTGGCGACTTAGCGCATCGCGGCACGTCGCGTCTGTCGTAAAAGAAGCAAAAAAAAATAAATAAGACCAAAAGAAATAAAGAGAAGAGCACGATTTGCGGTTTGGTCAAGGTGAAGAACAAGGCCGTGACCTTTTGCAGGTAGGTAGACGAACGGTACGTATAGGAAAAGGAGTTTAACGTCTTATAAGAGTTTATAAATCGACTTGTTTATTACAACTTTATCCGTTATTGTGTTTTGACGACGTAACACGTTGTTTGTTGGTGAATGAAATCGAAAACGAAAGTCAATAAACCGTAAACTACAACAATCTAACGTAAAATTAAACATTTAAAAAATGATAATCACAACTAGATAAGTTTTTATCTAAATCCATCCGCATAATAAACCATTTAATGAAGTCATTAAGAATCCCGGTGGATGCACCGCAACTTACTTTTAATATTAATTAATCCGAGAAAAACCATAACCTAAAGAACTAAAATTAACAGTTACAACATTACTCATCGATTTTTTTAAATTTTATTAATTTATATGCGATAACTCAAGAATTCAAAATCAAAAACTAGTTTAATTTTTAAGCACATTAATTAACCACAGAGATCAATTAAGTACTCGTGATTATAACAGCGACACGTAAACGCAATTTACGTTCAATAACCATTACGAAAAACGACTCGGAGTCAATAAAAATGCGATAAACAACACGACCTGGTGGGTTTGGAAGAAAAAGTGAGAAAATTTTTCGCGTTTTTCCCGCATTTGCATTCACATCTGGTGGCCTAGAAACATCGCGTGAACGATTTTTTAAACCTAGTTCCAAGTATGCACCAGAGAGTCAAGAAACCCAACTCGGAAAGGTATTTAGTGAGATTACGAAAGTTTTAAATCAATGAAAATAATAAAAAATCGAATTTAATAATTCATTAAAATCGAAATAAAGGGAATTAAATGAAAATGTCTAAAAATCTTTATTGATATCTTAATCTTTATTATTTAATTTAATCTTGACATTCAATTAAAATCAATAAATATCTATTAGGATCTATAAATGAAAATAGAAGTTGATAAGAATTTTCTTTAGAATAATCAAAAAGTTTATTATTATTCGTCTACTTGAAATGAAGGTTCAATAAGGTATAAATTCTTGACCTTTGTAAGATTAATTACATATATATAACCTTACTTTTTGTGTAATAAGTATACCTTGGTATAAATAAACAACAAGCAGAAAGGGTTAGCAATTTTAAGAAATAGTCCTTGCCTAAGCAACAAAATGTTGATGACTTAGAGTACTTTACTGATTCAGTTTGCTCAAAAATTTTATACTAATTACATACTCAGTGTTGCGCTGATAGACTAACTTTAGCTATAACGTTAGCTGCTGGTTAGTAAACTATAACTTTTAGACTGTCTGTTAAAAAGTGCAGTGCGTTTTTATCTTTGCAATGAAATTTTAGTGAGTAGCGCTACTTATTAAGTCTTCTTGTTCCCTCATAATGGCTTACAGGCGAAATTCCTTATTGCGCTTATTAACGGCTATCACCGATTACCCGCATTCTGTTTTCATGGGTTTTGTTTAATGCAACAGAGAGATAATAGTGGTGATAAATGACAGTAGATAAACAGCAGTCCCTTAGTTTTACATGAGGTCAATGATGAAAACCTATATGTGACGTTACAAAAATTTATGGTATCTTATTGACCTAACTCATAGATTTGGATATATTAAAGAATAATTCGCTTTATTCTAGAACACCCGTAATCAAATTTGTTAGATATATTGATCGATTGCTGCATTATGAAAGTAAAAAGTAGTTATAGTTTATGACTAGTGATTCGCTGTAGAAGAGGATGCAGAACAGAGGATGTAGAATAGAACTGATCGGACAAGAAGTACATACATTTAATGAAATGAAGAGGATGCTTTTCTATCGCCGAGATCTAAACCTTGAATCAAAAATACGAATGGTGTGATGTTATGTACTATCAGTGCTGTACTATGGGATGGAATCCTCGATATTGAAAAGAATCCACGTAAAAAGACTGAAGATACATAGGAAAATACTGAAGATTTCTTGGGTGGACGAAATAACCAACGTGAAAATGATGAGACGGAGGAGAAAAGAAAAAGAAGTAATTGTCTTTCTTTATGATACCTGCTTACAAGCATCCTCCTTACATAACCAACATAACCATCTTTGCTATATAACCATCAGGGTCTATTCCCAAATTATGGGACGTATAGAGAAATAACATTACGAAATAACATTTTCTTTTGCCACTGTTTCTACTGCGTCATGAGTTACATTTCTAATAGACTTATACTTTTACACTTTCAGTTCTCGTAGTCATCAAGGGAATTTGAGGTATTCCTGTTTTATTTCAGTACATTCAAAGGCGCTTAAAAATTGTTTAGGTTGGACTCCACAAACATCACAACACAGCCACTACTTTGGTTAAAATGAAATCGTTAGTTAAGATTTCCACCTTTCTTGAGCGGTTGAAGGTGACTTCTGTTTCTTTCAATCCCCAAGACGAAATCATAACACCGATTTTTAACCAATAGTATGTATCGCAATATACTACCAGTAGTGTTGAATGCAAGCACTCTCGAGCAAATTATGGAGTACCTCAAGAATAAGTTACTTTTTGATCATTGGCAGTTCGGATTTTGTAAACACCATAACACAAATATTAGTCTGGTAAGCTTTCGATATGGTTATACTTCTACACAACGTTTTGGTGGTTTATAACCCTGCGCCTTAACAATGTCTCGATATTTCTAAGCGAGAGGCGTTTGTGTTAGTAAATGATGAAAATCAGTTTAGTGTATATAAAGTGTTCTTGTTCAACATGTCAAAGTGTACGCTAAAAAATCATACAGCGATACAACCACTATAAATTATAACTTTGCAGATTATCTTAATGCAAACCTATAAAGGATTTCCCACTGTCTAAAGTATAACGATCCAATACTCATGGTTCGCTTTTTGCACTGTGTAGCACTTTATTGCACTTTTTTACTTCCTCATCTGGATTACAACTGCATTATTGAATCCATTATATCATTGCTCGGAGCATTACGCCCATATAAGTTTACACACAAATCAGCTTGGAGCGCTTATAATTATACAAAAAATGCATTACAAATACCTATAATCCGGAGATAACACGTAAAGAGGAGAAGCGTAAATTGCTGTAAATGTGGAGTGGAAATGTCAACGCCACAACATGCAATTAGCGAATTCAAAATAATTCTGATCAACATTATTGAAAAACAAAGATGCGTTAGGTGTAACATAATACATAATGGTCACAAATTTACTCCCCTAAGCCATACTAGATGATACCGTGATGGCAACCTCGCAAAATTAGCTCAGCATTTTGTGTATCTATACACACTTATATTATATTACTTGAAACCCGCAATGACACAGAAATCAATAAGCTCTACACAAATATCCAAAAGATAGTCCAGCAATGAAGAAACAAAATGTACAAAGAAGCCTGTGATAAAATGAAGAGTAGTAAGGATAAAAAGGATTCCGGTCCATATTGTTAACTGGTTCCATGCGGTACATTTCCAGTTGGTTGTGGATATTATGGACACCGTTTGAGATTAGTTAATGTTGATAGTAGAAATTGTCAATATTTGTGACCCAACTTAAATGAAGTAATAAACTTTTGTAAAAAATAGATATGGCGCGTAAATGGATAGCTTGGAAGGATGGAAACTTTTCATTTAGATATCGAAATGATCTTGGTTCAATTCGTGAATAACAAATTGCGGGATGTTAGAATACAATAACATTAGATTAAAAAAGGTTTAATCAAAATTCGAATTAATCCTCTTTAATATATCTTGTTTAAAATTGATAGCACACTGCAATATTTATTTATTAACAATTACGTAGTAATAGTAATTGCCCAAAATAAACTTTAACGTCACCTGATAAAAATGTTATAAGAATATTAGTTTAACTACGTTTCGCTTTCTGATAAGCGAGTAAACTGTGTAAACGAGATCATATTTGTAAAAAGATAACGATTATAAATGAATCTCTTTATAGTTATTTTATTGCTAAATTTGTTTGTCTTTTTACTCGCAATCGCCGAATTTAGCAGTTCAAAAGAAACAAAAACAAAAGAAACGTTTCTGTAAAGTTATTTTTAAAACATTCTTTTCTTCTTAACTTCCGTTTTTCCTGGACTACTTCTACCTGTTTTTGTTTTAACAACTGCAATAAACCTATAAATGCACAGTAAACGATTAAAACAATAAAGTAAATTGAACTAGATTTCTTTCTGGGTAAAACTTGCTTAAAAGAGTTAAAGAAAGTATTTTGTAAGTCAAAAAATAAAGAAAATTATAATAAAACCCCCATTAAACGGAGTTATTATTGGAAACCGTTCAACTCGCTATCCATTAAGATCTTTGCGGGTCTTCCGTTAACTCATTGCGGTATATTCACAAAGCAAAGTATCCAGTTGTACTAAATTTCAATATAGTTATTTATTATGAACCGTTCGAGGTATGTTAATAGAATTTATATATAAAAAAATATCTTATTAAAAATTTTTCAATGAAAATTAATAAACACCTGTATATAGAATTTTTTTATTTTGAAAATACAACCAGTTTTTGGATAGCAACGAAATATATCGTTGTAAAACCTGTTTCAAATTATATGATTGTGGATAAAGGTACAATTCCATGACAGGCGGTAGAGTTGTAAACTGCAAACCGCAGGCTGCATTACTATGACAACCAGTAGTGTCGCGTGCGGTTTGCAGTTTGGAATTATACTTTAATTTAAACACAACTGCATGTTAAAAGAAGTAACTTACCTTAATTCCGTCAATAACCCCCAAGTTTTCTTCTTTACCAAAACTTTTGAACATTCTTTACTCACTTCCCGCCTCAAAAATACAAAAAAAAAGAATAAAATGAATATTGAGATACACAAATTCAGGAAATAATAAAAATTAATTAAATAACGGGTTAATCACAAATTAGGGTTAAAAACAAACGAAAATAGCTTTAAAAAAAACTAACCCGATTCGTTGTATTGATAGTAATAATCGCGGCCATCGAGATCGATTTAATTTAATCTCACCGTTATTATCTTCGTTGTCGTTCGTTATCGCATGCGATATCTGTGTCTATATTATTATTGTATTTCCGAATCGTTTTTAATTTTTAAGAGAATAAAAATACACGTTAACGCGAGTACGGTGCGAGTACTAGTGACTGGTGTCGACGATGTGCGCGCCGCGCCGTGTCTCTACGGTTTGTATACTGCAAACGAAATAACCATGGCAACAACATCGTGGTTCCACCACTTCGATCTTTTCGATCAAAACTCGATCTGATGACGAATATCGTGGCCGGGTTTTTTGATCGAATCGGTCGTCGCAGCCGGCTATCTGACGTATTCGGATTGCAAATGCATTTCCAATGCTAATGGAATCGGAACGAATAAAAATTTTATACAGGCTGATTTATAAGGCAAAAGATTACAACACTAATACTAAGTAAAACAAACTATAATCGTACTTAATCCTTCATTTGTTTTTAGTATAAATGAATGGTTTCCAAACCAATGCGAAGTTAGTTTCTTAAGAGATAATTTTGATCATAATACGAGAATTTCTTAACCGATTTTTATGAATAATAGCTTAGTCGAAAGCTTAAACCTTGACCAATATGATCCGAAAGTATAGAAAAATAATGCAAATATGGCCTTTTTTAAATAATCATAATTCCTAAACCATATACTCTAATATCAAGATAGAAAATAAAACTAAATCAAGTGCTCCATGGACAGAGCAAAAAATTGAATACTGACAGATAAACCTCACAAAAGTCAACAAGTTACGCATTTGATACAAATGAGCTTACAAAGACATTTTTAATTAATATTTATGTTATTTTATGTTTAAAAAGTTTATATTATAGTTTCTAGTTAACTTAGTAGTGAATATTATATTAGTTAAAATTTAAAATATTGTGGAAAGAAAAGAAATATCGGTTGGAGTTCGCCATTTAATAGTAAAGTTAAGAAATGAGGGAAATTATACGGTGAAATTGCAAAAACTGTTGCCAAAGTCTTAAAAAGTGTTAAAAAAATTTAATTTCAATGAATTGAAGTGTATTAAATTAAATAAACCACGAATTGGTCATCCAAGAGTTTTAGATCAACGTGATATCCGAATAACTTTAAAACGGGTGAAAGATAATCCCAGAACAAGTACTCCTCAACTGGTAGAAGAAATTCAACAAGCTACTCATAAAATTGTGCATCCAGACTCTGTATGTACGTAGAGTGTTAAGATTTAATGGATTTAATGGACGAGTTCCACGACAAAAAATCTTTGATTTCCCAACAAAACAGGCAGAAAAGGATTGAATTTGCTAAAAGATATCTTGCAAGTGACTTTAAATTTTGGAAAACAGTTCTGTTTACTGACAAAAGTAAGTATAATATTTTCGAATCGGAAATATTTTGCGGCAGGAAAACCAAGAAATTAAAGCAAAAAATTTGCTCCCAACCGTTAAACATGGTGGAGGGTCGGTATATAAATCAGCAGAGCGCTTAGGGCTTGAAAATCGGTGGGTCTTTCAACACGACAACGACCCTAAGCATACCCAACATCCTCATGTTGCCCGATAATGGAATCTTTATAACGTAACTGTTACATTTAGTTAGATTAATCTTTGGAATATTGTTCCTAATTATATTCTTTAATTTTTGAAATCTGTACTCTGTTTAAGGCAAATTTTCTTGGCCATTATCCCTCAATATACAGAGTGTCTCAGCGAGACCGTTCATTAGGCGTTTCTGGGGTTCTGGCCAAAATAAAAATTTGAGAATTCAAACTTAAGTATTATCAATAGCGTTCTCTTCGACTAAAATATTTTCAGATATCTAGCACTTCCGTTTATACCGGAAGTCACCACCTACTTTATTTTTTTTAATGGAATATCCTGTATATTTTTACATATTTAGATTTGTCTGCTTTCAAGGTTTATAAATAACTTTACTTACTTTACGAGTTATTTGAATTTTTCTAGAAAAATCTGCTCCAGCAGACATTTGTTCAAAAATCAGAGAATACTCGATCTTTGGGATATCAATTTAGGATTCAGAACATGCTTAAGCAACATGATGGAGTATGTTTTGGTGTCGAGAACAGTTGTCCAAAACGTTTGGTCACTTTACTATGGTACGTTAACTTTTCGAAATTTGGAAGTACCATATAATTATTAAGCAGCGAATTTCTGTGCCTCAACTGGTAATTGTGGTTACAACTATTGATTTTATACTTTTTAATGTTAGCTTTAATGAACTTTAAGCAAGTGAGTATCTATAAGGATGGAAGTGTTATTAGATTGAGCTCAATGAATGCACTTTTGCAACAATCGATGTAGGAAATGTCTGCAATCACTCTGACACATCTTCTCTGAGTGCGAAAAACCTTGACAGAGTGAGACGAGTGATCCCAACATAGTATAGGGTAGGTCATACGTGAAAAAAAGTATTCGTAGTAACAACTCATCACTGCTCGTAGAGACACAACGTATTTCAGTTGACGTATTAGATATATATATTTTATTTAATGTTAAAATATAACACTATTTATGGTAGTCGTGTAATTCGCAAACATAATGAGCTTTGTAGGGTGAGGTGGTACCAGCGAGAGGTCGTTTATGAAGATAAAGAACAACATAATATCAATGCCCTCTATTTCAACTCATAGGATTAGCAATTAAATTTATGATGATTTGACATTAGCTATCTTGAGCTCTTCTTAAGGATTGCCTAACAAACTCATTAGCCTCTCCTCTTTTAAATGACCCCCTTCTTAATTCATGATAAATCGATCCCAAGTTACTGATATATCCGATAAGATGCCCATTTGCTCTCCGCTTACCGGCAGCAATGGAAGTACAACGACTTCCTTTTTTTACAACGACCTTGACTTCGCAGATAAAAAAAATTAAAGTACGTTTTGTCTAAATAAATTATCTTTTCACGTTCAACCAAATTTCTTATGTATTGAGATATTTTTGTTTTCACTTCGACAGTGTTGGCTCTTTCTGGTTCAAAACGTATTTTTTTTAATATAAACATGAGGCCGTCAAGGTGTTGTCGAATACACTCCTTGCTTACATTAAGCTGAAACCCACTTTGTAATGTTTCTTGCAACTGCTTAAGTGTGATTTTAGGATTTTCTTCAACTTTAAGTTCAAAGAAACGGTGATGTTCATTTGTAATTTTTATTTTACGTTTCCCTTCTCTTGGTTTTTCTTCTTCTTCTTGAAATTTTAATGAATTTCCTGGTGAGAAGAAGAGGACAAGAATGAATTTACTACAAGTCTACTGTCAGTTTTAACGAAAGATCTGTTGGGTACTTAAGAAGAAACTTTACTATAAAATATCCAAATATATATACCCGAAGTAAGCCATTAAGAATGATGTAAAGAGTATCATCCATTTATTATGGTGAAAGATGAAGAATTTAGGAGATTGGGTGGGATGCAGTGTCCAAAGTTTATTTACATCACAAAGTTTATTACCACAAATACACCATAATTTGATTGATGAAATATCAATAAAATTGAAAGCTGCAGAAGCCATCATATTAACTACGGATACTTCGATGTTCATTACTTCTCTATGTCATTTTCAAGAGTTTAAATCTTGGAAAAGAGACTATCAATGGAACTTATTATAATAGTAATTAGAATAATTCAATACGATAATTAAAGTACAGTAATTGCACACAACAACAGCACTGTCTGTGTTTATATCATCTGGATCTGTATTCTTAACATCGACGAGTCTACAATAAAGTAGACTCAAAAAATAAAGTAGAGTGGATATTATTGGATGGTGAACAAATCCTTTCATTTTTTCTTTAATAGTAAAGTTCTTCAATGCTCAATTTTTATAGAGTTGTTGTAAAACTATGCTTAAATTAGTAGTAGCAGAGGTGGATAGAATGCTGATATTGGAGGTAATGGAAAAATCTAATAGTTCTTGCTCATTCTTATAAATAATATTAGTCTCAATGCCGCATTGATTGTAGAGGTAGAATTTAAACAGTTTCAATCTTTAATTATAATTGGAAAAATGTTGTTCCAGATTCTTATAAATAAGCCTTATTGCAGAAATATAAATCTAGATGTTACAAAACCATATTCTCTCTCATAATTAGTGATGATGAAACATGATATTTTCAAATGAGCTTAATTTTTTTGCGTTTCTTTTAATCATAATAATTCCTTTTAAAATTAAAATTGTATTTGTAACTTAATCACCCATTTTTGTCCATTAAAAATTATAAAAATATTTGTATTAAATCACAGTATTATTTTAATTGTTTAAAGATTATTAAGGAATATTATTCGTATTTTATATTCGATTAAATTAACGTCCTTGGAATTTTTTGATTCACGGTTAAAAATTAATCATAGTTTATTAGTAATGAACAACTCATTCGCCTAACAACATCCTTGTTTAAAAGCGACAATAAGACATCAAATATTATTAAGCGAATTATAGGTCAAGCAGTTAAAATTGAAAACGAAAAGAAAAAAAACTTTCGATTCCACTTGGAAACTAAGTTTTCCCTCTCGCCCGATTAAGTTTCAAATAATCATCCTTTCCACCGATTATGGATCGTCATTTTCACCACGTAGTAAAAATAACAAGATTCCATATCGGACAATGGTCACTTATTAAAATTCTTCGCATTTTTATTCTTTAATAATTGTTAATAATGACCCGTCTTCGCTTTCTAAAGTTAACGTTCAAATTAATGTTTATAATTATCGCTGAGTGCGGTTGAAATAATGAAGATTAATTTTGTTGAAAGTGAATATAAATTAAAACAATTTATTTTTTTAAATATTATTTATTTGTTACAAAAAAATATTTTTACGCTTCTATACTAACACAATGATCCCAAGCTTTAGCGTTAACTTGTTTTAAAATTGTTTTTAAAGAACTTCCAGGACCACATTCAAAAGTTCTTGGGAAATATTCTCCTTGATCTCGTTCGTAAAGAACATGCATTGTTTGTTCCCATTTGACAGGTTTAATGATCTAAAAAAAATATTATAAAAACGAAATTATTAATTATTTAAATACATACTTGTTTAGGAAGTTGTTTTCTTATGTGATCAGCATTTCGATATCTCTTTCCATCAACATTCGAATAAACGTTAATTACAGGATCTTCAATATTAATTTTTGATAAAATCTTTCGAACCGGTTGTAAAGCTGGTGCCATAAGATCTGAATGAAAAGCACCACTAACAGCTAACCGTGAAACCTTCTTCAATTTAAATTCTTTTGCATTCTTCTCTAAAAATTCTATTGCTGATATACTTCCTGCTATAATTTTGCTGTGAGGGTATAAATAATTTGAAACTCTACATTCTGGGATTTCATCCCCCTTTTCAATTGCCCATTCTTTAGCTTTTAAGCAAGCAAATCCCACACTTGCATCTGGTCCATAAAGAACCCGAACCATACTTCCCTTCTGCATCTCCCCAGCCATTTGCATAGCTTCACCTCTAATTCGAATCAAACGAATTGCATCTTCAAAACCGATTGCGCCAGCAAAAACTAACGAAGTTATTTCACCTAAACTAAATCCAGCTGTTGCTACACAATTATCAATCGCATCTGGCCGTTCTTCTTTTAATTTTTCTAAAGCAGCTAAAGATGAAACAAAAACCGCGGGTTGAGCATATCTAGTTTCGTCTAATTTTTCTTTTGGACCTTCCAAACATAATTTTAACAGATCATACTTTAAAAGATAACTGGCCAATTCAAAAAGATCTCTAACTAAAGGAAATTGTAAAAGGTTTTTCCCCATTCCAACATATTGAGTTGCTTGACCAGGAAATAAAATAATCGTTGAATCGCGAGGATCCTTTTTTTCTTTTTGAAAGTATTCACCTTGTTTTCGAATTTTGGCGGTTTCGCCATAAGGAAGAGTTGCCCACACTTGGTGTTCACTCTTTAAATCATCAAATGATGCAGCTTCATCTAACATTTTCTTTAACGGAGATTCATTGTTTTCTTTATTATCTTTAAAAAATAGCCACGATGTGTGAACGTCACGGCAAAATCGTTTCTTTAAAACTTTATTAGAAACACGTACAAATAAACTCATTTTTTAACTGAAATCGTTGCAATAATTTCAAATTTCCCGCCAATACATTACACACCGGCCGCTCATAACACAATCGCAAATTTTACAATCGGCTTAAAATATGTAATTTTATGTACCGTAAAGAGATAAATTCGTTAATATAAAGCGTGAGTAGTTCAAATAATAACTTAATATAACAGTAACTGAACTCTAAAGGTCACAGAAGGCGTAAGTTCTCGAACAAAGATTAGGTTATGTTAACTGTCACTTTCACGTGTTTACATCCGCTCGTAATTATATTATTGTTATTCGAACCGTTAGATCTCACCAAGAAGTAATTAGGTAACTAAATAAACAATAATAAAGATTAAAAAAATCTCAAAGCGAGATTTATCAGGATTAAAAATATTTACGTTTTAGTTGTATAAATTTTGTATAGATGGCGCTCTTTAAGCGGGTATTTTTGAATTTTTTTCTAGAATGAACGAGAAAAATGATAATGAAGAGGATGAGTTATTTTATTTCGAATCCGACCATTTAGCTTTAAAAGGAAACGCCGATTATAGCGAACTCTTAAAGATTATGTTCGTTTTGGAAGCACAAAGAAAACGAGCCATCGATGTAAGTAACTCAATAATTTATTTGAAATAATCATTTAAATCTTATTGAATTATTTAGGATTATAAAAAAGTTGTTGATTTACAAAAAGAATATGAATCAAATCCTGTTGAGATGATTGAAAAAATGCAAAGAGGTGAAAATTTGGATATTCCCGATATGCAAGTTATTATTGATGTTCCTAAAATTAATTGGGAAAAATTTGATGTTAAAGTACCTGAAAATCTCTTGGCAATCATTAATAGTATTGATGGGAAAGATGGAGGTGTTAAAGCTGAGGATTTAAATCATCAAAAACCAACAAATACACATAGCAAAGTAAATAATCAAATAAAAAGATTAAATTTTGTTATAATTGTTGTAATTTAATTTAAGTTGATAGGCTTGTAGTTAGAAATAATGCTTCTATTTTATTTTAATTTGAATTGCAACACTTTTTGATACATACATATGTCTTGATGGTAAGGTTTAATATTTTTATTTTATTGTGTAATTATGTACTTCCAATTATTTTTGTTTATTGTTAATGACACTCATTCCTTTTGTTTTCATTAAGCTACTAATACTTATTTATCGTTTATATTTGCATATATATACTTACATCTTCATCAAGGGTTCCATATAAGAAAGCTGTTTTTATGTTGAATTTAACTATGTAACTAGATTTTGCTGCTGCAATTACAAACAAAGTTCTTATAACATTTGAACTTATTACAGGACTAAAAATTTCATCTGTTAGATTACTGAAATCTTGTTCAAATTCTAACTAAGTCTCGCCTTAAATATTCCATCTTCCTTTATTCTAAAAATCTATTTGCTCCATAATATTTTCTGGTCTAATCTTACTTCATTTTTATCTATTAATCGTTTTTCCTTTTTTATTGCATTTTTCCACTTATCTTAATTTTCGTCTTTTAAAGCTTCTTCATAGGTTTGCCAAACAAAATCTCTGAATTTTTCTGGCATTCTTCTTATCTTTTCTCTTCTAGCATCTTTTTCTTGTTCGGTTTTTTTCTTCTTCCCCTTTTTCTGTTCATTCACTTCTTCTCCTTCTTCCTCTTTCTCTTCCTGTCTTTTTCCTTCTTTCTCTTCAATTTTCTTATAGTTTCTTTCCTCTAACTCTCTGCTTATAAGTTCTTCTTCCAATATTTCGTCTTTTATTTCCTTTTTTCATTTTTCTTTGTACTTTTTGGTAATACTTTAATCTTATTATTATTATTCGCGACCTATAGTTTTTGATGAACTTTACTATTGCCCTGAGGTCTTGAACCTTTATGTCAATAGGTGTCAAGAGAGTTTTACCGAAAATGTTGTGTCTTAGACGGCCTCTGGTGACGCAATTGCACAGTATATGTTCAGCTGTTTCTGACTCGTCGTTGCAAAATCGACAAGTTTGATCCTCAGCTTGTCCAATGTGGAAGAGGTGGTATTTTAGGGGCGCATGGTCGGTTAGGTAACCTGATAGCGCCCTTAGATCCCCTTTGCTGAAAGAGGCAGAAAACCTCTTTGGTTTTGTTTTGCGACGGCGTTATCATACTCTTCGCTTGTCTGTGCCCTGGAACTTCTTTCCATCGTAAGGCTACCTTTGAGACCTCCCAATTGTTGATTATTTGTTTTAGGTGGCTTTTTTGTAGTCCACAGCCAGGTTGGGGTCCAATAAAGGGCGTGTACGCTGCCTCTTTGGCCAGCTTGTCCTCCTTCTCATTGCCCTCAATGTTGCTGTAACCTGGAACCCACCATAGGGTAACATCATTGCCCCTAACGAGTTCTCTTAGGTTGCTGGTACACTTTCTGATCAGTGCGGAGTCACACCTGTAGGACTGAATTGCCTTTAAGGCGTCCCGACTGTCTGTGAAAATATTTATGGATGCACCTTTCTGTCCTTTTTATAGGTTCAAAGCGGTGCAGAAGTTTATAGCAAAAAGTTCTGCTTGGAAAATTGTTATGTCCAAGCTGAGGGGCAGTTTAATGTGGCTGTTTGTTCCACTGATGCCCATACCTACTCCGGATCAACTGTCTTTGAAGCATCGGTGTACCAGCCTAGAGCTCCTCTTTTTAGTTGAGGCCCTCCCTTTGCCGAAGTCTTTTTTGTTCTATGTGGTTTTTCATCAATTTTGGTTGTTTGCACTTCCTTAGTTCCTATTCTCTTTTCATTGTCGTCATTTTTCTCAGTTTCTTCTTTTGGTGCAAGTTTTATTTTACTTTTTTTAAGGTGTATTACATAGAGTCAATTTTTATTTTTATTTCCACTCATTATTATTTCACCATTCTTGTAAATATTTACACCTTCATGTTCAAATACAACTTTTCCACTTTTTTTAGCAATTTTTGTTGCAGACCATAGATTTTTTCTAACTCTGGTACTTCTTTTAATTTGCAATTTTCTATTTCGCCTATTGCTCCTGCTTTAAGAACTTGATCCTGTTTTGCCGTTTGAATGTTTTCATTTATAATTACCTTTTTCTCTAACAATCTTTCCGTGTTTGACATGTGTGCTGAAGCACCTGAATCTATGATTTATTCATTCGATATATTTTTTTCACTTGCTGTCAGAAAGCTAACTTTTCCATTTTTTTCTCTCATTTTTGTATCCAAAGAATCACTGATTCTCCTGGTGGTTATACTTTTCACATATTCTACATTAAGTTTCATTTCTACAATACCTTGCAATGTGCTCTTCTTCTCCACATTTAAAACAAGTAATTACGTAATTACATTACCTTTGAATGCAACTTATTCAATTAACGTTTCATCTTGTGTTCTAATTTCTTCGTTTAATAACCTGGCTGTTAATTTCGTCAAAGTTCTATGTTCTATTGCTGTTGATTCCAACGCACTTCTGAAATGTTTATATTCTATAGGTAATATTGATTCTGTTTTAATTCGTTTAATTTATGTATTAAATTTTCCAATTCCGCAATGTTAGTTGTCATGTCCGCTTCTTTTCGATATGTATATTGATCAAATTCTTGTAGTAACTTATATTTCAGTTCATCTGTTTCTTCTCCATATGTCAGCGCTAGTTTTTCAAACATTTCTTTTGCAACCATATCTTATGTTTTTCTATAGTTGTTATAATTATCTTTTTATCTTCATTTGGGCATGGATATGTGCCATCTACTATTTTATAAATGTCTTTTGCCTTCAAGAAAATTTGTATTTGAAAATTTCATAAATCAAAATTTTGTCTCGATGTTGCTGAGTTCGTTTGTTTGAGCCATATTTGAACCTTTTTCTTCTTTATCAAATCCTTTTTCTTATTATTTATTCAACGCAAACACTTTCTTTTTTCTTAATTGTTTCAAATAACTTACCATATACCATGTAGTCTTACCATTTTGATGTGAAGACTATTTGTTTTATTTTAAAGTTTTACGCTGCTTTTTCTTCCACTTTATTTAAATTTTGACTTTGGCACAACTCTTATTTTTAAATTTCTAACTTACTAATACTTCTTTATCGTTTATATTTACAACAATAACAAATTATTGTTTTAGCCTTGGACAGTTGAAGAACAAAAACGTTTAGAAGAACTTTTAATAACTTATCCTCCCGAAGACATAGAATTAAGACGGTACAAAAAAATAGCAGCCGCTTTAGGTACACGAACTGTTCAACAAGTTTGTAGCAGGATTCAAAAATATTTTTTGAAGTTAAAAAAAGCTGGTTTACCAATTCCAGGAAGAATACCTAAATTAGTATTAAGAAAGGTTATTTTTTCTCATTTACTCAATTATTTTATTTAATAATTGATCATTTTTTAGTCCCCTAAAATTCCACATGGGAATTGCAACATAAAACCGTCCACTTTCTTCCCAGAACTAAACATTCCAGTTACAATGAACGAATTAGAGGAAGTACCAGGAGCTAGTCAAAGTTCTTATTCAAACGAACAAATTCCCCATATTAACTCATCAAATTATTTATTAAGCACCGGGTATCAACAAGAAAAACTCATCGAAAACGTCAGAGATGAAAACGAAATTCAATTAAAAATATTGAAACTCATTAAAGAAGAGAAAAGGTGTGAAGATGATGAAGATGCGTGTTTATTTCAACATGTTGGATATAAAGTAATTTCAACATTTTTTATTTTAAAATTTATTTCTAAAAATTTATTTTTAGTGTGATTATTGTGAAGAAGAACCAATTTCGGGAAGTCGGTGGCATTGTACAACGTGTCAAACATCTTCAGTGGATTATTGCACTGATTGTATGTTAACTCAAATGTATTCAGCAACAAAACATCCTTTATCTCATAAGTTTTCGATTGTGCGCGATGGTGAACATAATATAAGTATAGAATATGATAAAAATGAGATTACAAGTGAGTTTGACGATAATGATAAAATGTCGGGATTGAGTAGTGATATAGATAGTGATGAATTGGACGAATTTATGAAGGATAAACCCCCGGAAAAAAGATCGAACGGTTTATTTATAGATAATGATGTAGGATAGGTGCATTCTGGTCATAACGTTAAAGATGAGTGAGTTGATGCTGGTAGATATAAGTATTTTTTATATATTATTGTAAATTTGTGAATAAATTTTATTAATTTTCATAAAAAAGATTAAAAAAAAATAATTTTTTTATTCTACATGAACTGATGGTGGCACTGCTTGGAATAAAATTTGGATGTAACGTGTGAGACCATCTAAAAAATAACAAAATTAGTAATTAATATCACAATTAAGATTTAGAACTTACCCATAAATTTAGGACGTTTATTTAAATAAATAAACCACCAATAAATTACCATCCCTATTAAAATGAACAGAATTGAAACTACATATTTAAACGACGGATCTGTTACAAGAGGAACTACGCTTAAAAACACAGCCACAATTATTATAAATATTGGAATTATTGTTGGAACCTAAAAATTAAATAAATTTACTTTAGAAGTAATTTTAATATGTGGGAGATGGTGTGACTGACATCATTTTCTGGATTACAAGAAAAGAGAGGATGTAGCCTTGATAAGAAACGTGTTATCTTACCCTATAAGGTCTAGGAACATCAGCCATCGTTTTTCTCAACATCAATAAAGCAACCATTGCAGTTCCATAAAATATCCACATTAAATAACTAGCCATTTCAATTAATTGCATTATATTACCGATTACTATAAAAATAAACGTTATAATTCCCTAAAAAAAATAATTTTCATTAAGAAAATTTAAAAACAAATTTACTTTTAAATTTAATACTTGAGTTACAACTGCAGGAGCTGGGGTTAATCTTTTAACATGTACAAAAGACATGCTTTTCAACATATTACCATCTTGACTAGCAACGTAACATAATCTAACAATAAAAATTAAAATTGTTAAATAGAATCTAGATTAAAATACCAAATTAATACCGTGTCACTCCAAATTGGACACTTAAAGCACATCCAAATGTACTTAAAGCAACCCCAACGGGGATTAAAAATCCGGCTGCTCCAAGAACTCTTTCTCCAAAAGCTACAGCGACAGCTTGGGCTTGTATCATTTCCGGAATTGGTAAAACGGTCATGTAAGCGATATTCATAAAAACGTATAATAAAGTAACCAACGGTACGCTAATAGCTATACTTCGAGGAATATTTACTTCGGGACGTTTAACTTCTTCAGTAACAGTCGTTATAGTTGACCTAATTCATAAATAAGTACTTACAAAAAATTGTTTTAAATCGAAATAATTTTTTACCATCCATCATACGCCCACAACCCGCTATAAAAAGCCAAAGCTAAATTCGCGGGATGATAATTTGTTCCTTCAAACCCTTTTTGTAAATTTCCAACATTTCCGATGGATAATTCATAAATTCCCCCTCCAATAACGATTAAGCACGCGATAACTTTACACGCACCGAAAATGTTTTGTAATTTAACGTATAATTTAACACTGCTCATATTAATATAAGTTATTGAAGCCATTGCAAGTAAAGCGACTACTTTTTTAAGATGCCCGGAATACTCTTCGTCTTTAATACATAAAGCATCTAAAATGGGTTGGCAAAAATATTCGGCAAATGTCATCACGATTACGGCAACTTCCGCTGGTCTTAAAATTACAACGTAAATCCAAGATGCCGTGAATGCTGGTAAATTTCCCCAGAATTTATGTAAAGGGCCGAATGCGTCCATGAAATAAGCATATTCAGCACCTGAACGTGGTACTACTGTTCCTAATTCAGCAAAAGCCAATGCACCTTAAAACAATTAATTATAAAAATAATTTAATTAATTTTGAATGTTTAGTTTACCTAAAAGTGATATTAATCCGCATACTGCCCAAACAATAATACACATTCCAACTGATCCTGAATGATATAAAGCTGAAGCTGGTGATATAAATATTCCAGATCCTATCATAACGGCTAATATCATATTAACCGCTGAGAATAATCCCAGTTCTCGTTTAAGTTCGATTTTTCCATTTTGTTTGGGTGATGCTGCTGTAAAGAAAAAAGTTTGTTAAATCCCTTGAGATTAAAATGTAAAAAGTCATTAATTATTTAATTGGCGATAAGTAATACTGAAGAACTTGCGAATGGTATTTGTTTTAGAGTAAGATTTATACAAACGTCAGATGTTAAAGATGTTCGACGACGAAACGAAGATATGTTTGACGACTGATAAAAGGTCAATATAAATGCTATCAATATAGTAGGGCGATGAACACTTGTATGTTTTAAAAGATTAAATACTCTTATTCGGGTAGAAATTTAAGTATATAGGTTCTGTAAACCTTGCCAGAGCAATCTCGTATTATGTAGTGGTGGAACGGATATCCGGCAACTATCCGGTATCCGACCATTTTTTAAAATCCCGCCGGATACCGGATAGTCACCAAATATCATATACCATATTTCATCGATAACTTTCAAAATTCGCTATAAAATTCATTTCATGAAAGATCTATGTGGAAATATCACCAATTATTAATTAAAGTATCCTCTTTTTAATGGAACAAGCCGTTTTGAAAAATCACTTTCAGTTCTTGAGAAATAAATTTTTGAAATAATCGACAATTTTTTCGAATTTTGCAATTTTCGCCGATTAAGTTTTAAAAATTCGTATAAAATCCATTTCTTGGAATATGAGTATGAAAATTTCCCAAAGTGTTAATAAAAGTGTCCTCTTTCCAATGAACCAACCCGTTTTGAAAAATAACTTTTAGTTTTTGAGAAAACAATATTTGAAGTTTTGATAAAATTTTCGATGTTGCAATTTTCATCGATAATTTTCAAAATTCGCTATAAAATTAATTTCTTGAAGGATCCTTGTGGAAATATCGCCAATTATTAATTAAAGTATCCTCTTTTTAGAGTTGCTTCGTGAGTTAAATCAGCATCAAAAAAGTTCATTTTGTATCTTGGATCCAAATAAAATGACATATCTTATCAGCTTTCTTATTAATTTCAATTTTATTCAAATATCTGAATAATGTGGCAATGTAGGGTATCACTTCAGAAATGTACCAGAAATTATAACCATAATGGCCGGATAGCCGAATATCCGGTATCTGGCTTTTCGCAAAATCCATCACTAGTTTTATGCTTCAAAAAGAATCTCTCGTCACAGAATAGTGTTCTGGCTTCGTTATGATATCTGGTGCGCTAACTTACAAGGGTCATAGCTAGGAACCTCTGATTGAGATTTAGCCACGACAAAGATATTATGTAATATAATAATTTTTATACTATTATATTTATAGTATTATAGAAGCGAAAATTTCAGAAAAGAAAATTTAGTATTGTTAAATGGTTTGGTAGTAATTTTGAAGAAAAGGTGTCTAAAATGTATACAAAAGAAGTTATTGCAGCCTTGAATTTGACCTTTCTTTGAGACGATATAATCGACGTTTTATGTTTACACTTTTTAGTAGTTTACATAACACACAAGGTTAAAGCAAAAATTGTAACAGAAAGTGTCTAATTGAGTTAATTTGGTGCTAAAATGAAACCAAATTCTCTTTTATTGTATGGGTTTTATTTAGGTATAAGTTAAATAATTTTATGAATGAAAAAAATTAAATGTATGTGTTTAAATTATGTGGAAAATGCTTAGATGTTAAAGTTTTAAATGATAAGAATTAAATAAAATCAGATTTGTTTTCTCAAATAAAAACAATTGAATGCTGTTTTATTATGGAAAGTAAAATGTTAAACAATTTTTGTAGGAAAAGTCTAAACATAATGGGCATTTGTATAAAATAAAGGAATTCGAGAGGGATGATGACTCACTCAGATTGGTCTTAGATAGACGAAAATTTCACATAAAGGATAATTTCGCGTTAAGCTATCTTGAGTGTTTAAATACCGGATTAGGAAATATCAAGAAAAGCAATATTTTGATAAAATTAATATTCAAGTTGAGCAATTAAAAACATGATTAACAAGGCGTTCTTATCTGATGTCGAATAATATGAGGCGGGTTAGCTCATATGGAATTAAGAACGTTAATGATGCGTGAGGTTGCAATTAAAAGTCGTTGAGAGAATTGGAAATGGTGACGTTTTTGAGAAAATCTCCGCGATTTCCTTTTTCCACAAATTCTGTCTCCTCATACACGAATTATTGTAAAGGAAAAGTTAAAATCCGAGTATTGCTCATAAACTGCATATTAACCGGTTTCAGTTACCATATATTCAGAAATGATTAGCTTATTGATTGCAATGAAGCTGAAGGTTTTTGTTAGTGTCAGTGTTTATGTCATTTTGTAAAAGTATCTCGGTGTTAGTAACCTCAGTAACTTGGTCTTTGTGTAACATGTTCATTGTCATTAGAACTATCCCCGTCAGTGTTTTATGTCAACGCCATTTGTTCTGCTCTTTCAACAAAGAAATGTGCCAATCTTTGGTATTAGCCACAGTAAACTTACTTTTCTTTTTGCAAAATTTTCATTATCACTTTCATTTGCAGGACTTCTCACTCAAACTTCCTATTTTTGTTACAGACATTTTAGAGTTCTTTGTAGATGCCAACTGTTTTTTCCTTTCTGCAAACATTTCTGCTTGTATTCTTTATCAGCGTCAGTATTCTGGACTTGTCACAAACTTCTATCTTAGTATTGGTATTTTTTCTTTTACTGTTTTTCAGTTTTTGCTAAAAATTCTTTTATAAAAAAATATATCATAGTTCTTTGTTAGTGCCAGCTATTTCCCCAATCAGCTTTGCTAGTATTTCTTATCGCTATTGAGACCTTTTCGCAAAATTTTGTTTGTCAATGTTAGCGTTTTTATCTTAAAATTTTACAAAAAGTTGCTTTTCCAGCGTACATGTCTGCAGAATTCACTGTCCCATTTGTTCTTCTCTTGTTACCAACACTTCTATCAGCATTATTTTTCAGTGTCAGTATTCTGCACATTTTGTGCAAACCTCTGTGTCAGTTTTTAAAGAAACTTCTTTAAATGTACTACATAATATTTTTAGGGAAATATATGTATGAAGTATATATCTTCTCTTTCACTAAACATTTTTACCAGTATTCTTTATCAGTATTCTGACCTTTAGCAAGTATTAGTATTTCAGTCATTCTGCAAAAACTTTTCTGCCAATGTACAGGATGACCAAATAAACTTGCAAAGTACTCTATCTCAAAAACTACTCATTGTAGAGACTTGCAACAAACAATTTAATGGCTAAAGTGACCAAGAGAAAATCTAAGAAATTATTTTCAGGTTTCTAAGATCTCTCGAAATTCCACTGTATTAACATTACACAAGAATATATGCCTTTTAAAGCTTAGATAAATTATAGTTTTTTTAGTCCTATCTCTACAAATAAAGTGTGGGGTATTCGAAAATGTTTGTAAATAAATGCAAATAATTTCAAAATAGTTGAACGGATTTTAATAAACTTGGTATCGTTGAAAAGAGATTTTCTTAGACTACAAATCGTTTTTCAAAATATCTTTTAGCTTTTGAAATATTAAGTTTTAAAATTATTAAATTGATTAAATGAAGATGAAATATTAAACTTATTAATTCAAGCACGTGTTTTTTTCAAACAAAGATTTTTTAAATTGAGTTGACTGACGTATCTGCTTCGTTTATAAATAAAATGTTTATTTATTTAGTATTTTTCACACTAAAGAAAAAAACCTAAATGCTACTTAATTATATACAATTTATGTATTAAGTAATAATAATCCATGTCCTTAGATTTAACAAGAATGTGTAAATTTTTTCAATGCTAAATATCCCACAATTTTAATTAACAGTATTTGTAAAACGTAATGGAAATACTTAAGTAATAATATGCTAAGTAAACATTTATAAGAAGTTAGAATATAAAGTGCAATGAACCTCGATATCGATAAAATCCCAGTGGAGAGTGATAGAATGGATTTATTAAGGCCTGATTGTCACATAGTTATAAAAAAAAATTAATTACCCTCATTATTTATTTATCTATATAAAAAAATATTATTTCTTTATTCTTTTAATTAAAACTAAATTATGAATCATAATGGAACCCCATCTTAAAGTTTAATTCAACTTTAATTTACAATCTTATTTTTATATTTCCTAAATTACAGATAAATCAAAAATAATGATTTATATTGCACAATAAATATAGGTTTATCAGTTTTCTACTTTTATGTAAGATCTTGGATTACGATTTTTAAAACTTTTTTTGTCTACATCTAGATAAGAAAATGATTGAAAACGATTTTTATATATTTGTTACGACATGCCATAAAAATAAAAAATTTCATTGTAAAAAAATATGTAATTTAGAAAGTAAAATAATTATTTTTTTACCTCCAGCCATGATGATAACTTTTATAAAAAACCGATCCAATTAAATTTTTATGAAATTATCACTAAAATCACACACAAAAAAGTTTTTATTTAAAGTATTTGAAAAAATAATTTTAAAACTAATTATTTGTTGATTTTAAATAAATTAAAACTAAATCACATTGCGATCAAAATAACATCTGTCGTCTGAGAGAGCGACGTTTTGAGAACATCTTAGTAGTATCTCGCACGGTTTATAACTAATAAATAGATTCTGATAACGAGATTCCCAATGCTAATTGACGCGAATTGTCATTTGAACGACTTCAAAGAAACATTTATATTTAAACGTATTTGTTAATTCGCTTAGTAACTTTTAATCTATTACCAAATAAGTTATAAATTGCATTAATTCCAAACTTAACGCGAAATCTATTTTGTTATTTTAAAGCAATAACAACTACACCACTAACAATGTTTACTTATAATTTTTTATAAATGTACAAAGTAATTTAGAAATAGTTATAATATTTTGTTTAAATAGCTTTAATTAATCAGTATCAATTTTTGAATAATAAATAAGTCCTAAAAATAATTATGTATTATAAAAATGATAAAATCAACAGTTATAAAAAAAATCGTTGAAACATATCATAATTAATAAATAGACTAAAATTATTGTAGGTCAGTCAAAGAACAACAATATTTCTTATCGCGTTTCAATTCGCGTGCATTAAAAAAAACGAAATTTTAAAAATGAGGTTATCTTGCAATGTACAAGGTTACATTGATGTATTTTAACGTTTATAATCAAACACCAATAAACAATACATTAAGAAACCATACAAAGATTGCAAACGAACATCATGATACCAATTATCAAGTTAAAAATAAAAGATGTTTTAACGATGGGTTTTGAAATCATTAAACGCGTAGTAAAACGGAGCGAGGAAGAGAGTGTTTACCAATTTTCCTAAGTCGTTTACGCTCTGTGTTATTATTAGGTATTCTTCATACTGATACATCTATGCCAGTTCTTTTTTTGTGTTGATAACATAATTGGTTTGGCGAATTGGGTCTTTTATTTTCTAGTGATGTTAGTTGAGAGGTTGAGGTCATTTCAGTTTTGTACCCACGTTAATATAAAGTCATTTAAATATAATTAATCTAAACTGATAAATTTAATTAAGACCATTATTTTTCAATAAATTTGACGATAATTTTTGTTTATAGTATACAATTGCAAATTATGTAATGCAACTGATTTCACATCATAGGACATGTTTGGATACCTTGAATGATTAAAAATTTCAAATTAAACGGTTAATTACAATTAAGAGAATACATTTTCTCAAGAATCAGAAAGTGCAGCTTTTTGGGACTGACCTAAATAATTCAAATATGTTTCCTGAGTCTCTGCACCCTCAGATTTTGCATAGGCGCAAAAAGTAAAATTCATCTTGTCAAGAACTAGAAACTGCTTAACACTAGAACTACTATAGATACTTTAGGTAGACTCTCTGATTTCACACCATAGGATACGTTTAGATTGCTTCAATGATTAAAAATTTCAAATTAAATGGTTAACTACAATTAAGAGAATACATTTTCTCAAGAATCAGAAACTGCAGCGTTTTGGGACTGCCATAAATAATTCAAATACGTTTCCTGAGTCTCTGCACCTTCAGATTTGCCGTAGGAGCAAAATTTATCTTGTCAAGAAACAGGAACTGCTGAACGCTAGGGCTACTCTAGATACTTCGGATAGGCTCTTTAGAATATTCCCTGCTTATCAACATCTCCAGATTTGTCGTAGGGACAAAGGAGTAAATCTTTGAATGCACATGGTTTTTAATAGTAGACATAGAATTTATTTATTGGTAACTTCATTCATATCTAGCAACTGTGGAGGATTATAGAGCCTTATTCTAACGAATTTATAGAAGCGCTTGTGTTAAAGCATCTGGTTCATGCGCTGCAGCTGTTAGGATGTGTGGTGCGTAGTTAGGATTATCCATTGAAAGCAAGGTTTTTTAAAACACTCTTAAAAATAGGGTTGTTTTGTATACCTTTATTATATTTATTATATCATTAACGCAAATCTGTAATGTCAGCTCAATGATGCTAAATAAAACTAAACCAACTAATCTATGCATTACTTCTATTGTTTGATGTTCTTTCAGATTGCTATCATATTAAGTCTTCAGATATGTATGTATGTATGTATGTAGTTTCATGTAGGAGTGAATTTCTTCACAGCATTTAGGCCCCAGCAACATCCCCAAAATTTACAGTTCATTCAGGGGTCAGAAAACCAGCTTAAGGTTTTTAATGTTAATATAGAACAGAAGGGTATGCCTTTTATTTCCGAAATTTGGGGCTATGTTACGCTAAAAATGGATTCCACTTACCATTTCACACCCTCTACAAAGGGGTATTTTCGCCGTAACCGGCAGTGTCCGGCCCGGAAGTAGGTGAGGAGCCTCATGTTACTTTTAGACTTTCCCAGGAACTGAGTTGATCTCTTCAGTCAGGGTAGAGCAAAGTTTTCTCTGCAAAGACAATTATTGCACTCATCCCATCTATCGCGAAGAAACTCGATGGGTGATGGAGTTGAACCGGTGAGTTCTTAGCAACCCGTTTCGCTAGCCAATCCGTTATTTCCGGTAGGTATGCTCTTTCCGCCATTTTATCGTGACGTTGTTATAAACATTAGCCTCCTCAAGTGATTATCGACAGGACTTCACTAACGATGATGTAGTTGTCTTAAGACATACAAGCTATCAAAAACTGAAATGAGATCTTACAAGTTTATATGAGTATATATCTTTTAATCACCCTGTAGAAGTTTTAGATATTGAGCATGCGCGTTAAAACGAATGCGGTGAAAATTATTTTTAACTTCGAATGATATAAAATGCCTTAAACATTAACTTTTAAAACCACATCCGCACTTCCCTACAAACAAATAAATCTATTAATAATATTTAAAATTTAGTTTTATCTCATTCAACACAGAAAAGCTGCAACAAAAAAGGTAAATATAACCTAATTCTTAACCGAGCCATCTATCGGTAAAGATCGCAAATACTTCAAATGAGTACAAAGTAAAAAGTTAAAACTTTCCCTTTTTTAAACATCCAGCATTTAACAATGAAGGTTGTAACGTGTATCGCACCGGTAAATATAGCTGTAATTAAATATTGTAAGTATTTCAAATCAATTTCATAATTAATAAATAAGTTTTGATTTCAATTTTTAGGGGGTAAAAGAAATGAGGAACTTATTTTACCAATTAATGATTCAATAAGCACTACATTAGATACAGAGCAGGTAAAATAAAGATTAAATTGATTGAAATAAAATCATAAATAATTTTTTAGATGTGTGCTAAAACGACGATAATGGCAAATCCAAATTTTCAAGAGAATAAATTTTGGTTGAATGGAAAAGAGGAGAATTGTGATAACATCAGAATGCAAAGTTGTTTGAAAGAAAGTGGGTAACCAAATATAGTAACGTTTAAGTTGATTTAAATTGTTAATTTTTGTCCCAGTTAGAAAAAAAGCGAACAAAAACTTGAAATGGTTCGATTGGAAAATTCATATTTGTTCAGAAAATAATTTTCCCACAGCTGCAGGTCTTGCTTCATCAGCAGCGGGATACGCTTGTTTAGTTTTTACTTTAGCTAAATTATATGAAATTGATGGGGAAATTTCCGATGTCGCTAGAAGAGGATCTGGAAGTGCTTGTAGAAGCATTTATGGGGGCTGGGTTCGATGGCATATGGGCGAAAACGAATTCGGTTTTGATTCAATAGCGAAACAAATCGTTCCAAAAACTCATTGGCCTGAAATACGCGTTATCATATTAGTTGTTAATGATTCTAGAAAAAAATATAGTTCAACCTCTGGAATGAAAACAAGTGTAAAAACGTCTTCTTTGCTTCAGTATAGAGCAGAAAGTATTGTTCCTAAACGTATCAATGAAATGATTGATGCAATTAAAAGTAAAAATTTTGAAAAATTCGCTGAAATTACAATGAAAGATTCCAATCAGTTTCATGCAACTTGTTTAGATACTTACCCGCCTTGTGTTTACATGAACGATATTTCCCATAGTATTTGTAGTCTGGTGCATTCTTATAATGAAATTAAAAAATCGATTGAGGTTAGGATATTAAAATATTTAAGAAATAATACTTAAATTTATAATTTAGGTGGGTTATACATTCGATGCGGGGCCAAATGCTTGCTTATATACATTAGAAAAAAATATTTCTGAAGTGATATCCTTAATTAATTACGTGTATCCATCAAGTACACCTAAAGAAGAGTATTTTAGAGGAATTCCGTTTGAAGATTTATCTCAAAATGTGAGGATTTGTAACTTTTTATGATTTTTTTAATTAATTTTTTGTAGATTTCTGAAGATTTACAAGGTAAAGTAATAAATCAACGGATGGAGATGGATCAATTAAAGTATATTATTCAAACTAAAGTTGGCAGTGGGCCTAAAAAACTTGAAGATGAATCTGAACATCTTTTAAATGAAATGGGAAATCCAAAAGTTTTAATTAAATCAATTATTTAAGAAAGTAGGGTTAAATTATATCCAAAAAAGATGTGGTTTGTAATTTTAGAACATGAATTGTCTTTAAAGTTTAGCTCTGGTATTTCAGGTGGTAGACATATTGGAGATAAGTTTCATTTTTATACAAAAAGCTAACATGAAATGTAGTAGGTATTTATAAAAATAATAAAAGACGCATTTAATCTTTGGTAAACTATATTTGGTATAAGTTCACATTAACACAAATACACAGTATCATAAAAATAAAAACTGGTTTTACTAAGGCTTGTTCAAGTGGCGATCATATTCTGGAGCTGAAAACAAAATCAAACAAACAAATTAGTATAAAAATCCCTTAATTAATCAAGGCCCCAAACATGCTTCAAAAATATGATTGATGAACTCCAATCATGCTGTTAAAAATATAATAAAAACCTGTTAAATTTATATTAAAAGCAATAAAAAACTCAATGTTAATACCAAATTATATGTTCTATAAATAAGTTTTAATTTAGTATTTTATATTGTTATAGCAAACTCTCTCAACTTTTTTTATAGAACATTTATGTTATTTTGCCTTCCTTTTTTCACTCACCACATTGTTGATGGTTTACGACTTATTATTATTCTTTACGACCTTTAAAAATAATCATTTTTTAAATAACGAAGAAACAATTTACTAATTCTATAAAATCGAATAATTTTTAAAGCTTTTCTTACCGACTGGTTTTCCATCAACCCACGATGTGAATTTAATGTGAGATTCATTCCTTTTAGCGGCATCTGCTCTAAATTCAGGTTTTAAAGCTTGTCTCAATAGCCGGGCAGCAATAGTTGAGTAGTTAATGTAACTATAAAAATAAATTCATCATAAAATCATCCATTTTGGATAGCTTTACATAACCTATATGCGATCTACGTTTTAAGTAACACGCAGTAAAAAATATATTTTTTAAAAAGCTTACTTTAAACCAGCAGCTCTCCAGGCACTCATTTTAATTGCTTTTTTCGAAAATATAAAATATTTCCAATTAAACCTGTAAAGAATATCCGCGAACGGTCAAAGTCAAAAATGTGATTATGTCATAATACGTTCTAAAGTCGATATTAAATAATCGAATAAATTAAAGCTTATTTATTGTATGTATTAAGAATATAGTTTAAGTTTTGTTATTAATACATTTATTAATAATAATAATAGTTATAATTTTGAGTTATAAAGAAAATAGACGAAATTTTTAAATAACGTTCAGATATTGAATTTCAGTAAAAATTTTAATTTAATAAAAAAATTGTTTATTTTTCAATAAACCCAAAACAACAATCAATTCTATTGGATTAAATAAATATTGTAATATTAAAATCATTAAATATATTAAATATAATTGAATCGTAAACTTTACCAACATTGACATAAAAAAAAAATAAATGTGGCATAAATCAATTGTCAAACATTCATAAAAATTAAACAAATCAAATCAAAAATTTTTCGTTGCTTTTCCTCAATTAATAATTTATTTACAGTTAATTCACTCCCCCAAAATAGGCACGTCGATATTAGGTAAGATGAACTGTACTTATAATAATCATTATGTTAAATGCACTTTTATTTTGAATTTAACATCCCAACGGTTTTCACGTTTCACGTTTTTTATGTTAGATTTCATTCGATCGTATTTTAAATCCAACTCCGTTAACCAAAACTGCATCGAAATGCAAAACCAATCGTCCTCTGACGTTGTAAATCAAGAAATTTACGATTTAAAACGTGAAGTGGCTCGTTTAACACTTTTGGAGAAAGATTATATAGCAGAAATAGAAGGATTACAAATGAGACTCGCGAAAAATAATAAAGATTGGGAAAAAAGAGTAGATGGCTTGGAAGAAGAAAAACGCGCTATGGAGCTGGCTAAAACGGAAGCCCTCGAAGAAGTTGAAGCCGCTTTACAAGCTAAATCTGAGCAGCTAAAAGTTTTAACTGCACAAATAGAATCTATGTCTAAAAGAGGGTCTGTTGTGGAAGATTCGGATGAAATGCAATCGTTACTTCAAAAAGTACAAGAATTAGAATTGGAAATATCTAAGTTAAAAGAAGAAAACAGCGTGATGAGAGAGAGTGCTTTAAATCTCGAAAATGATATTCATATTTATGAAGAAAGCATGAATGTAACGGATTTAATAATTTTATATTTATGCTTAATGATTATACTTTCTTTTATAGAATTTAAAAAACGATTTCAATATATTATCCGAAAACTATCAACGTAAATCGGATGAGTTACAGGAATCAAAAAAATTAGCTGATACATTACAAGAAGACCTAATGATGGCAAAAACGGAATTAGATGTACTGAAAAGTAAACCTGATAGTTCGAGCGGTCAAGGAAATTCGTTATTTGCAGAAGTCGAGGAAAAGTATTTGATTTAATTTGATTAAAAATAATTAAAAAATAATTCAATTTTAATTGTTTTTAGACGAGTTGAACTTCAAGGAAAAGTGAATAGAATGAAAAACCATTACGACGAAATGAAACAGCAAATATCGAGATTGGAAAATCAAGTTTTTAAAATGAGAGTTGAAAATGGTACATTACAACAAAATTGGGAAAAAGAAATTGAAGATAGAAACAATGATAGATTAGATTTAGAAGACAGCTACAAGTAAGAAAAATAACTAAAACATTTAATCGAACCACATGTATTTTGAAAGCAACAATAAAAATTATTTAAAATTTTTTAGGGTTCGTATTAATGTGTTAGAATCTTTAATAGCCGAATATAAAAAGGAATTAGATTCGCGTCCATTAATAGCCGTAAAAGCGTTGAAAGATGAAGAATTATCACTGATCGAGTATAGAATCGACATGAAGAACAAACAAATCAACAATCTCTTAGAAAAATATGACCGCACATCTCTATCTAACATGTTGTTAGTTGATCGGAACAGAGAAGTTATGAGAGAATCAAGTTCTTGGCATTTACGATTCGTTAAAATCCAAGAAGAACTTGATGTTAAAGAAGAAACAATTACGAAATTAAAAGAACAAATAAAAGAATTACAGGAGTCTTATGAAACACTTATTGTCAAAGAAAAACCGGATGACTCACCTGCACAATCACCAGTTCTTGTTCCTTGCATAAATTATATGTCAGATAAGAATATTGATCTGTCAAGGTTAATGAAACGATCTGCCAGTTTGGTGAAAAGCAAAAATTGTGTGAAAGAAGAAGATAAAGAAAATGACGTTTTTCAAAAGAAACAAGTTCAATTTTCGAGTGATACAAAAGACTTCCAAAATAAAGGGAAGATTTTTCGTCAAGGTGGAAAAGTAACTATCGAAAATACTGTATTGAAGAAAAAAGAATTCATAAAGAAAGAGTTCTAATTAATTAATTTTTAAGATATGAGTTGAGATTTAAATTAGTTTTATTTTGATTTAAATGTATATTTGATGTAATAAAGCTTACAGATATTCTTTTTATTAAGTGGTTTAGAAATTTATGAACAGGCTCGTATAGACCAAGAAATTATAGATTTGAAGAAATGAACTTAAAATAATCTGCTCTAGAACCTGTACAGGATGGTTCAAATTCGATGTCCAAATAGGCTAACTTGGAAACTGGTTTTTTACAGAGAATTTGATGACGAAGTCAAAAAAAACTTTTCGGTTAGATTTTGAGATATGACAATTTTCGTTTTTTTAAATTGAAACAACCACTGATTATTCGCTTATTGAATTCGTTATTTTTTTCTGATTACAAAAATATAGGGTTCGACAAGTCTGTTTCTTATTGTTTTAAAATAAAGCTAAAAATAAACTTTTTTAGTGTCGTCAAAGAAATTAAATTTACAGTTTCCTGTAAATTATAACTAAAAATTAAAAAAACATATTTCTGATATTTGAAACTAATAAATTTGTTGAATTATTTAATTTATATTAGTGTTACACAAAAGTTGGAATAGATTGCATTATTTAACATTTTTTTTTGATATTTAATATTATTAAATGACTTAATAAATTATTGATAGATGGCGCTCATATATTTTTTTAATTCTGAAGTGTCAAATTAAAGATCCTGTTTTTTTAAATAGATTACGAAAATTACGAAAAGTTTAACATGTTAGAATGTTACATATTAGAAAATAAAGTAAATTTTATATTAATTTTTAGTTATAGTAGCACTATACTCCATTTCAACGATATTCATGCATTTTTATTTTTCATACCTATTTACATGAAATGAATAAAAAAAAGTAAGGAAAAAATTTAAATATATATTAATGTTGATTGTAGTTATTTTGATTGTAAATAGCTTATTATTACTTATCTTATTTATATATTTTGTTTTTGACCGTAAGAACGTAAAAAACCTTGTATTATTTATGATATTTCAGAAATATACAGGATGGTTCAGTTTTTAATCGGGAAATTTTACTAGGATGTAGTACTTGCCAAAATAACACAAGTTTTTTATATAAACATAAGGTCGCAAGGCTTTTGTTTTCGAGCTATGAGCTATCAAAGTTGAGCCAAAAATTTACATTTTATCTTTTATTTCGGGTATAAGTAAACCGTAGAATTTGAAATTTTGTATGTATGTACTACTAGTTAACACCTTATTTTCAACCATACTTTAAACTTACCTAGCGCTCTCTAAGAGGATGAAATTCATAACTCTTTTGATTTTTTTATAACAACTTTTTAACGCCATGGAATATTAACATAAAAAAAATATGGGTAATAAAGATTATTCATTATTGCTACTGTTTTGTCTCTTTAGTTTTTTTTAAAGGTAATAGTTTTAGCAAAAAAAATAGTAAAAATTTCTTTATAGTTGGCCATGGAAGTTACGCACTTACTAGGAAATATCTGCTCTATGCAGACATTTGTTCAAAAAATCAGAGAACACTCGATTTTTGGAATATCAAGTTAGGATTCAGAACATGCTTCAGCAACATGATGGAGTATGTTTTGGTGGCAAGAACGGCTGTCTAGATCGTTTGGTCACTTAACTATGACACGTTAACTTTTGGAAATTTGGAAGTTCCTATAATATATATATATATATAATATATAACTACATATATTTTATTATTTAGTCGTCTTCGGCGTCTCATTTGACATCTTTTATACCTGATGTGTCCTATATCTAACATTAATAGTTTGGGAAATAATTAAGGTTTTTTGAAAAATAGGGTGTTCCATTTAAAAAAATAAAGTATAACCGGACGTGCTAGAAATCTGAAAATATTTTAGTCGAAGACTTAAATCTGAATTTTCAAATTTTTATTTTGGCCAGAACCCCAGAAACGTCTAATGAACAATCTCGCTGAGACACCTGTATATATTTATTTACTCAGTAGTTAAAAAAGAAATTGGCCATGAACAAATGTTGTTACCAACCAGGAATTTTTGACCACATCATCACATTCTCTGTAAAAAAGAGTCCATATAATAATGTTTTAGTTATAATACTTCACCTATAATAATAACTAATAACCAAGATAATTGCACTTGCTGGTTTTTGCGATATTTTCAATTTTGACCGCTAGGGGAAAAACAAAAGACGATAGCGCTTTGAAGTTTTCGACATTGGAATTTATTTAAAAAAAAGAGATCGAGACATGTATTTTTTTCTAACTCTTATAGTTTCCGACATAGCCTATTCGGACATCGAATTTGAACCAGCCTGTACAATGATATGTACAGACTGGTTCAAATTCGATGTCCGATGAGTCCTTTTCCAAGCAAAAACCTTTTCATTACTTGAGCCAGTCTATATTTCTTTTATTGCTTTACTTAGGCTTACTGGTCTTCTTATTTCTTTCTAGTCGTAATTAGAATTAACAAACTATTTTAAAACTAAAATAAATTTGTTAAGTTGAAAATTTTTTAACCTCAAAATAAACATTCCATTAAAACTTTCAGTGCTTAATATTATTAATTATTATAGATCAATCATTAATTAAAATAACGTTAAACAAGCAAATGTGTTAAAAACATGAAATCCTTACAATACTTATAAAAAAACTTAGTTAATAAGTTTTACTTTTCTAACCTCAAAAAACATTTCAAACCTCAATTACCTAAATAAAAAAAATATGGAGAATAAAGAAGGTAAACTACTATATTTCATTTAAATCTATACATATCTTTACATAAACCGTTTTTCTGTAATTTCAAGATTCATTAGAAGTTTTAAAATCGAGATTAAACCATATAACCTCAAAGATAATAAAATTAGAAGATGAGCGAATGAGAATATCAACAACTCTCCATAAACTCAACGTGGAGAAAAAGGAAATAGAATCTAAAATACAAATCAAAAACACTAAAGAGTTAAGTTCGACCTGGATAACATTTTCAAATGAAAGTTACGATTGGAGTGAAAAAGCCCAATCCGTTCTTGAGAGTAAATTTAAATTAAATTCATTTAGGGAGTGTCAATTAGCTGCTATTAATGCTGTTATGTCTAAAAAGGATGTTATTCTTCTTATGGCTACTGGGGGAGGGAAATCTTTGTGTTATCAATTGACTGCATTATTATTGAAAGGGATTACTTTAGTGATATCTCCTTTAATATCATTAATTGAAGATCAGGTATGTCATTTAACACAACTTGGGATACCCGTTGAAAAATTAGGGCAAGGATTAGAAGTTTCATTAAAGAATGAAATTTTTGGGTGTTTAGATGGAAGTAAAAAGCAATCTTTTCAAATACTATATGTTACTCCAGAATTTTTAGTTAATAGCAAAAAATTAATGACATCATTACAAAAATGTTATGATTCCGGTAGATTAAGTTTAATAGCTGTAGATGAAGTGCATTGTATATCAGAATGGGGACATGATTTTCGAAAAGATTACTTAAATCTGGGAATGTTGAGACAATTATTTGAAACAGTTCCAATTATGGGATTAACAGCTACAGCTACTGTTAAAGTCGTTGATAACGCTATAACTAATTTAAATATTCCCAATGCGATTTTAATAAAGAAAAGCTTTTTGAGGAAAAATTTAATGTATCATGTTGAACCTAAACCTGAAAACATGGAGAAATATATCTCAAAATTAATGAGTTATATGAAAGAATTTAAAGATCAATCAGGAATTTTTTATACCGCAACAATTAAAGATGCAAACGACATTGCTTACGCTTTACATCAAAAAGGATGTAAAGTTGGTCGTTATCATGGCGATTTAACTAAAGAAGATCGATCAAAAATTTATAAGAAATGGTTAGAAGGTACATATCAAGTTGTTGTAGCTACAATTGCTTTTGGTTTGGGTATTGATAAGCCTGATGTGAGATTTATTGTTCATATAACAATGCCGAAAAGTTTGCAAGGATTGTATCAAGAAAGTGGAAGAGCTGGAAGAGATGGAAATCCATCAACATGCATTTTATGGTATAAAATCGATGACTATTTAAAACTAGCTTCAAATTCGCATTCTAAAATTGAACAAGAGAATTCACTCGAAATTTTTAAGTATTGTTTAAATAATGTAACCTGTCGCCACGCGATTTTATGCAAACAATTTGATGAAAATTATCCAAAGTGTGAAACATCTTGCGATAATTGTAACAAAAAATTTACCACCAAAACATACTTGATAAAAAAATTTGCAAACGAAATTAGTAAAGTGTTTCAAAACGATAAAGAAACACGATTTACTTTAAAAAAATTAGTTCAAGCTTGGACGAAATTAACCAAACGGAAATTATCTGACGGGATTTTAGAGTTTATCATAGCTAATTTAATTAAAGAAAATTATTTAAAACTTTACTTTAATTACACACCATACACCACAAATGTTTATATTAGATTATCCGAACAAACTGAAAGTGAGGATATGTTTTTAGTTACTATGAGAGAAAATAAGGAACTTGAAAAAATGTTGGGGGGTTCTGATTCATCAGAAAATGTGAAACGAAAAAGTGATAAAGTAGAAAATTCAGGTGATCATTCAAGGAAAATTAAGAAATCTAAAAAATCTGTTGTAATTTCATCTGATGATAGTAATTAGGTTTTATATTTATTGTATTTGTATTTGAGGCTTTTGTGAATAAAGTTTCCATTATTTAATTTTTGAGTAATAATAACTTTTCTTTCAAAAATTAACTTTACTCTCAAACTCGACGAGATGAAGAACACCTCTACATGACTCTCTCTCTTCAATGGCGCTACAGTCCAAAGTGAGCCTTGGTCTTCTTTATCTTTTGACTTCAACACGTCCTATCAATAGCTACTGACTTCCCGGTTCTCTTGAATCGTGTGTCCTCCATCACTTCGTCCTTTCATCGTTTTCGTGGCTTCCCTCTTCGTCTCTTGCCTTGCATTCTACTGCTTAAGACAGCCATGTCAAACTCAAAGTGACTGGTGGGCCAAAAGTATAAAGAAATCTTAAAATCCTAAAAACGCCTGTCAAATTCTACCAGAAGGCTTCCCATTTTCTCTCTATATATTTTGTATGATATTAAGTAGTGATGGAACGAATAGTGATTTTGCGAAAAGCCAGATACCGGATATCCGGCATATCTATCCGGCCGGATATCCGGTTATCCGGCATATCTATCCGGCCATTATGGTTATAATTTCTGAAGTAATACCTTACATTGCCACATTACTGCGATATTTGAATAAAAATGAAATTAGTAAGAAAGCTGATCAGATATGTTAACGATGATACTATAATTAATAATTGGTGATATTTACACAAGGATCCTTATAGCGAATTGTGAAAGTTATTGATGAAAATTGCAACATCGAAAATTTTATCAAAACTTCAAATATTGTTTTCTCAAAAACTAAAAGTTATTTTTCAAAACCTGTTGGTTCATTGGAAAGAGGACACTCTTATTAACACTTTGGGAAATTTTCAAACACGTATTCCAAGAAATGGATTTTATACGAATTTTTAAAACTTAATCGGCAAAAATTGCAAAATTCGAAAAAACTGTTGAATGTTTCAAAAATTTATTTCTCAAGAACTAAAAGTGATTTCTCAAAACGGGTTTTTGCATTAAAAATGGGATACTATAATTAATAATTGGTGGTATTCCCACAAGGATCCTTCAAGAAATGAATTTTATAGCGAATTTTGAAAATTATCGATGAAAATTACAACATCGAAAATTTTATCAAATCTTTAAATATTGTTTTCTCAAAAACTAAAAGTTATTTTTCAAAACGGGTTGGTTCATTGGAAAGAGGACACTTTTATTAACACTTTGAGAAATTTTCATACTCATATTCCAAGATTTATTTAAGATCTTTATATTTAAGATTTTACAAATTTTTACTAATTCCTGTGAATGGTGGAGTAATAGGTTTTTAATATCCGGCCAAAGATAAGCCGGATACTGGATAGTTACCGAATATCCGTTCCAGCTCTAATATTAGGATACTTGTACTTTCCTGATACGCCTTACAAGTCGGAAAATGTGACAGACTCCACAGCTAACTTTTTTTTCCTTGTTTTCCGTAACTTGACGTGGTCCTTGCAATTTCGTATTTAAGTCCGACAAGTGTTTTGTGTTATCTACCATAAATGAAAGATCTTAGTACGCCGGATAATAAACTGTTATCTTGTCCTTTCATTTCCATGAAAGAGCGTATTTCTTCTTTAAGTTTCCAAAACCGATCGAGAACCATAAAACACGAAAGTCATCGCATTTCCGCATAATAAGGTAAACCAGTTTAAATCTCACTTTCTAAATCACGTAAAAAGACGAAAAACTATCCCTAATTAAAGCCACGTGACCTTATGAAGTTTAGCATCTTTTTCAGCGATTTTAAAAAGCTTTCCAACTTCATCAGTTTTGAGCATAAAGCATCTTGGTGAATTATACAATGAACATGATAAAAGTCTGGTTTGTCACTGCCCGTTTCTCTGATCTCTGTCTGTAATATTTTAATCAAGCCATTATTTACTCCAGTCATGGACGGAGTCTGTTGTAACGGAACACAGTTTTGACAAATCTAAATTGTACTCTTGCAAAAACCATGACAGTCCATAAACAGTATTGAAAATATCTTCCCCAGTTGTTGTGTCATGCAATGGTACTAATTCCAGTAATTCTTCATAAACGTTGATATCTAGCTTGTTGCGCCACACCACACAAATCTGTACTTTCATCACAGGCAATAGAAATTGCAATGAAAGAGTCTGATTTAGTTTTTATCTGATCACTTATATTGGCAGCCAACTTAGTAACTTTTTCAGAGACAGTATTCCGGGACAAGGATATATTTTCGTGGGACTTACAATTTCTGCGGCCTTTACAAGGCACTCAACTATAAATTCACCTTCAACAAATGGTTTTGAGTGTTTTGCGATCAACTCCGACAGTACGTAGCTCGCTTGAACAGCAGCTTCATTCTCTTGTTTTGGACGTGTAAACATAAGCTGTTGATCTTTTAACCGTGATTTAAACTCATTTAACTTTTCGCTTCTAATCATGCCTGTATACTGGCCAAACTTAGTTTTATGACAATCATAGTGACGTTTTATATTATATAATTTTGGGACACCGACTGTAGTATTATAAATCAAGGAAATAATTTTCTCTTTTACTTCACAGCATAAAATACGATGCTCATCCACGCTCGTAGGCCGCATTATGTGGCTTATGTGTTTTCAAAATTGATTCGGGCCGCAGGAAAATGCTCGGTGAGCTGCATGCTTGACATGACTGGTATAAGAGCCTTTTTGGCATTCTATCCTTGCTAATTCGTGCAACTTTATTATTTTCTATTTCTTTTGCCAAATTTGACAAATACGTGACAAATTTCTATTTGTTGAATACGCATTGCCAATGTAAGAGCCGCTCTCACTATGTTTCTGTTTTATTTGACGGTTACGGCATACCTTGTCTGCTTTTCGTCTCGCTTCTTTTTTGCATCTTTCGTCGAACCACTGCATTTTCTGATATTTCGATTTTGAGCTTATCGCAGTACTTCTCTATACATAGATTTCCTGTGTCCGAGAATCTGTTCATTAGCTCTCGCTCACTCCCATCTGCCTTATCTTGTACTGCGGAAATTAAGAACGAATAAAAATTATTAATTGTATAAATAATAAAGAATAGATTTAAAAAACTAAGTAAGAAATACAAGTAAGTTGAACGGATATGCATCAGCATAATGTAACAAATAGATACTTGTCGACGGTGCATATCCGTTATGAAACGAAAAAAAATTATTGCTTCAGATTTGTAAAACAGTGCGGTGTTAAAAGAGAATTCTAGTAATACACATTTAATAAAATGTTATTGGAGTTTTATTGAAAATACTTAAACTTGGGAGTCCACGATTAAATAAAATTATTTATAACAATCTTCTCAATGTCCAGCCGTGAAACTGTTTGAGTTGGCTTTATTTGATATCAAAATCTTATTTGACCTAATAGGTGATTGGTATAACAATTGTTGTTTATAATAATAATATATTTTCATGTTTAGAGTGTAAATTTGATTAGCTACGGTACCGCCTGACATAATTCATTTGTGTGGAAGAAGGTTGAACTGATGATTTCCTGGTGGCGAAATTAATTACGAATTTTCCATTTTCATTGGTGTTCTCGTGGGGTTTACCGATGTTCCTTCAAAATGTGGAGAACAAAGGGTGCAAGAATTTGTAGAACACATCCCGTTGCTAAATTGCCGGCTGAGCAGCAGTGATGGAGAGAGTTTAATGTATAGTGACTTCGATTGGGTCTTGTTGGATTGGGGATCTGTCCACAATGATCAACATACTTAGAAGACCCGGAACCTAGAAAGGTGACTAGAGGATGACATCGCCGACAAATTGCACTGATCAGCAGAGCAGTCCCTGGCGGAATATAACCCTAGAACCCTAGAACTTAGAAAATTGCTGTTTAAATGAACTTTTATTAATCACCCATTAGTTGTATATAAAATAAGTCATTGCAAACCTTTACAAATACAATAATCAGTGTGCTTGGACAAAATCATTGTCTTTAAATAGTTTAAGAATAAACTTTTAATAATATTTAAGTTTAATATTTAAAGACAATGGACAAAATGAACATGTTTATGGTGATAAAATTTGATTAAAAGAACGCTTATTCTCCTTCATATCAAATTCCGCCCAAATTAAGTTGATATGATTTTCTCGGTATTTTGTAATACAATAGCCATATTGTTTTTAATTCCTGTTAGTCAGCGGATTATGGCCAAAATCACGTTATCAGCACTTTTCGCACTTTTTGAAACTAAATCTACTATGGAATAGGCAACCATTTTAACATCGTTCCCACTTCATCTTACTCACCAAACCCACATAAGTCTATCTCTCTTATATTAACTTGTGCGATCTAAACACCGCCGAATACCGATTGTGAACCGACATAACCTCAATCACATAAGTGTTCATAACATTTTTGAGTGTTTCGTTCTTTTTTCGTAATGATTTTATACGAAATTTAACGCTGAGCTAGCGTAACAATAATCCTATTAGATTAATCATCACAAACATGTTAGTTCGTGTGGTGAACGTTGATTTTTATATGCATCCCCCGATTTCCAATCTGGACCCCTTGTATTCTGAATTTCGGGGTTCCGCAATACACCAGGTACCAATTTTAAGAATATTTGGGTCCACCGATGCTGGTAAGATAATATTTTAATCGGTTTTTCTAAATTCAAAACGTTTAAATTCTTTAATAATAAAAAATGTTTTATGTTTTCTTTGTAGGTGTAAAAACATGTTTACACATCCATGGGGTATTCCCATATATTTATATACCTTATGATGGACAAGAAGGGGTTGATAGCTTTATATATCAATTAGCTGCTAGTTTGGATAAGGCAATTAATGTTTCATTGGGACAAACAGCCTCTAATATACAACATATTTTTAAGATTACACTTGTGTCAGGAATGTAAGTAATATAATACTTCATTTTGATTTAAAATTCAAAGAATTTGATTTTTTTTTGATTATTTACTTTCATTTTAGTCCTTTTTATGGTTATCATCCAAAACACCATCAATTCCTCAAACTTTACTTTTATAACCCCTTAATATTAAAGAAAGCCTGTGCCTTACTTCAAAACGGAAGTATTATGGGAAGAATATTTCAACCTCACGAAGCACACATCCCATACATACTTCAATTTATGATTGACTACAATTTGTATGGAATGAGCTTTATAAATGTTTCTGAAGTAAAATATCGAAGTAACATCGACTTAATTGATATACCTGAAGAATTAATATTACCATCAACAATACAAAAAATGAGTACCTGCAAATTAGAGATTGATGGGTTAGCTGAGAACATTTTAAACCGTTCAGAAGTAAATTCACAAAGTTTAGGATTAAACCCAGGTATACAAGCCCTTTGGGATGATGAGAAACAACGTAGAAGGAATGTTGGTGATAATTCTTTGGTTGAACATTGTTTAACACAAAACAGAGTTGATATTGAACCAACAGCGACTCATTTAGCATATTTAAACGCTTTAAAAGAAAAACTAAAGAAACCATCGAAAAATGAAGATAACGAAGACAAACAAAATTTAAGTGTATATCCAGCTGAAACGCCTAAGGATAATACAAAAAAAATTTTAAATGCTTCAACTATTGAAAGTCATATTTACAACTCTCAATCGTCTGATTCGACGTTTTTAGATTTTACAATCACTCCAGAAGAGACTGAGGCTAATCTTTCTTTGGATAGGGATGCGAAGGAGTTTTTGGAAATTTTGGGAGATCTTCGGGAGAATATAGAAAGTGATAGCATTCTTTCACAAGCATTACCTGAGCGGGAATCAGATGATGAAGAAAAAGAAGATTTAAGTATACCTTTACCTTATATTAAAACTCCAGTTAAAAGCGACGAACAAAATTTGGATCAAAGTGACGCAGATTTGGATGAATGTTATTTTGATTTATCCCTAAGTATTCCACAACTGGATGGAGCAGATGATTTAACCCCTACAAAAAGGGTAACAAGAAAGAAGGCTATTGAATGTTGTTCGATTGGAGCAGGTAAGTTTTAACTATAAATTTCGGCCAGGTTTTATAAAGTCTTAATCATGATGTTGGCTGGTTAAATTTAGCATTCGATTTAATTGTATTTATTTTAAAATAGTAAAGTCGGGTGATTAAATAGCGTTGCGCTAACGTTATGCTGTATTATACAGTGATTCACATAAGAGTTGACACAGAGCAGAGATATGTAGAGGACAATAAATTAAGATGATTTAATACAACTTATCTCTATACTAAGTTGTATCCCTGAGGAGTTATAGGCCTTCAAAGTTGGGTCTTAAATGTTTAAAACATTCAATATCTTGGTAATACATTAAGCTAGAAAAACCAAATTTGGTATACGTTAAGAGTGTACCAAGGAAGCAAGTTGAGACCAATTGAGACATTTCAAAGGGTTGATTAAGTGTGATGGTCCCCTAAATTTTGAGAGATTTTAATAATCTTTTGGCGGATTTAATACATTATTACCTTAATTCATGTGGAATTTAATTCTAAAACTTTTTTTACTCTTATTATTTTTTAAAAAACTTTGTAGTTTTCATGAAAAACTCAAATAACTAAAGACACATATTTCGTCAATGTTACTTAAAATCATCGAGAATTCAAATAGTGAAATTGTACGTCAAACTTTACAAATAGGTTATAAAAGCCTTGTCGTTTACATAAAAAACTCAAACAACCAAAATACCTTTTATCAATTCTACTTAAAAACACAAGTAAAACAATAATGATTTTACAGAAAAACAACTTAAACAATAATAGAAACAAAAATTTGAATACACTTACAGTGACTCCAAAATCTATTCGCTCCCCATGTGTACTTATTCGCACTTGTAGTTTAAAAATAAAATAAATTACAATAGAAAAGATTTTCTTATAATACAAATAGATGTTCTAATGTCCTTATAAGAAATTAACAAGAAAAAATTATGGGTAGAAAACAGTGCGAAACATCTATGCAGGGTGATTCAAGAAACCGCTCACAGACTTCTAGGGCAGGTAATACATCAAAAAGTAAGATGAAAAGTCTTAATATACTTGGGGTCGCAACTGCTTCGTTGGCGAGATATAGAGGATCAAAGTTTCTTTAAAATTAAACATTATCTGCTATAAAAAGCACTTCATTCTATTCATCTTAATTTTTCATGTATTATCTACTCTAGAAGTCTGTCAGCGGTTTTTTGAATAATCCTGTAGAAGTTAGTTAAAATTCGAGATATTGGTGAATGTGTAAAAACACCGAAAAAAAGTATTATTGATAGATTCGGTTCAAATAATTGTTTCAACAACGCTGTCAGAACTGATCGTCCTCAAAATCTCACTTGTAAAGAAAAGAGAATTATTGTCAACAAAATTAAAACAGATCCTAATTAAAGTGCAAATAAGCAAAATGAATGAACAAAAAAGAACATTATTCGCTAAAATTAAAATAGAAAAAAATAGTAGAAATGAGTTCTAGAACAAAGTAATATTTACCGATGAGAGTAAGTTTAACATTTATGGATCCGACGGGCGACGAATGATATGGCGGCAAAAGAATAAAGAACTGGAAGAAAAAAATTTCAGACCTACACTGTATTTCATTGATGGAATCATGGATCACAAGCAATGTATATCAACATTTTGGAAACAAATCTTCGAAGCAATGTTGAAAAAATGGGGCTAAATAACGATTACGTATTTACCTAAGACAACAATCCGAAGCACACAACCTGGAATTCTAAAATGTGGTTACTTTATAATACTCCAAAATAAAATGGAGTGAAACCCCTCCACAATCGCCTGACATTAACCTTATTATTGACAATTTGTGGAGTTACTTGAGCCGAACATCAGAAAACACAGTATTCAGAATTTAAAAGATCTAAAGGCAGCTTTGACTATTGGGTGGGAGAAAATCTTAATAGATACAACACAAAGTTTAGTATAGTAGAAACCACGTGAGCTGGCAGTAAGTCATCGCTTAAAAATGGTATGAATAAAGATATGGACGTACGACTTAGATTATTACATACATTTAAATGTAGATTATGTTAGTAATGGAGGTTATATGTGTCAATCATTGTTAAAGATAGGAGAGGTTAACCATCGAAAAAGCGTTAATATTAATTTATAATAAAGTTTATGTTATAATAAAGAACATGACACATCAATTTTTAACACAATTTTTAATCCTCTTCAATCATAATTCAACAAAATTCTCTGCGTGGTTCAATAATACAAATATAAAAAGAAATACCAAATGACTCATTTTATAGGACACGTTTGTAACAAAATGACGTAATCTCCTGAAGATGCTGTAAATGTATAGCGAAACCGGTTGAGAGAAAAATTAAATAAAAATCCATTTAAGTGCAAAAACGAATTTTATTTATTAAATAGTTTAAAAGGTTATTTACAGGTCGCAAGGGTTTAAGTAAGTTTTATTTAAACAATGGCTCATAATTTATGTACAAAATAGGGCCGTTAACTATTTTTTTTTTATTGGCTCATTCGAAAGTTTTTTAAAATTGATTGACCCCATATTTTTTAATTTTTGATTCTGAGGCTTAGTTTTTCCAAAAAAAAATAATAAAGTTAGAAATTACAGGCCGCGAATTCAGTAGCGCGTCACTCAGATTTGAGCGTATGATTGGAGCGTATAAAAATCAATAAAATTCCTAGAGAGAGACAATGCTACGAATCTTATGCGCTAGAAGAAAACAGAAGAAAACGGGAGAGAAATCACGTCTGTGATTTCTTTCTTCTTACTTAAAACGTCACAATGAATCAGGGGTGGGGAATTTTAAACTTTTACATTAATTATTGCAAAAATTAAACAATTTTCGAACGTGAAAACGTTACTAATCCGTCTAATTTAATTTACATTATCGATTTTTTGAAAGACGGTCTTTCTAATCGATTGACGTTAACGGCCCTATTAAGCCATATGATGGAACATTTATTTATACAGTGTGTCCCAGAATAGATGTTACAAGAGGTATAATGACTTAAACATTTTTGTAATTTATTTTAAGGCTAAGGAATATATAAGGTAGGCTAAGGTATATTTTCATATTTTGAAAACAAAGGCGGCCTTGACAATGAATTGAAAACTATTTGTAGTTTAGGTAAAGTAATCTTTTTGTGCATGATACGGAAAAATTTTATTAAGAAAAGTTGTTCAAAATGAGAAATTATGGTCCTATACAAAATTTCAGAAGGATCTATCTACTTTGGTTGAACAATCACATTTTAGTTTAAATAACATAAATATTGTATAGTAACTGAAATGTGAACTAAAACTGAGGGATAATGCAATTTATTTGTCAATATTTGGGACTATTTAAGTCATTTTTTTTCCATGGCATTTTTCATTGTTTTTTTTTCTTCACTCTGACCTAATCTAAAATATTATGGTAGTTTAATCAATGTAGGTAGATCTTTCTGAAATTTTGCATAGTGCCATAATTTCTCATTAATAATGCGAAATTGTTAATTGTCATCATTATTCATAAAATTAATAAATTGATTTTAAATTAATAATTTATACAAGTGAAATACTTAATTAACTTTCCACGTGTGCTGTCCACCGTTTTTTAGTTAATATCCGTTACGTTTAAACAAAGGGTTGCCCCTTTAAAGGTTTTATATTTACCTAACAGTGGTTGAAAAAAATTTTCACTCACTCTAATTGCAAATAACAACTTTCAACACTCGTATCCAAGCTAGAAACTGACAATTTCGAAGGTAGGATTGAACAAATGGTTGTTTACATATTACATCAATTAAGAGCATGACAATGTCAGAAACTGCTGTTATCGCCGACATGTCTTCATGAAATTACTCAGGAATTATCGAATTTTAATACGGGTTTTCTCTAAATAGTAGGATTGAACAAAACGCTATACAGCACACGTGGGAAACTAATATTTTCCACTAACTTGTATGTCTTTCCGACATACGCGTTAATTAAAAATCATAGTTTCCTCACTTGTACTGTAATATACTATTGATTTGTTTTATTAAACCTCAGTGAGTGAATACTTTTTAAGTGCAAAAATTTGAGTTTGTTTTTTATTTTTTATTATTGTTGACTAATTTCTTATATGGACATTACAATGTCTATTTGTATTATAATAAATCTTTTCTATTGTAATTTATTTTATTTTTATCAAACTAATAGTGCGAAAATTTATAATTAATTAACTAATAATAATAATAACTAATTAATAATTAGGCAAAATTAGCCTCTATATTAAATTTGCCTCTATTAGGCAAATTCCTATTGGCATGGTGAGCCAATAGTTTTTGGAGTCACTATATAATTTATAAAAATTATTGAAAATGGCCATCATTTTCTCTCAAGCATAAATTTATTCTTCGTCAAAAATTGAAGTCCATTCTTTCTAATAATTGATGATTATTTCTTATGCTATTACATTTCTTCGTAATTCGATGCCACAATTCTGCTTGTGACGCAACTGAAGAAGAATATACAGATTCTTTTAGCATTCCCAAAAGAAAATAATCACATTTATTTGAGTCTGGTGACCTCGGGGGCCAAACTAGTAGGCAATTATTTCCACTTCCTATTCATTTATTTGAATACTGGCGGTTCAAAAAATCTCTCACAGCAATACTAAAATGAGACGGGATCCATCATGCACGAACCATTGTTCCCGTCTGAGTTGCAGTGGCACCTTATCAAACAAATCTGGCAGTGTTTTGGAGAAATTCCAAATAATTTTCGCCATTTAGTCAATGTAATGTGGGTTTACATCAGAATATTGAGAGTAATTATGTAAATTTGTAATGCCTCTGCGGGTAAAACAAGTCTCGTCAGTAAAGCGAATTTTCTTTTGAAAATGAATATTTGATGTAAAATAAATTGACAGAAAGTTACTCGCTTAAGCAAATCTTCCGGCAATAACTCCTGTACTTTTTGAACATGATACAGGTGGAGTAGGTTATGTCTGAGAAGTCGGGGTACAGAACTTTACGATATTCTTGTACTTGTATCTAGTTCACCTTCAACTATCTTCAAAACAAGTTCTTCGTCTTGGGCCCTAATCGCACTAACACCTTCCCAAGTGTTACTAAAAAACTTGCCTGTTTCTCTAGCCCGTCTTTTAACATTGGAAAATGTTTCTCTATGGGGGATCACGCGATTAGGATATCTTCTCCGATATTCTTCAACACTCTTTCTGCAGTTTCCTTCACAGAAACCTAGCACTAACAACATGTCCACTTGTTCGCGAAATTTTCAAAACAAACAGTAAGCAATAACTAAAAAATCACATAACTTTATAACCTATTTGCCAAGTTTGACGTACAATTTCATAGCCGACTACTGAATTTTCATTTATTTTAAGTAACATTAACGAAATACATGTCGTTAGTTATTTGAATATAAAAACGGCAAAGTTTTTTTTTAAATAATAAGAGTAAGAAAAGTTTTAGAAATAATTCCACATGAAATGAAATAATAATGTATTAAATCCACTAAAAGGTTAAAAATATCTGTCAAAATTTAGGGTACCATCACCCTTAAACAACCCTTTGAAATGCCTCAATTGATTTCAATTTGCTACTAATTCTTTCATAACGTATACCAAATTTCGTACGTTTTATTTTTAATTTACGAAGATATTGAATGTTTTTTCTTCGGGTAAAACGTAGTATAGAGGTAAGTTACGTTATATCATCTTAATTTATTGTCCTCTACATGTCCCTGCTCTGTCGGTTCTTATGTGAATCACCTGTATTTATTATTGCCGTTTTATATTTATGCCGTGTATATTAGTTGTCGTAGTGATGATTATATTTATTGGTGATAGTTCCTGTATTTCGCTGTGATTTTGCAGAGTAAGTTTATGAGTTTTAAGGAAATTGTATAAAATTTTAATTGAGATCTTTTTCAGAGATGAATTCAAAAGGAGATAAAAATATGGTGATTGTTGCTTTATGGGAATCTTTAAAAGATTCGATAGAAGATATGTGTATAAATTGGTAATACTAGTAATTGTTATTCCCTCTGTGCATCACTTAATAATAAATTAAATTAAGGCGATGTTCTTAAAGAAATGATTTTTATTATTTGTAAATAACAATAAAGTTAATTACATATTTTCTCTCTATTGATTAAATGAAATTGATATGGAAGAAAACCAGGTTTAGTGGTTTCTCAGTTAATTAAGGTCAACCAGATGATAGTAATAAAGGTATAGTTATGATCAAATAGGTGTTTTACCATGTGATTTTATCATTTTTGATTGTTAACGTTTGTTCTGACAGTATTTGTTGATAACTTGTTTTTTTTTTATCTTTATAAAATGTCTTGCGGCTTTGCTGGATCGACGTGCTTTCACGCCGATGGACTAATTGACTAACATGATACTGATTGAGCTTTTATAAAACCAAGCCTACTTATTTTTTGTTAGATTGTATAGAAAATGTATTGTAATTCTTCCTTACTATCGTTGCTAAAAGTCAAGGCCCCTTAATTTACAGACCCATATCTTCGCAACCATTCGACGAAAAAAAACTTTTTCCACTTTTCCTTTCTTTCTTGTTGTCTATATTCCTCCACCCCAATCTTAACCTCTCTCCAACACTCTCCCAAAATCTTAAAGACGCTCCTCTGCTCCAGCCCATCTTCTTACTTTATCCCCCTTTTGCCTGTCTCCACACTCCTTCTCTCACTATATATCCCGGAGTTTCCCTGCTCCACCTCAAGACCCACTTCCAGTATCTCTTCTGGATCTCCTCCACCATCTTGTGTTCCTTCCACCCCCATATTACCGCTCCATACATTATCACACTCCTCACCAATCCATCAAACATTATTTTCCGCCTGCACAAATCTTTTCCAAATATTCGTTTGTGATTCATTGCCTTTCTAACTCTCTGCCTAACATGATCAGATACGTAAATTTCATTCCCATTTCTCCCTTTTCCGTCTTCTGTCCTTTCTCATCGAACGGTTGCGAAGATATCGATTTTTAAGTTTAGGTGGTTTGACTTTTGTCATGGACACTAGTTATAATTAAACACTTTAATAGGTGGAGGATCTTCAAGTAAAGAAGAATGTCAACAGCTCGACCAAATGTCATCAATGTGTAACAATAACCTGTCCCTGAATCAATCCGCCTCAAAAGAAATTGCATCCAAATTATATAAAAATATTCTAGATATGTTACAAACCTCGTCGAAAAGAGAATCAATATCAACAATTTCCAAATTAAAAACCAATTTGTTACATTTACTATCTAAAGTAGAAGAAAATCAATTACAAAATAAAGATGTTCTTGAAGCATTAACAAATTCCACCGAGACAATTGAAAACGAAAGTGTTAATCGTGATATGAAACTACGAAATGGAAGAGCTATCAATTTTAATGAATTAAATGTTCGGAAGAGAAGCTCAACAAAATCTAGGCAGAAAAATCAAGAGCCATCGTCATCTTCTTCAGTTGAGGCAACACAATTTAAATGTAGTGATAAAAATGGTATAAAAGGTTTAAATGAACTTGATTTAAGTACTGAATCTCTGAATAAACGCGTTTTAGAACTAAGTGATTTACATAACGATTTATTAAATTTAGTATCGCAGGCAGAAATGAACCAGATCAGTAAAAATACAGATTTAGATGAACTTAATTTAAGCATTGAATCTCAAAATAAAGAAAGTGATTTGGTTAAAAAGTTAAGAAGTGATGAGTTACCTCAATTAAAAGTGCAATTAAACGATTTTTCTCGAAACTATAAGCAACCATTACCTCAAAGATTTACTTTAGTATGTAAAGACTTAAATGCCACGAAAATAGAAGAAATGAATTTGAAAAATTTATCTGATACAAACATTTCTGAAGAAATTTCTGATTTTTCAATTATTAATGGAGAAGAATCTAATGTTGGGATTATTAAGAAAAGAGGAAAAGGAAGACCAGCGAAGAAAAATAAAAAGTCATTGGCTTTCAAATATAAGTTAAAATCGATAAATGAAACATGTACTTCTAATTCTAGTTTTGATCCCGATCAGAATGAGAAAAGAAATAATTCTGTAAATGAATCGGATTTGTTTCTTTCTTCTGCAACGGAATCAACAGTTACCGGGGATCATTCAGAAATTAATTCTTTAAATTTATCTGATTTGCCTTGTATTAATAGTAAGAAAAGAGGAAGAAGACCAACGAAGAAGAAATCAAATCTTGCACATCAAAGATGCGTAACTTCAACACCAAGTTTAAAATCACTTGAAATGTTAGATTTATCAGGATGTGATGATGGTGAGGAAATGAAGAGAAACTCAAGGAATATACAACCTACATTAAATTATTGTGTGGATGAAATAATCAATCTTGACGAAGATCCATCATTATCTGAAATTAAGGATCAAGATGTGGGGATACCACGGAGTGAAAAAGAAATGCAAATAAATTTAACTTTTTCTGATACAAACATTAAAACGGTTGATATTAATGAGAATACACCAAGAAGATGTGAATCCGAAATAGAGATATCATCCAATAATAGTTGTGAGATACTTTTGAATGAATCAAAAGAAAATTCGTTGCAAATTATGTTTGAACCGAAAGGAGATGAGAAAAAAGTAACAGATATTAGTAAAAATCCCATTTTATCGATTGAGGGGAATCCAGGAATGTCAACAAATATCAATAAACCAGTGAGAAAGCGAAGAGTTATTAAAAAACGAAAAGGAACGAAGCAAGCAAATAAAAAATTCTTAACAAAATCAAATGAAAACTGTATTTCTATGACTGATTTACAACGTAATATAGACAATGATGAACGAGTAATTAATGATGATGAAAATTTTGAAAGTCTTCGTAAATCTAAAAGAATTAGAAGAGGAAATAGTGAATCAACAATAAGTCCACGCTACATTACAAGAAGTAGGACATCAGGATTAACTTCAAATACCTCAAATCGTATAAATAATGCGAGTTTAAATGAAAGTCAAAACGTTACCGATGAAAAAATCGTTTCAAAAGATTTTTGTATTGAAAATGATGACCTTGACATAGTTGTTAATGATTTAAATATTAGCATCACCGATACTGAAATATTACAAAATACCAATTTAATTGAAATAAAAGTAAAGTCTCCTAAATTATCGGAAATAAATGAAATTCCGATTTTAGAATTAAGTTCGAGCGATGACAATGTGATTGCGATTAATCAAGCGGAAACAGTTCCAAGCGATAACAGTGTTCGAAAAAGCGTTGGTTTAAGTATGCCTTCGTTAAACTTAAATTCGTCAATAATAGAACATAAAGAAGAAAAAAAATGTAATACTTCAAAATCAAGCTGTGTTAAAAGTAAAATTAATGAACCTACAAATAACGTTGTAAAAGAAATTGACATATTTCGAGATGAAGACCGCTATTTAAGAAATTATGATAAACAGAAAACTATAGTTAGAAATAGAAAGAGAAGTCTTCGATTAAAAGGGGACAAGAAAACCGAAATTTTAAGCACAACAGATACATTAACTAGTGAGAAGAAACCGTTAAAAAGAAAATTAACCGATGAAAGTGAGCAAAAGATTAAAAACCACTCGGTTACTAAAAAAACAATTCCCATTACAGTACATGTTCCATTATTAGAAGACTCTTTCTGTAAATCACCAACGGTTTCTAATAAAATCAATAATCCTTGTTTTACTTATTCAACAGGATTATATCCAAGTCAAAAATTTAAAGTTGTTGAATCTAATAATCGTCCGTATTCTTATTTACCAAAGACTAATGTTGCAACTTTACAACATAAAGAGAACAATTTTCCAAATACAAATTGGAATGATTTAAATCCGAATAATCCACCGAAAAAACAAATAATAATGCATTCTTGTACGGTGTTGGATGAAAATCAAAGAATCGATATCAACACTTTACCTTTAAAGAAAACATATAATATGCGTCAATCCTCCGTGTTTCCGCGAAATAATCAATCGACGCACTCCGGAAATTATTCAATGAGTGATTTTTCGGATTTTCAACGATTAGTTTTAGAAGAATTTGAAAATTGTTATGAAGAAAATAAATCGATTAATGAAAATGATATTACTTTTGAAAAAAATGTTGAAAAAGTTCATATACTACAAAATCAAGTTGAAATCAAACGTGGTGATAATGATGACTTAAATGAACGTGAAAAAGTTATTAATGAAGAAAACATTTTTATTAATGAAAATAAAAATGGGGAGAGTTTAAAATTTCCTGGTAATACAAAAGTGAAAAGTGAAGCTTTAAATAAATTGGAAGGAACGATTGATGAGTTGATTGAAATTATTAAAATGGCGACTAATAATACGAAAAACATCTTGGAAAATAATCAGATATCAGTTAAAGAAGAAAATGTGGGAGAAAAATTTACTAAAAACACAAGAGTTGCAGATAATGTCGAAGCTTCCGCTGTAATTAATCATCAGATGAGGAAACACATTAATAGAGATTCAAAAAGAACTAATATTATCAATGGGAACAATGAAATTTGTTGTGAAACGATGAAAGTTGAAGAAAAATGTAATAATCAAATCAAAAATTTAGGAGAAGAAAATAAACCAAGGAAAGAAATTAAAAAAATAGAACTTACACAGAATACTTCCACTGTGATTAATCATCAGATGTGGGAATGCACCGGTACTAAAAATTCATATAAATTGTTGCAAGCTCAAGGAAAATGCAATAATCAAATCAAAAATATAGGGGAAGGAAAAATGTCGAACAAAGAAATTAAAAGAATAGAATCTCCGCGAAAAATACAGCATACAAATGAAAATAATCTCACTATGAATTACCAACAATTGTGGCAACGCATTAATAAAGATTCAAAGAAAACTGACTTAACCAAAAACGATAATAAAAGTTCATATAAAATGTTAAAACCTCAAGAGAAATGTAATAATCAATTCAAAAATGTAGGGGAAGAAACATTGAAGAAAGAAGTTAAAAAATTAGAATCGCCGCAGAATAAACTTCTTATTAATAAGAATAATGGTTTAAATAAAAATTCTTCAACAAAAAAAGTTTATAAAAGGCAATTTAAACCTTTAGAAATACCCGGTAATATAGATATTACCAAATTCATTAAAAAAGAAGCGAAGATATCTTCACGGAAACCGAAAGATACATCTTTAACTGAAATTAAATTGTTTGGGTTTGCTACAAGAACAGATATTGACGATCGTTTAAATTACCCAAGATTTAAAATGTTTAATTATGGGCGAGGAAATATTAAACCAAACGCTTCAAGTGATAAAAAACCAGGTAACTTTCAAATCTGCACGATTATTTTGTAGAATTTTCTTTTTTTTTCTTTAACTTTCTTCAATTGTCGCTAACAATTCGTTGTATTTTTTTGTTGTAACATTAATCCTTTTTTAATTCCTTTTTATATAATTTACTTATTTTAATCTCTCACTAGTAGTAAAGTTTAATAACAATCTATTCTATAAATAATAAAAACTTCTTCTTTATGTTTGTGGTGTTGTGTAACAATTTGAACATAACTTTAAATCTGAAATTTGATATCAATCTTTATAATCGCTATTTAATACCTTACTTATAACTATTTTTTGACCAACTTACGGCATTTATGTCATGTCCAGCGAAGAGTACTTATCTTAATGACACCGCTAAATATCGAATTTATAAATGCTCAAGGCAGTTCAATTTCATTTATGACAATTGGAGCCGTTTATAGATGAAAAGAAACTGGATATTGTATGGGTACAAGAAATCTAATAGAAGTGATAATCAATGTCAGTACGAGGAAGATATTAATCGTCACCTCCACAAAATAATAAGGAACATATTCTTCTAATATATTCACATTTTCACGATGTTGTTGGGCACAAATGCAAAATCTGCTCTTTAGTACAGCAATCATATGAATGAGGAAGCTGATGAAAGACACCAACAACCAGGAAGAGGCAGAGGTGTTATCAGATAAGCTTATATGTACCTCTGACGAATATTAGAGACAAATTATGAACGCGAGTACAACTGAATAGTTTAATTCAGAGGAAAAACAGCAATACTTACACATTATTATGAAAGAGGAAGAAAGAAGCAATCGAATTGAGTCATCTTATAAAATAATTAGCTGACAAATAAGAGATTCCAGTCACTTCTTCTTGTTGGAAAAAGAGGATGACAACTATACAATGGGGAGATTGCAAATAGCAAACACGATTCTTAATCGCTGCATTCGAATGGTGTTCTAAATATACGACAATAACTATTGTTATTATATTAAGTGAAACGTAGAATCAATAAAGTGAAAAGGGTGCAGACCTAAATTATATAAATTATATCCATAACCTCTTCGTTATGTCTAAAATAATTCAGTATGTGTATGAAATAATTTTTATTTATTCCATTCTTCTGAATATGCCCCAGTAATGATCAATAATATTTATCTACACATTCCAGGCGGTTCAAGGTGTATATAGGACTTCATTAGCAGCAACTTAGTTTCTTTTATAGAATTTAAAAGAGAGTCAAAAGAATATCGCTGAAAATCCTACAAATCTTCAACTTCTTGAAAAACTGTAGAAAGATTTTGTGGAAGATGCTTAAAACAGAAAGAAGTATGGTGGTCTACATCACATCCAATACGTATTGTTCTATCTATCGTTTAATGGAGCCTGTAGTAAGATAATTCTGGGTAAATATATACTATATTGTATTTTAAAGTCAGTTTCATGGTTACTGTGATGAATTATCACAACTTTTTGAGATACAAAATTACAGACAACGTATTGTATGCACTAACTAAGACTTCTGAGTACAAAAACAAGAATTACACACAAACTGACAATACAAGGATAACACAAAGTAGGGTGCAGAGCTTCCTCCTCTCCCTTCCGCTAATTTCTCGAGGTTTCTGTAATTTTAAGGGTTAATGATGTATGGAACAAGTAAGACAGTTAATTTGTACAATTAAATATAAACAATCATCAATTGTTTTCATTGCTTATATCATATTAAACGGACATACGAACATGCATAAATTTGGGTTGGATTGGATATCAACACATTTGTTGAATATTTAGGCTTAGACTTCAACCTCCTCATCTCGTGAAATTAACTTAAAAATTCTTTAAATCCTACTCCAGCTATATGCCACATGGGCCCCAGAGTTTAACCACATTCAGAGTTGTTTTGCAAACGTAGCCCAAGAGCTACGTTTCTTTATGGATACATCCTCGACTTTTAAAACTCGTCTCAGTCACTTTGGCCATCTGGCATTGTTTCCCAACTTAACATTTCCTCCACATTCTCTTTTCCTCCTGATTTCTTACCTCCTTTCAACTCTCCTAGTATTCGCACACTCCAACATAATACGTCGAAATGTATCCTTATCCATTCGATGGAAGGAGAGATGGAGGGAATCGAATGTCCTCCATCTCCCATTCCATGTCTCTTTTTCATTCTTATACTTTTACTTCATGTACACGCATTTTTGCTCACTTACATTCTTAGATTTCTTCTCCAATAAAACATTCCTCACCACCTTGTTAATTTTTCTTACTCGTTTAGTTTCACGTTTTTTCTTTTACGCCTTTTCAGCCACTCCACAGCAATTTTATTGTCATTTAACACCATATATGCGTTTCACTGACTCTTCACTCCACCCATTCCACATCCAACCTGATGACCTGAAGATCGCCATGCGCGCTTGTGGCAGAGTCTACAATTCTCTCATCGTACTGCATGTAGCAGAGCTACAAGACCATCAGGACGCATATTGCCTCACACGTCGGCAAAATCATCTACCACACACAAAGCAGAAAAGTCAGCTTTCAAAATTCTCCTCCAACTCTAACTTGGGTTCGTTTGTTAAAACAGGTAGTGGTGGATCACTACTTGAAAAATTAGAAAAAGCAGCACGAATTGAAGTTATTTATTTCAAATGAGTGCTATAATGTTATCATATAAATCATCAAATAAATCATATTACAGCAAAGAGTAGGACAGCAGAATTGTTGGTAGTTTACAGTTAACATGGTATTCTATGCTTTATGATATGGAAATATCTAAGTTACACCAGTGCTTGCTAACACCATACGAGATATATTAATGCAGCTGTTTTTATTGTATTTGACATAACTGATGCTCTCAAAGGACGTGCTACAATAGTACTAAATTAAATTAGAGGCTAGCAATCACTGGCTTATTAATTTATACTCATTCGTTCAAATACGTCCAAAGAAAACAGTGTGAAGCACTTAAGACAGTTAAACGCGGCCATCTGAAGTCACTGTTACGTGACCCCAAAAATGTCTTGTAACTAAGCAATTGCATCTCTTACAGTATATGTCTTAACTCCATCTTGTTGGAACCACAGTTGTGGATGGTTTTCCAGAACAAGCCTCAACAACTTTTCTAGCATTAGCTGATATTGAGTCCTTTTGGGCAATATACCGTACCAAACGGTACACCTGAGTGGGTGTAATGTAATGTGTTAATGAATCATTCTTGGATTTCCCTGATTTTAGTCGTTTTCGATTATTGTACAAGCTGAACCTTATATGGAAATACCTATATACTGCGATAACCCAAATTGATGTTTCTTGATTATTCTGTAGGTACACTTTTGAGTACAAGTTAAGTACAACTTCGGAGGTTGTTTACTAACTCTTCTTGCCGAAAATTTGAAATTAACCTAAAATGTGTTACTGGTATTATTATTATTGGGTGAATTATTGGTAGTGTGAGAGCTCTCTGGGCATATTGGAGGAAGTAGAGTGTTTGAAGTTTATAAAGAATTTCATATTTACATTTATATTAACTTTTAATGGTATATGTGCCATTAAAAATTGAATAGCTTATGATCTTAAAAGACTTGAGTTACGAACACATATTATAAGATTTTTTTAATACTTTTTAGAACATTAGAACAATAGTTTTAGATTGATTTTAGAAAACAAATATACATTTTCATTCTTTTTGTTTACAGATTTGCTTAAATACCCAATAAATCAATATGCTCATTTTGATGGAACAAACGATTCTTCTTCATCTGATGAAGACGTTATCACAACCGTTAGAAAAGTTACAAAACCTGTTGCAAGCCAATCTACCTCAAAATACGTCCCATTGAAAGTTAAATATACCTCACCTACAAAATCCGTGGGTAAACCAGGTAATCTTGTCATTTTTCTAATTACATAAAATTAGTTTCGTTTGAGGAAAATTTTTTTCACTTTAGCACTGTCAAGAATTCAATCGCAGGATAAAATAAGCAACGTTAAAGCGTGAGTTTCTCGTGCTTCTTGTTTGAAAATAATACGCACATAATTGATATTTATAGATTTATAGATAAGACAATCAACATTTATTAGTAATGTTGAAACATTTTTGATGTGACATGAAAATCTTTTTATAAACGCGAAAATTTCTTTTATTACAGACTCACACAATCAACACTAAACACCGCCGCGTCTAAACAAAGTTTATACAAACACCGACGAAAATTATCATTCACTCAAGTTTCTGAAAACAATTTGAACACAACACACATCGAAGAACATTTATCGTGTCGTTTTAAAGCTCAACGTTCGAAAGTTGCCAATGAAAAAGTTTATATTGATTGTGATTCAACCACTTCGTCTTCTAGTAATAGTATTGGAAGTGACAAAGAAGTGTTACCCATTCAATTATGTCAAACTACTTTAGATCAAGATGAATCCCTCGAAAATGATGTAAACGAAATAATTGAGAAAAGTGATGGAAGAGCTGGAGGAAATCGATCGGATCAAGAAGATGTTAGTTCAGATGATACTCTTACACCCAAGAAAAATAATTCGAATTTAAATGATTCCTCACTTTCCGATGATTTATTTTCGCCTGCAAGTGATGAAATTACAATTTGTCATAAAATAGATCCAGCTAAACAATACGATGTTGAAAATAGATTTATACCTTTAGCTGGATCATCAAAAATGGATCCGCAATTTAAAAAATTATCACAACATAGCAATCATAGTTCCAGTAGCGATGTTATAACCCCATATCAAAGAGAACAAAATATTATTATAGAAAACGTTATTGAAAGCGTTGTTGCTAACAATTTTTCAGAAAATTCGGAAACATCTCAAGAAGATGTTGATAAAACGAAAAATGAAACAATTTCATCTTTACACATGAACACTGACTCAGTAAACGAAATTATTTCCGGAAAATTTGAGAAATTAAATACATCAATTTTGAGTGTTTACAAACCTACCTCACAAAATTTGAACAAAAAGAACGAAAAAAGTTTAATAATCACACCAAAATTTAATCCACCTTCAAGAGAAATGATTGAAAAATCATTAGAAACTTATAATATTCCAGAAATTACACATCAAGAACCATTTTATAGCGACCGAAATGACGTTACCGGAAACGTAGAGGTTGGCAGAAAAGTTTTAAAAATTCCGAGTAATAATGTGGTTGATTTACCGAGTTTCAAAACAAATTTTGAAGGGATTGAGAGCCAAAAAAAGAAAACCTTACAAGTTCTTCAAGTTGATAATAAGAAGTTGAGTACAAAAGAGATTTTAGAATATAAATTATCAACATGCAAAAATTGCAATGTTGTAATAACACCCGGAAAACTACCTCCTACTAGAAAAGAAGTTGAGAAGTGGTTAAAGGAAAAAACGATTAAAAAAGAGGTCGATGAGGAAAAAGGAAAAGAAAAGAAAAGAATGTTTTTGGTTAATAGCCCAGGTAGGGATGGAGAGGAAAGTTGCGATTCTTTAAGTTTATCTCCGTGCACTCCAATTGATGCTAATTCAACAATTTTTAAATTAGATTTAAATAGCGATCAAAATAAATTTAATGATGAGTCGAAAAAGAGCAATAATGAAATTAACGACCAATTAAAAAACACTCAAACTCTACCAAATTCAACAATCTTAAAAAGTAACGATACCGTAATAAAAAATTTATCCTCAAGTACACATTCAAATTCACACGAAATTACCGGAACAACCCAAAACAATTTTTTAGTAGCCTCTCATAACTTAAACGAAGCAAAAGCTGTAAAAGAAAACCTTTATTTAACAATTCTTTCAATCGAAGTCGTTGTTATTACAAGAAATGAATACAAACCCAACCCCGAATTAGATCAAATCAAAGCGATTATATTTACAATGTACGATAACGAAAACATTTCTAAAGGTGGTTTTATAATAAATTCTTTACCAACAAGTCCGACGAAAATGAAATTGTCAATTTTAAAAGGAATCGATTCGAAATATAATTTAAAACCGGTCAATACAGAATTGGAATTAATAAATGAATTTGTGGAATTTGTAAAAGAAAAAGATCCGGATGTTTTTGTTGGGTTTGAAATTGAAATGCTTTCTTGGGGTTATTTAATCGATAGAGGATACGTTTTAGGATTAAATCTAACCATTTCGTTATCAAGAACGCCGGATATCGCTCGAAGAAAAAGAGGAGATGACGAAGAATTAACGATAACTGGAAGGATCTTAATCGATTTTTGGAGACTTCTACGCCATGAAATCGCCCTAACAAGTTATTCATTTGAAAATATTGTTTATCATATTCTACATCGCAGAATCCCATTGTATTCACATAAAGATTTAACGAATTGGTTACAACATCCAACATCCGTTTATCGTAACAGAGTAATTGAGTATTATTCGTATAAAACACGCGCCGTTTTACAAATAATGGATCAACTCGATTTAATTGGGCGAACGAGTGAATTAGCGAAACTTTTCGGGATTCAATTCTACGAAGTTTTATCAAGAGGATCGCAATTTCGAGTTGAATCGATGATGTTACGTTTAGCAAAACCGCTAAATTTCATTCCAGTCTCACCAAATCAACAACAACGGGCTAAAATGCGCGCCCCGGAATCTTTACCTTTAATCATGGAACCGGAATCAAAATTTTACACAGATCCCGTTATCGTTTTAGATTTTCAAAGTTTATATCCATCGATGATTATCGCCTATAATTATTGTTTTTCGACATGTTTGGGTAGAATCGAACATTTAGGAAAATCGTCCCCCTTTGAGTTTGGAGCAAATCAATTAAAGGTGTCAAGAAAATATTTAAAATATTTTTTAAATAAAGAAAAATTAAATATTTCCCCGTGCGGAATCGCTTATGTAAATAAATCGATTAGATTGGGTATATTACCAAGGATGTTGCAAGAAATCTTAGACACACGATTAATGATCAAAAAATCTTTAAAACAAAACGCCGAAAATAAAGTTTTATCGAAAGTCTTAGATGCACGCCAATTGGGTTTAAAACTAATCGCAAACGTCACTTATGGTTACACAGCAGCTAATTTTAGTGGGAGAATGCCCTGCATTGAATTAGGCGATAGCGTAGTAAGTAAAGGACGAGAAACTTTACAACGAGCCATTCAACTAGTTGAAAAAACATCAAAATGGGGCGCAAAAGTCGTTTATGGCGATACAGACTCACTTTTCGTACTCGTTCCGGGCAAATCTAAAGAATGCGCGTTTAAAATCGGCGCGGAAATCGCCGAAGCTGTTACCAATTCCAATCCAAGCCCAGTTAAACTCAAATTAGAGAAAATTTTTCAACCTTGCATCTTACAAACGAAAAAACGTTACGTTGGGTATATGTACGAATCGGTTGATCAAAAAGAACCGGAATTTTTAGCTAAAGGAATCGAAACTGTCCGTCGCGATGGTTGTCCAGCTTCGGCGAAAATGCTCGAGAAATGTTTGAAGCTTTTATTTGATACTCGGGATGTTAGTTTAATTAAGAAGTACGTTTTAAGGCAGTTTGCTAAACTGTTAAGTGGAAGAGTTAGTATTCAAGATCTTACGTTCGCTAAAGAGTATCGTGGTGCTTCTTATTATCGACCTGGTGCTTGTGTTCCAGCTTTGGAATTAGCTAAGTAAGTATCTTTTATTGTACTATGTTGCTTACCAGGTATAGTTAAATATTTACAATCGATCTAATAAGTAAGTAAATAACATGTTAAAGTTATATTGATAACGTCAAACTTGTACAGTTGCTCACAAAACGGAGTATACAGGGGAATGGAAGATTAATGTGAATGATTCAAATAATTATTAATTTATTTTAAAATTCGTGATATATACATATACACTGTGTACATACAGTATGGAATCACTTCGATAAAAAATGGGGGTATATTCTTCCGGAAAAAAGGCTTGAACATCTATGTTATAGTTTTTAACGCGCCTTTTTTTAGATAGAATTGAAATGGGGTGTTCCAAAATTGAGATACCATGCCTAAGTTAACATAATCTTAAATAGGAACCCCCCATTTTTGTTGCATTTATGGATTCTACGTTAAATTCTGAGTATTTTTCATGTAGTTGAAAATGATAGTTGAAAAATAATATTTATAAAAAAATTAAGTGACCATAATACTAATAGGGCTGGGATTTTGTCCATTGTTATATTTGTTTCTATAGTAACTTTACTTTGATTTATTTAATAAACAACATTCCAATAATCTAAAGCCGTGTGTCCACTACCAAGTTTTCTTGCTTAAGTTGCTTCCAGAAGTGACTTCCGCAAGAAAACTTGGTAGTGGACACACGGCTTTAACCCTTTGTGTCCCGACGGTACTTTAAAGTACCGGTAGTTTTAAACACTCATTTTAAATCATTTTAAAAAGAAAGCATTGAGCTTTAATTTAAAATAAGTCTCATTCCTTAATTTCAATAAACACAACTTCCAGGCATTTTCAAATTACCATNGTAAGTAAATAACATGTTAAAGTTTTAGAAGTTATATTGATAACGTCAAACTTGTACAGTTGCTCACAAAACGGAGTATACAGGGGAATGGAAGAATAATGTGAATAATTCAAATAATTATTAATTTATTTTAAAATTCGTGATATATACATATACACTGTGTACAGGGTGGGCAAATTTAGGTGTTATCATAGGCTATCTCAGAAACTATAAGAGATACGAAAAAAGTAGGTGCCATGTCTCGATCTCTTTTTCTGAGACTAATCCAATCCCGCAAAGACCAAATCTCTATCTTCCTTTGTTTTTAAATTATAGTCGAAAAGTCAAATTTTAGCGATTTCAAAAAATGCTCATATTTCGTTTATTTTTGAAATTAGAGAAATGGGGTTAATACATTCTACAGGCACTTTTTTAAGTAGAATATAATGCCGTTGAAAAATTGTAAACATAGCTGATAATTTTTGAGATATAACATAAAGTTGTATTTTTTAAATACAAACTATAGTTGATTATGATGTTATTGAAAAGAGCATATTTTTAGCTTTCCAATGATGTATCGCATGTATGGTGTATTTGCAGAAATACACAGAGATCTTATAGTTTCTGAGATAGCCTATAATAACACCCAAATTTGCCCACCCTGTACATAAAGTATTATATTTTTTAACACGCCTTTTTTTAGATAGTATTGAAATGGGGTGTTCCAAAATTGAGATACCATGCCTAAGTTAACATAATCTTAAATAGGAACCTCCCATTTTTGTTGCATTTATGGATTCTACGTTAAATTCTGAGTATTTTTCATGATAGTTAAAAAAATTATATTTATAAAAAAATTAAGTGACCATAATACTGATAGGGCTGGGATTTTGTCCATTGTTATATTCGTTTCTATAGTAACTTTACTTTGATTTATTTAATAAACAACATTCCAATAATCTTAACTCTTTGTGTCCCGACGGTACTTTAAAGTACCGGTAGTTTTAAACACTCATTTTAAATCATTTTAAAAAGAAAGCGTGGAGCTTTAATTTAAAATAAGTCTCATTCCTTAAGTTCAATAAATACAACTTCCAGGCATTTTCAAATTACCATCTTTTTTGACACTTTTAGGTTATACGAAAATGAAAGTTTTGTTTAAACATTTTTTTTCTTAATATTTTTCCGATCCAACCCAACAATTGTTATACATCAGTTTAAAGAGAAAGCTTTGAGCTTTAATTTAGAATAAGTCTCATTCCTTAATTTCAATAAACACAGCTTCCAGGAATTTTTAAATTAGCATCTTTTTTGACACTTTTAGGTTATACGAAAATGTAAGTTTTGTTTCAACATTTTTTTTCTCAATATTTTTCCAATCCAACCCAACAATTATTATACATCATTTTAAAGAGAAAGCTTTGAGCTTTAATTTAAAATAAGTCTCATTCCTTAATTTCAATAAACACAACTTCCAGGCATTTTCAAATTACCATCTTTTTTGACACTTTTAGGTTATACGAAAATGCAAGTTTTGTTTAAACATTTTTTTTCTTAATATTTTTCCGATCCAACCCAACAATTGTTATACATCATTTTAAAGAGAAAGCTTTGAGCTTTAATTTAGAATAAGTCTCATTCCTTAATTTCAATAAACACGGCTTCCAGGAATTTTCAAATTAGCATCTTTTTTGACACTTTTAGGTTATACGAAAATGTAAGTTTTGTTTCAACATTTCTTTTCTCACTATTTTTCCATTCCAACCCAACAATTATTATACATCATTTTAAAGAGAAAGCTTTGAGCTTTAATTTAGAATAAGTTTCATTCCTTAATTTCAATAAATACACCTTCCAGGAATTTTTAAATTAGCATCTTTTTTGACACTTTTAGGTTATACGAAAATGCAAGTTTTGTTTAAACATTTTTTTTCTTAATATTTTTCCGATCCAACCCAACAATTATTATACATCATTTTAAAGAGAAAGCTTTCAGCTTTAGGTTAGAATAAGTCTCATTCCTTAATTTCAATAAATACGGGTTCCAGGAATTTTTAAACTAGCATCTTTTTTGACACTTTTAGCTTATTCGAAAATGTAAGTTTTGTTTCAACATTTTTTTTCTCAATATTTTTCCAATACAACCCAACAATTATTATACATCATTTTAAAGAGAAAGCTTTGAGCTTTAATTTAGAATAAGTTTCATTCCTTAATTTCAATAAATACGACTTCCAGGAATTTTTTAATTAGCATCTTTTTCAACACTTTTAGGTTATATGAAAATGCAAGTTTTATTTAAACCTTTTTTTTCTTAATATTTTTCCGATCCAACCCAACACTTATTATACATCATTTTAAAGAGAAAGCATTAAGCTTCAATTTAAAATAAGTTTCATTTCTTAATTTTAATAAACACGGCTTCCAGAAATTTTTGAATTAGCATCTTTTTTAACACAATTGATAAGAGATGCGAAAATGTTAGTTTTTGCTCGATATGTTTTTTCTCAATATTCTATCACATATTCGTCGTCCTGTAGCTAGCTACAGGTCTGATAAATAAATATTCAAATTTACTGCATCCACGAAAATATCGTAGCGCAAGTTCAAAAGAAAGAGGAAGTTGTGAAAATTGTTCTGCCAAAGGTAGACCCCACTCAAAATGTACTGCGTGCAAAAAATTAATTATTTTTATATTGGCAATAAAAGTTTTTGTTTACTGCAACATCACTAAAATATATTGTAATGTCTGATGGTACTCTCAAGTACCATAATCCCCCGGAATGGGGAGATTNGAATTATTTTTATATTGGCAATAAAAGTTTTTGTTTACTGCAACATCACTAAAATATATTGTAATGTCTGATGGTACTCTCAAGTACCATAATCCCCCGGAATGGGGAGATTGTATATTTTGCTAAAATTGATTCCAAAGGCCTTTACTGAGTGAATTTTGATAGCGTTTTAATTCTGTCATAAAGTTTCAAAATTTTTGACTTCTTGGGGCACAAAGGGTTAAAATGCGTGCCAAGAAAAAGACGTCCTGTAATTAACGGAGAGAGGAAACTAAATATTTTAGTAGTTTTAGAAGAAAATCCACATGTTAGCATTCGTCAAGTTAGTCGCATCTATACAGGGTGGGCAAATATAGGTGTTATTATAGGCTAAGAGATACGAAAAAAGTAGGCACCATGTCTCGGTCTCTTTTTTCGAGACTAATCCGATCCCGCAAACACCAAACATCTTCTTCTTTTTTAAGTTATAGCCAAAAAGTCAAATTTTCCCTCTCCCATTCTTCTCTCTTCCACTCCTCCCAACAACCCCATAATATAGGTTCTCCATTCCATCATTTGTATATCTTTGCTGATTTTCTCTCTTCCCTTCCTCATTCTCTTTAAGTATCTCCATACATAATTTTTCTCTTTCAACTCGCTAATCTTCTCAGTCTCCCTCTCCTTCGTTAATAACGTTAAGAACTAATTGAGATAAAACTAAAGAGATGAAATAAAACTTATTACTTCAGTACTGTAAATATTTAAACCTGTATCTGGCGAGTTAATTTGATTGTAATATTTTCATTAACTTTTTACATTTATTTCTAGAAAATGGACATCTATAGATAAAAGAAATGAACCGCGTAAAGGTGAAAGAGTACCATATGTAATAATAAACGGTCCACCAGGACAACCACTAATAAAATTAGTAAAAAGTCCAAGGGATCTACTAAACGATTCATCAATTCGAATAAACGCTTTATATTATATAACAAAAGCAATAATTCCCCCATTAAACCGATGTTTCTTACTAATTGGAGCCGATTTGAATCAGTGGTTTAACGAAATGCCAAGAAAACAACACCAATACCTCCCAACCTCCACATCTCCAGGTAAAAATAAGCCAAAAAAGAATACAATAACACAGTTTTTTTCGACTTTGGATTGTGCCATATGTGGGGCTTTAACTCAAGATGGTTTGTGTGAAAAGTGTAAATGTAATCCGCAACAAAGTGGATTGTTGCTTCATGAAAAGGTTCGGTTGTGGGAACAACATTTTTTTAATACTCTACAGGTAAAAAAAGCTAACCTAACTCATTTTTTTGTTATTTTTTTTGTATTTTTAGATTTGTCAATCATGTTGTGGCAGGCAAGACGAGATTTGTTGTGTATCATTAGACTGTCCCGTATATTACAGACGAATTCAAACTAATCGTGACTTGCAACAATCAGGTTTTATCAGGCAAATGTTATTAATGTTACCAAATTTAGAATTTTAAGTTTGTTATTAAAACAAATCAGTTTGAAATTCTTGTTACGCCTAAATCAAGAATGTGATACTATGCATCCTGCATAAAGTTTAATAAATAAGACTAATAAGTCCAATATAAAGTTTATTTAACATTGTTGTTTTACATCATAAAAACTATTCAGTATTAATTATTAAGTTTACTTTTGGTATTAATTCCCAGTTTTATTTCATTCTTTTTGCTATTGTATAAATGTATTTTAAATAAATATGTTTTCTTTAAGAAATAGTTTTTCATTAATTTAAAATTAAAAAAATTCCTTTTTTAATGTTGGTAATGTTTTGCAAAAAATTTTTTTAACAGTTGGCAGCAAATTTGTAACCTAACGTATTTTAAGATATCCAACACAAATATTTCAAGAAATTCTCATTGTTGAAGTTTAAAAAGGCTCAAATCAGTACAAAAGACAGCTGCGTGAGTAATACGGTACCGTAAATGTATCGTAAACATTTCTCTCCACTTTGAAACAGGTAAACATCACGTGGTGTCAGCAGCTGATAATGAGCGTGTAAGGTTATGAGTTATTTTTTGGTTCAAACCTTATCAGTTTAGTTATTAATATTGCAACATTATTATTAAAAGGATTGATCCGCTACATTTTAAAAAATGCCTAAGAGAAAAAGTAAAAAGCCACCATCCAAAGTTACAATTGAAACGAGTGATTCCTCCTTACAAATCGAATTAATATGTGATGAAATATCTAATAACCCTGTGTTTAAAAACATTTTCAAAATCGGAGAAGAATTACTTACTACATTGATTAATTATGAAAGAAATATACTGTCTTTAAAGAAAGAAGATGTTGATTTGTTGAAAATAAATTTAGAACAGGTTATACCGCATTTACAAAAGATCCAAAATTGTATAAATTTTATGGACATAAAAGAGGATATAGGTGAATTACCATTTTCACTTCTTTGGAGCACGAGTCTTGTGGCAGTACATATTTGCGGTAACTTCAAGTAATTAAACATTTAATTAATATTTTGATTAATTTAATTATGTTTTAGATGTTAATAAACCATTCCACCTCTTTTTAAAGAAAGAGTATAACGAGTTTGTGAAATTAAGACTGTATCCGGCACATATTTTAGATGTCGTCCATGGAATTGAAGGTTATAATACATTTTCTGTTCGTTTAAGAGAAGATAATATAATAGAATGCATGGTTTGCAATTATTTTGTATCTCAAACAAAAGTTGGGGCTTTGTTTGACCACATTTGTAGTTTATTTCATATGGAACAACTACAATTGCACTGTGATAACTTATCTAAATATCATGACTTTTGGATTCAACAACATTCATCAAAACAAGATATTCAATTATTGTTTTCTTATATCAATGAGAAAAATATGAAATGTAAACAATGTGAGAAATGGATAAAGTATGATGATGTGCTTTTACATCCAAATCCATGTAATCAACCAAAGGTTAAGAGAAGTCAAAACATTGCAAAACCAATCAATGAAGTTGGATATGCTCATAGAGTAAAAACAAGTATTTTTTTTGATGTACCTTATTTGAATATAGATGGGATTAATTATCCAGTTATGCAACGTATTCAGTCAGATAAAAACAAATGTGTGTGTATGATTTGTTCTAGCATGGTTAGTGAAGACTTTTGGGGTCATTGCGAAAGTGATATGCATCTATTTTATCAAAGTTCTTATATACTGACAGAAACAATAAAAAAATACCACCAAATTTTTAGTTCTTTCGAGGTTTCTAAACAAGTCCAAGTGGTTTATTATCATTTTCGTGAAAATAGTATCTTATGTTTATTATGTAAACATCTTGTAAACCTTGATCCAGCAGAAATTATAACACATATGAAAAATATTGACCATTGCAATAATCTGAAATCAGTAAAACCTAACGATTTAAGTAAGATTTTTTTTTAGAATTCATTGCATTATTTAAATAATCTTGCTTTACAGTTGATTTAATTGGAAAATCATTGGAATATTGTGAAGATAACAGTAGCAATGTTAACATTCCAAGTGTAATAGTGGAAGAAACCAACTACCCAATAATCCAAGTTTGTCATGATTCCACTTTATATTGTCTCACATGCCATGTCACACTTAGAAGAACCATTATGGAACATTTAATTCAACCTGAACATTTTAAATCAGCAACAAACAAATTTAATATATCCACCTTAGCTTTATACCACGACATTTTTAAAACTTTACCTGATCGATTTCAAAATGACAAAATATTCTTTAGGAAACGAGCTACTGATATACGTTGTGTTCTGTGTAGTGGATGTGTTACTTTTGATGGTCCCGCTTTATTACATCATATTAAAACGCGACATTTAAAAGGAGACAAATGTAAAGTATTTTAAAATGCGTTTTAACTGGTAAGGTTAATTTGTGTTTTTGTTTAGTTCAACATGTTCGGGTACCTCCTACAACTCTGAAGGTTGATGATATATCTGGAGGTGATATGATGGACATTAAGAAACATGAAGGTATATTTTTAATTGTTAAAAATTTACTTGAATCATATTAACCTTCCAGCGGGCGCGCTGTTATAAAATTTATAACAATTTTCGTTTTTATAATATATCGCCTTATAATATGCATTTGAAAGGATTGAAAGGATCATGAGGATTCATTTTGAACATGATAAAAAAAATTAAAAAAATATTGTTGTCTTTATGGCAAAAAAAGGTATAAAAGGCAAGCAATTTACACATTAATTGCTGACTTATAAGAGCGTATTTATATTATGGGATGTATTTTTGAGTATATTTCGAGTGCGTTTCAAAAGTAACGGATAAATTCGATAAAATTATTATAAACAATTTATGAAAATATCGCTGAAACGGGTCTAAAGATTTAAATTTTTTGCAATTTTTTGGTGTATACGAGCCCTAACAACTATACATTGGGACAAAATAAAATTTATATATAATTAATAACAATTACTTATACAGATTATTTTGCTTTAATAAATTTTTCAAATGAATATCATTTGATTGGACAATTAACAACAATTTTGTCTAATGAACAACACAAAAAACTAAATACATATCCTATTACATCTAATTAAACTAGAAAAACAACTAAATATTGGGACATGGCACGATTTGTATTTCTAATATGGAGTAACATCACCCTTAGATTTTATAACCGCTTGAATTCGGTTGGGCATTGAATTCACTAAGGTTCTACACTGTTCAGGAGTAAATCCATCCCAAATTTGCTTTATTTTGGCTTAAAGTTCTGGCAATGTCCGTTGTGGGTTGTTCCTCAAAGTTTGTTTCATTTTGTGCCACACTGTTTCAATTACATTGAGATCTGGACTGTTGGAAGGCCAAGACAGGACATTAATATTTTGATCGCCAAACCACTTTTTTGTAGTTTTGGCCATATGATTTCACGATATTTGGTAGTAAGCTGTTTTGTAGTATTTGTTGATATTTTGCGGCGTTCACGGTGCCATCAATAAATTGAAAGCATCCTAATTCTGAAGCTGTCATACAGCCCCAAATAATTACTCCCTTCGGAAATTTTACACAACGTTTTAAACAATCTTTATGAAACGCCTCATGTTTATTGCGAATTACGCGTTTACGGTAATCGCCAACACATACATCAAATTTCGATTCATCGCTGAATATTACCCTGGACCAATCTTCTGCTGACCAAGAGACTTTAGATTTTACCCATGTGAGGCTTTCTTTTGTTTTTTTGTTAACAGTGGTTTTTCTTTTGCCTATAAAACAACAATTTTCTAAATGCTGCATTTTTAAATTATTACTTGTAAGTAAACCTTGTAAAACTTTAATCCACTTTTAAGAATCCGTTTGCGACAGCATTCCCTTGATAAATTTAATCCAGTTTCATTATTCTATTCAGCGGTAACTTGTCTTAAAGTATTTCTTCGTCCTTTTTTGCAGATTTTTACAAGTATTTTATTTCTATCAGAAACTAACTTTGGACCACCTAAACTTTTACCCATTTTTTCTAAAATTTGCCCAGTTTCTCCATAATACATTCCACACTGCGCTTTTAGGAATATTAAGTTCGTCTGTAATTTCACGTATTGTTTTATTGCGGCAATAATTTTTAATTACTAATTCACGGATTTTTGACCCTGTAGAGATACCACGCACCATTTTAATTGATAAATACAGATTTACTCAACAGCAACAATGTTACAAGCTTTGGAACAAACCGGCAATTTGACATTTCATTTTACGTTGTTTCCACAGTTTATTTATCTTAATTTGTTCCATTTTTATGGAAGTTACTTAACACTGTCCCAATATTAAGTTGTCAGGTAAAATGTACATTTTTCTAGTTTAATTAGAAGTAATAGGATATGTATTTTATTTTGTCCATTAGACGAAATTGTTGCTAATTATCTATTCAAATGATATTAATCTGAAAAAATTATTAAAACAAACTAAACTGTTTAATTGTTGTTAATTTTATACATATTTTATTTTAAAATAAAAAATTGGTTTTCGCACTTTAACAATGGATATTTATTTAACTGATCAGCTTTGATCAGATTTTATTTTGTCCCAATATATAGTTGTTAGGGCTCGTATTTTAAATTTTTCCCCCATTTTTAAAGGAGTTATGACTTCATCGAAGTTTTTTTTAAATGGAACACCCCATTTTTATATCGGAGTTTGAAAGAGGATTTTTTTCTGAATTATGTACAATAAATATTAATATCGGTTACATAAGAAAATTTTCGAGAAAAATTAATTTAAAGGTTCATTATTTCCCATTCATTTCATATAAAAAATAGTAGTAGCCGTGCGTAACCATGGCAACCATTTGTTTTGATTTAAAATTTCCAAGTGTCAAAATTCGAAAAAACTTCGATGACGTCATAACTCGTTTAAAAATGACGGAAAAATTTTAAAATATACACCAAAAAATTGCAAAAAGTTTAAATCTTTAGACCTGTTTCAGCGATTTTTTCATAAATTGTTTATAATAATTTTATCGAATTTATCCGTTACTTTTGAATCGTACTGTATATGAAGGTTTCGGCTCATTGGTATAGTTTTTGAAAAATACAGGTCCGTAATGACAGATTGGAAATTTTTTTTCTTCATCTTTTCAATCTTTTCGGTTTTTTCGTGAGATTATAGAAATATTCAAAAGTTCAATATTTTTCAAACGAACGTGTTTTCACTTTTACGATAATTTTAAATTCTTTTATACATACATACAACATACAAGGGAACTGTCCTTCACCGATTTCGTTGCAATTTGGTACAGCGGTAGTATAGACTAAAATAAGGTATAAGTATTTTTTTATACGTGCTTATAAAGCCCCTGGGGCGAGTTATAAGGGTTGAAAGTTGGGGTGAACTATCGAAATGTGGTAAATGTAAACTGATATTCATTTTCAAAAAGCTTTCCATTGATATATCACACATATATCTGAGGGCTTCAGGGGGTAAACTACCCCTGATTTTTTTGGAATAATTTAAAAAGTACCTTGTCGATTTTGTCGGCATTATGTACCCTAATAGTACGTTTAAAAATATTAATTACGTGTTTTTTCCCATTTGCTTCTGACCATCCCCTCCGTAATTACGGGGTAAAATAGACAACCCTTTTCTCTAAGAATAATTTGCTAAAATTTACAGTTTTGAACATTATTTTGAAGAAAATCGTAAATTAATTGCAAAATAAGATTTATGCCATAAAACAGACTATACGACATTTAGGGGTGGCTGGAGTTAGCTGCCGTAATCACCTTCAAAATTAATTTCTTCGATAGTATTTTTTGATGCAATTTAGCACAATGATCACTTTGTACGTTAAATAATACTTTGAAAGAACTTACAAGGATTAGAAGTTGCGGGTAGAAAATATATTTTCGCTCACTCTATATAAAAATGTTCAGTACAAATTTAAGTTTTCTAAAGAACTTTTTATCCATGTTTAATGAATATTAAAATTATAAACAAATAAATATAACTTCTTATCTTGCAAAATTCAATTTATTTTAACGGAACCGACTAGTTTTACTTAGTCATCTTCAGCCGAATGGTCAATAAATTAAATTGAATTTTGCAAGATGAGAAGTTATACAGTATTTATTTGTTTATTATTTTAATATTTAAACGGAACTGCAACATGGATATCAANTTTCAATTACATTCAGATCTGGACTGTTGGAAGGCCAAGACAGGACATTAATATTTTGATCGATAAACCACTTTTTTGTAGTTTTGGCCGTATGACAAGCCGCTCCATCCTGCTGAAATATGTAATTTTCGCCAACATTTAACTTCACGATACTTGGTAGTAAGCTGTTTTGTAGTATTTGTTGATATTTTGCGGCGTTCACGGTGCCATCAATAAATTCAAAACATCCTAATTCTGAAGCTGTCATACAGCCCCAAATCATTACTCCCTTCGGAAATTTTACACAACGTTTTAAACAATCTTTTTGTAATTTGCGACGGTAACGAAAGCTCTAACAGTACTCAAACGAGTGCTGTAATGAGCATCCGATGCATCCTTACAGCATCCGATGCTGTAATGAGATTTTAGTTACATTTTATGGAAGCAGTTCAAGTTGGTGACATTGGGTCATTAATTTTTCTAGTTGTCAATGTGACAATTTTTGTCTATGGATGTTTAAACACGTTCTTAGCATCGAATACAAGGTCCACAATGATGAGGACATTGAACACTGAGCAATTTCTCTTATTTTGGGAGGTGTACATGAAATATTGTTCTTAGCATCGAATGCAAGGTCCACAATGATGAGGACATTGAACACTGAGCAATTTCTCTTATTTTGGGAGGTGTACATGAAACATTTTTTTCAGGTGATTTTTTTCAGGCCATTTCTGAATAATGTACAATAAATATTAATATCGGTTACATAAGAAAATTTTCGAGAAAAATTAATTTAAAGTTTCATTATTTCCCATTCATTTCATATAAAAAATAGTAGTAGCCGTGCGTCACCATGGCAACCATTTGTTTTGATTTAAAATTTCCAAGCGTCAAAATTCGAAAAAACTTCGATGACGTCATAACTCGTTTAAAAATGGCGGAAAAATTTTAAAATATACACCAAAAAATTGCAAAAAGTTTAAATCTTTAGATCTGTTTCAGCGATTTTTTCATAAATTGTTTATAATAATTTTATCGAATTTATCCGTTACTTTTGAAACGTACTGTATATGAAGGTTTCGGCTCGTTGGTATAGTTTTTGAAAAATACAGGTCCGTAATGACAATTTTGTCAGATTGGAAATTTTTTTTCTTCATCTTTTCAATATTTCATTCTTTTCGGTTTTTTCGTGAGATTATAGAAATATTCAAAGGTTCAATATTTTTCGAACGAACGTGTTTTCACTTCTACGATAATTTTAAATTCTTTTATACATACATACAACATACAAGGGAAGTGTCGGAACTGTCCCTCACCGATTTCGTTGCAATTTGGTACAGCGGTAGTATAGACTAAAATAAGGTATAAGTATTTTTTTATACGTGCTTATAAAGCCCCTGGGGCGAGTTATAAGGGTTGAAAGTTGGGGTGAACTATCGAAATGTGGTAAATGTAAACTGATATTCATTTTCAAAAAGCTTTCCATTGATATATCACACATATATCTGAGGGCTTCAGGGGGTAAACTACCCCTGATTTTTTTGGAATAATTTAAAAAGTACCCTGTCGATTTTGTCGGCATTATGTACCCTAATAGTACGTTTAAAAATATTAATTACGTGTTTTTTCCCATTTGCTTCTGACCATCCCCTCCGTAATTACGGGGTAAAATAGACAACCCTTTTCTCTAAGAATAATTTGCTAAAATTTACAGTTTTGAACATTATTTTGAAGAAAATCGTAAATTAATTGCAAAATAAGATTTATGCCATAAAACAGACTATACGACATTTAGGGGTGGCTGGAGTTAGCTGCCGTAATCACCTTCAAAATTAATTTCTTCGATAGTATTTTTTGATGCAATTTAGCACAATGATCACTTTGTACGTTAAATAATACTTTGAAAGAACTTACAAGGATTAGAAGTTGCGGGTAGAAAATATATTTTCGCTCACTCTATATAAAAATGTTCAGTACAAATTTAAGTTTTCTAAAGAACTTTTTATCCATGTTTAATGAATATTAAAATTATAAACAAATAAATATAACTTCTTATCTTGCAAAATTCAATTTATTTTAACGGAACCGACTAGTTTTACTTAGTCATCTTCAGCCGAATGGTCAATAAATTAAATTGAATTTTGCAAGATGAGAAGTTATACAGTATTTATTTGTTTATTATTTTAATATTTAAACGGAACTGCAACATGGATATCAACAGTTATGTTTAATGAAGTTTACTAACCATATTCTATTTAAATAATACAAAAGTTAAGATAATTATATAAATATTTATTAAAAATGAGTTAAAAAGCAATTGACAAAGAAATGGTTGTATATTATAAATACAACCATTTCAATCAAAAAGATATTTTTATTCAATGTATTGTTGGCAATAATGATTTTAAACGCATGGATTGTTCACAAATTGCACCACAACAACAGCTATGTCCCCATAGATATCTCATATTGGTTTTCCACTCGAAATGTGAAACAACGAAAAAACCCTCCTCGGGATCCAAGAATCCAGTAATAGTATTGTTTTCTCCAGTGTTTGGGAAATAATTATTTTTACATAAGCCAGACAAAAACCTGCACTTTATGAAGTAAAATATTTGGATCATACTTTCCTTTCAAAAGTTTGATAGTTTAAAGTGTTATAACTCGATTCGTCCAGGTAGAGTTGTCGCTGATCTCACTGTTATCGACTTAAAAGCCCTTCAATATTTACCTATTGGTGAAATTTTTTTCAAATGAAGACAGTCAGCCATTTTGCAAGTTAAATAGTAAAGTTAACAAAAAAATGGATCCCTGTATGCTGTAATGTTGTTAGATTTCAAAAATGAATGCATTTCATTAATTTCATTTCATGTTTTTAACAATTGTTTAATATACATATGAAATATATAGTATATTAAATATTTTAATAACGTAATACTTATTAATACGAACGTTGTCATAAAATTTATGATACGCGCCCGCTCGTGTTATAAAATCGAGCGGGCCCAGTCAAAGGTTAATTAATTTTCATAAATGTTAGGTTAGATTTAACGAAATTGATAAATACAACAAAATGAACAAAATTTAAAGTAAAAATTTTTACGTTTTAGGATGTTCTTCTAAATCATCCACGCCAACACCTCAATTTGTGCCACCAGAAGGGATGGTTAATTTGAAAGGTTATCTCTCTCATAGTTTAAAAAGTATTTTGCATTTCACTTTTCTTTTATATTTTTATTAATTATTATTATTTTAGCTGATAAAGTTGATTTAAAATCTGCCTCAGATTTAAAGTTCGGAGGTAAATTATCAAATAAATTTCTTTGAATACATTCGTTGGTAATTTATTAATGATTTTAAAACAAAAATTATCTAACCATACATTAAATATACCTTAACCTATCCCATTCTATGTTCGTAAATTTTTTAATTTTATGTTTTCTTGCCTATTTAGGATCCAGAAATAAAGGTTATGATCCTAACACAATTAAAGAATTATTTGAAGATGTTCCCCACACTTACATAAATGGTGCGTTTTATCCGGTTTTTCAAAAACTTGCAAGAACTGTTCATTGTTTATTCTGTGTGGAAACACTACAACATTCATTGGATAACCATCTGAATTTAATAGAACATAAAAATAAACTGAGTTCATCTCAAGATGCGCTATGTGTACAAAATTACCATGAAATCTTTTGTTCATTACCTTGCGAATTACAAACGCAACAGATTCATTTTAAAAGATGTGGAAAATTTTTAGAGTGTCGGTTATGCCAACATGCTTCGCCATACTGTGTACAAGCCGTATATCAGCATATATCAACAAAGAGGCATAAAAAGATGTGTGATGAAACTACAAAAATGTTAAAGGTTATTTATATATGGAAATTTGGTATTTTTTAACTATTTCTTCAATTTCTATTTTTAATGTTATCTTTTTAGTAAGGAATTATGTTTATAAAGATTCTAACTTGGATACATTAATCTTTCTAATGGATAAAAAGATTAAAGGAAATGTACACAACATTTTAGGTAAATTTAATTTAATTTTAAATTATTTTTAATCACTATATATTTTTTCAGAAATTATTTTTCAAGCAGATCGCATAAATCTTCCATGTGCATATATTAACCAAAAATTTTACCCAGTATTCCAAATAATTAACGGAAATCTCCATTGTTTAATTTGTAACGAAGATCTTTTAGAAAATCCATTTGAACATGTTACGAATGATATTACGCATTTAGGGAGGGAATCCATGTATCTTAAACGGATTATTAAATATTATAACATTTGGAATTCACTGCCGGAAAACGTCCAAATACAACAATCGTTATTTCGAATGAAAAAGAAGCATTTTAAGTGTTTGTTGTGTACGTTAAGTCTTCCGTATGAAGTGGTTTTAATTTGGGAACATTTTAATTCAGAAGAACACGAACAAAACATTTATCAATTCGTTTTAGATCAAATAAATAATCAATCGGAATTGATTGTGGCTAATAATTTAGGTAATGTATTTTTTATGATTACGAAGTATATAAGAAATTTTTAACTGTATGAAGTTGTCCAAAAGTTACAAAAACATTGGGTAGGCGGACCAACCAACCTTGCACCGCGACCTCAAAGATCTATCGTACCGATCTTTTGATCTACAAATTTGATGTAGATAACATTATCAAATTTCACCCTGCAGTCCAATGCTCTTAACGAACATTAATGCCTTGGTGATGAGAATCTGATACGATTAACAGCAGGGCAGTGGCATAAAACATGCTCAACCCGCACATAGTCGGCATTCAACATCGTCGGCTAGAACCGACAAGTTGAGGTGTGTGTTTAATAGGCAATGTCCAGAAAAAATACCCATTAGAACTTTAATGCTGCTATGAGCAAGTCCTAAAATATCCCCGGGTTTGACAGTGGCGATGTCGTTAAACAACTTAGCGTGTCTCATTCCAGGAGAACTGGTCCATAGTAGGCGAAGTCTCCCTTCAGCCCACAGCCCAATCCTATGTTTGGCCATCGCAAATGATATACCAACTGCTGGCTCTGGCCCCACAAACGCTTTAGCGCTGCCTTCTCGCGCTATCTCGTCTGCCACTTCATTGCCAGCAACCCCAAAATGACCTGGGACCTAGATCAGAGAAACTCTGTTATCACAAATCAGTGTGTTTAAAGTTCTTTTACAGATATTAACCAAAGTCGACACCGTTTTCACGGCATACAGCGCCTAGAGAGCGGCTTGACTGTTTGAGCAAAATCGTACTGTCATGTTCTTCACCCCTCCCAAGAAGGATTTTAGCACCCATGTCAATAGCAAATACTTTCGTCTGGAATACAATACAGTACGTACCCAGGCTGTAAGCCTGCTTAATCAGAAGTGTTTGGAAGTATACTCCTGCTCATCTGTGAACATGCAAATATCTCCCTGAACCAGAGAATTTCCGTTTCGATCCAGACTGCCGTTCAGGCAGTACAATCTGGTATCGATCATTAATCACTGGTAGTGATTCATTGATAGCTGTTAGGATACGTCGGAGCAGTTTTAAGCATATTGTTTAAACCGGTAAATTGTAGTTCTAGCCACTTTCTCTATATACAAATGCAAAGAAGATAGACCCCTGCACATACTCGCATACATACACTCCATATTATAGCTTTTTGCTAGTGCTTTTGGGATGGTTACAGGTAGATATAGCGTTGTTAAAAGGGGGTGTTACATAATTGTGGATGACGAAGAACAGGAGCTACACAAGGAAGAAAGGATGATAAGCGTGTCGCGCGAGATATTTGAGATAAGGCAATAAACAAGATAATGACTAGAAGAGGAAAAACTGTACAGGAAACTAAAAGTTTTGCAAGAAATGAGATAATGTGGGCAACATTCGTGTAGGGAGAAAGATAGTCAGAAAATATTTTATTGTAACAAAGATACAGGTGATTCTCAACCTATAGGTGTAAAAAATTGTAGTAACAGTTTTTTAGTTTCAAATCAAGAATACATAGAACATTATAAAATAGTATCAGAGCAAGTATTCGAAGTTATTTCCCAAATTTTCTATACACAGTTGGGATCGCCGAATTCACGATCGTCCACTATAGCGGCCTAAATCAGAGTTTTGCCGCTTTGTCTTGACAGCAGCATGTATCTGATTTCGCAATTCTTGCTTATTATTAACTTTTACTACAATTTTTTCACCTATTAGTCATTGTTTATCATGAGGAATAAATCCTAAAGTTTATGCATATAGGTGGAGAATCTCTCTGTATATATTATTTGATAGCTTGGATGGTACCGCATATCTTTTGCTCTGTGACATTTATGTCACAATATCATAATGAGGGAAGGGGAGGCCAATGCGTTTTCAAATATTTATATTTTCATTCAACCGACTTGAATATTTTTGGTTTTGTTTAAAAGAACATTTTATATTCTTAAAAGATATTTTTTATAAAGCTGTTTGGTTTAAAATAATTATGCTAGAGGGCGTTATTTACAGCAATTACGTATTATTATGATTTTTGAAAAAGATTTTCTGAAATAGGAGTAATTTATGAAGTCCGACGATCTAGATTAACTCCAGTATCAAGGCCGGATTTTCATGTCATCCCATTTTCAGCATGTTATTGATTTTAGTTGCAGTATTTATATCGCAATTCTTTGTCGTCTTCTTCTTGGGGGTTCTTGAAATCTAGAAACAAGACTTCACGTGTTAACAATAGCGCATGAAAGGATATACTTAAAAAAAGACAGTTTTAGGTTCTAACTTTTATAAGTTATATACAAGTACTATAATGATATATGTGAACAAAGTTTTACAAAAAGTTGAATATTATTTATATTGTGCTTTCTTTTCTAGGTTACTATATTGATACAAATTTAAATTTGGATTCAATGTTATATTTGGCAGATATTGAGATAAATAAAACTAAGGAACATGATTTAGGTAAATATTTTTTTTTATAACTACATTATCAAAATAAATTAAGTTTTATCTATAATCTACTAATTTATCTATTTGTTAATATCAACACTATCAAATCGTTGACTAACATGAATAGTTAGTTAGATAAGATTATGTTAACGTCACTTCGTTTCTTTGTTTCATTTCAGTCTCAAAACAATTAAATGAAAACGATTCAAAAAGAAATGAATCAGTTGTGAAAGATACAGCAGGTAAGCTCGTTGAGTGTAAATTCTTAAAAAGTTATTGTTATCATAAATTATTATAGCTGACCATTTTCCTCTCCAATCGGTTGTTTTTGGTGAAAATATTTATGGAACTTGGAAAACTGCTCAGTACAATAAATTAAAAGAATTAGATAATTTAAAAAGGATCGAATGTTTGGCTAAAAATATAGCAGGTAAATAATTTTGGTTTTTTAGCATAATCGTGATTTATTATTTTTATTATTATAGCCGACCACTTTCCTCTTCAATCAACTGGTAATTATGAAAACATTTATGGAACATATAAAACTGCACAATATAAAGCAATAAAAGATATTGAAGATTTAAAAAAAAGGAAATTGTTGGTTAAAAATATTGCAGGTTAATTAAATTAAATTTTGAATTAATTAGTTGAATAATTATTTTTATTATAGCCGACTACTTTCCTCTTCAATCAATTGATCCTTATGAAAACATTTATGGAACATATAAAACAGCTCAATATAAAGCAATAAAAGATATTGAAGATTTAAAAAAAAGGAAATTGTTGGTTAAAAATATTGCAGGTAAATTGAATTAAATTTTGAATTAATTAATTGAATCATTTTTATTAATTATTATTATTATAGCCGACCACTTTCCTCATCAATCAATTGGTCCTTATGAAAACATTTATGGAACATATAAAACAGCTCAATATAAAGTAATAAAAGATATTGAAGATTTAAAAAAAAGGAAATTGTTGGTTAAAAATATAGCAGGTAAGTTCATTAAACAATGAACAACCTTTATTGTTAATCAAAATTATTTCTACAGCTGATAACATTCCAACTCATTCATTTGATCACTGGGAAAATCTGTATGGAATCTATACAACCAACCGTTCACCTAAACGTTTTGAAATAAATCGGATTACTAAATCGTTATCTTTACTTAAAAATTATAAGTCAGGTAAGAAAAATATTTATCTTTATTTTATTACATATACGAAGTACATACCCAGAATTAAAAAGAAATAAGTGAAAAGTTTTCGACATATTAAGGAAATATGATATGATGACATACATTGAGTAAATCCGTTTTCTTTATACAAAGGCATTTTGATAAAATTAGGAAATAATAAACTTTTTGACCTTTGTTTAGAAAATTAAACTCTAATTGGGAGTAATCGCCTTTTATCTAGATCTTATATTGGATGGGCCATCTAACATTGGAAATTTGAATCAGATATAAAAACAGAAGTAGTATCCGACCGAAATCGATATTTACCGCCGAAACAGTAATCGAAACATTTTTTAGGGGTAAATAAATGAAAAAATCCAAGGATATTAATAATACTGTATTCATCACAAAGTAAAAAACATGACTAATCTTAATAATGCACGTTTATCTTCAACCAATCGTTGCAACATTAGGTACGTGCTATTCCACCGCACCTCTATGGCTTGTAAGAGTGATTCCGCATTAATTTTGACAATCAAGTTTTCTGTACGCTTGTTCACTCCTTTAAAAGTGGGTGATTCTTCTGCACCTTTTTATCGCTGTTTTTAGTAATCAATATAACTTTCAATCTTTGTGATCCCATTATGAAACGACTTTTCAAACTCAGTAATGAGCACGACTTTAATGGATTTCGCCATACATCGGTCGTGCAACTTAACCAGTCGCATTGTTCGATTAAGTTTATTACTTTTGCTTTGACTTTGTCATCTGTTTGGAGCATTAATGAAGTCTGGAAATATAGTTCAGATTTAAAACTGTATTTATAATTGGCGTTTGGATCTGCTAAATTAAAACGTCTGGAAGCACTACCTTCCACTATAGAGTATGGCAGCATGTCGACAATTATAAAGTACATTAGCCTCATCGATTCTCTGAACAATTGCATGATCACCTGTTCATTGCGGTTCTTTCATCCGTCATTCTGTTTGTTATATCTGTCAAGCTACATTGTATGATCTTCGATTTTTATTATTAATGTTTGACACATCTTTCTTTTTTAACTTAGGTTCATTTTCCTTTTCATCCATCTGTGATTGTTTCAAAACTTGTCTATTCTTTGAATTGTGAAATTTGCACAAAAGTTGTTTCAATCAATCCGTGTATAGTTTGTTTTTTGGTTCGTTACTGCCCAAAGAATAAAGTTTTTTGCAAAGTTGACATATGGCTTTTGATAAGTCAGCAGTGCTTTTGTAGTAGAAACCCCAACTCGTTTTTCATCTTTCTCTCTTTACATACTTTCTGTATATGCTTCATAAGATAGATGCACGTACACAAACAACTTGAAACTTCTTTACGCGCAAGCCAAAGCAGATACGAGAATAGACGAACAAAGTTTCGGTCGATTTTTGATAACCTTTAAACTTTATGGAACCAAATTAAAAAAAAACTCAATCTGAAAAAAACACCAAATTGTGTTCTATCTAAATTCGGGTTTTGTCCTACCAGTATTAATCTCAAAAACATGCCTAATAAACAATTTTGGGCACTGATAAAGTTACACTGACATCATGACCTAGAACTAAAATCGCTGCATAACTACAAGTTCTATAAATAATAATTAATCTTGAAATGTGCTTCATAATGATAAAGACTTATGCAGCATTGGTTTATCTCTATTTAAAGCATAAAAAATATATTTTGTTCATTTATTATTGTTGAATACATTAAATATGTTTTTATATATTCGATTTTACTTTAAATAAAAATAATCCTTTATCATTTTAAAGACCATTTAGATATAAACACCATTTCTTGTAACCCAAAGTGATATTTTATCCATTTTGTATTTCTTTTTAACTAGAATGTATAAAAATAATTTAAGGGAACTTAATAGGATACATTTTTTATTGCTAAAAATTTCTTCACTATACTTATTTAGATAAAAACACTTTTTTTATTTATTTAAAACTCAGTTATTACCACGCTTTTTAGCGCCATCTATAAAACATGCAATGACACTATTTCTGACATTGAAGATTGAGGTTATGTGTCAAAACTGTTATTAGTGTTTTATTGATAAAGATTTTTTTCATTAAGTACAAAGGTGAAGATATAATGATCTCATCCTTAATTTCCGTCAACAATAACGCATTTGATGATGTAGTGATAGGTTAAATAAGATTTTTTTTTAAACAATTTAGTAACTTTCTTATCTTCTTGTATATATACTATGAAATCGTTTTATATCAATTAACTTAGGGGAAATACCTATTTTTATGTAAGTTTTTATTAAAAACAAACCAAATAAACGAATTTTATGTTTTTTAGATGTTGCCGTTAATGTAAATACAACAATGGATCAAAATCAAACACATAATTCCAAAAATTCTAAACAACATGAAGTTTATCAAAAAGGTGAGACCCCCACAAAGATTCTAACATATACATAAACTACTTTTTTATTATAGCATCAATTGAATTTCCCCCTTACGATGTTTCAATATTAAACTCAATATATAAAAATGGGTTGATACATTATAATATAAAAATAGATAACATCAAATATCCAGTTATACAGAATTTAGGTTTATACAAGCATTGTATAATATGCGAAAAAAGTATAACAAGCGAAATTTTTCATTGCAACTCTGATGAACACATAAAAAACTCAACAATTCAAGTGAAAAAACTTTTATTAAAAGATTTCCATCAAGTATTTGCATTATTACCAAAGCATTACCAAGAACAACAGAAGTATTTTCGAAAAGAGGAGCAATTAAAGTGTATATTGTGTAATGTTAGCATCAAATATGATTTTGGTCTTATATTGAGTCACATTCAAGAAAAAGATCATATGATGAAACAGGAAAAATTTGAAAGAAGCCCCAACACCAGTCGTAATTATTTTGTCGTTATTATTTAAGTTTTATTTTTAACTATTTCTTTTAATTTTTAAGGAGGAAATTCACCGTTTGTGAATGAGAGTCTTCCTGATGACACCAAATCACCAAATAAAGAGAACAAACAGATTATTGAATCAATTGCAAAATCAAATCTAACATCTAATTCTAATATTAATAAACCAACCATAAATGGAACATCAAAAGAAACTTTAAAATATAGTTTACCAGCTATGATTAAACTGTTTCAAAATCTTGAAGAATACACCATTAAAATAAACAATAATGAATTCTTTCTTTTACGAAATAGTACGTTTGGAATTCGTTGTTTGTTATGTATTGATGGCCCCGCTTTTAATCCAGCTGATCATGTAAAGACCAGCAATCATATAAAGCATACAACCAATCAGGTTGCTTTAAAAAATTTTGAAAAATTGCATCATCTTTGGATGACGAGCAAGGACAATCAGCAGGAACAATTGTTCTATATTGTGCAAAGACATTGTCATTTATGTCAAGTTACTCTTAAACATGATTACATATTAAAACATATTGAAACGAAAGGACATTTGGATAAAGTTGATCAACACAACCGTCTTACCGCGTCAACAGAATTATTAAAAATGGAAACAAAGACTGAAGATGAGAAAAATGGTATAATTGAAAATCAAAAGATTGTTGATAAAAATTCCGCAATAACAGAAATCATGTCTAATTATACAGAAAATATTTCCTCAGCTCAGGAATCACAGGATGTTGTTCAAAATGGTATTGAGCATGATGAAGATACTAAAAGTGAAGGTAATTAATAATAATATTTTATTCCTTTCAGTGGATTACAATACATAATTCACATTATAGTAATAATAACAAAAATAATAACTGAGGTATATCCAGATTGTCTCTAAATCGTACCCCTTTCCCCAGCCTCCTTATGTCTCAAATCGTCATACTCTACCAGCAGATGGTGTAAAGACTCCCCCTCCACACAGTTTACACCCCCTCTCCTCATCCTCCATTAAATATCTACCTCTTCATCCCCCTCCACCATCAAGAACTTTGGTAGCAGCCCCTCTGTTGAAATCTCCTCATAATGTGGGTTATATCTACTCTCCCATATGTCAGTCCTTCATTCCCACATCTCTTCTCTTTTACATCATTTCTGTAATATCCCCCTGACCATATATCCCGCCGTCTAGTTAGCCAATCTCAACACCAACCTCCAGTATCTAGTCTGTACATCCTCTAATAGCCCTTGCTCCTTTCATCAAATATATCATAACGCTTTTTATCAAGCTATCAAGCGTGGTCTCTTCTTGTTGCGTCATCGTCGTCATCGACCATGGGTACTACAGGTTTTAGCATTTTATACATTCTTAACTTGGTCGTTCTCATGATTCTTACAACTTTTTCCGCGACTCAGCCTTTATTGTGTAACAGTGTCCTCAAGTAGGTGAACCGTCTCGTTCCCTCAAACCTAAAGTTGTCGACAAGTATGGCGTGACTCCTGCTCTTTTGGTTATGATGTACTCATGTCCCATTGTCTATTGGTTCAATTCTGCGAAAGCTTCCTTAAGAGCACCTTCATTCCCCTCTTATTACCAGTCTCCTTTTACTTTTCCTCGTTGTGCCTAGTCCCATTCTTAACTTAGTCTTTTGTCAGTCTCATTTCTCTCTAAAAAATAAGCTTGGGTTTTTTCTCTTCCTAGACTCTATTTTAACTCTTTTTGCTAGTAACTTTCTTATTCCAGTCTCTGCTCAATTACTTTTTTGTAATACAAGTTTCTAATCTCACATCATTCTGCTCAGTAACTTTTTTTATTTCTAATTTCTGTTCAATCTCTTTCTTCTATTACCAGGTTTTCTAGACTTCATCCTTTCTGTCCAGTTTCTGTGCACGAACACCCTTGCACATCATACTCTAAAAACTTGAACAATTTTCTTTTATGGACACACTGTATTTATACAGGTCGCTGATATGTATGGAAACGGTCAGTTATCAGTAAGATAGGAAGCGAAAAATGTTGAGATACAAAAGTTTTAGTGTTTTTTAAAATCTATTACAATAAAGACAAATTAAGTATACAGGTCAGTCAAAAAGTTATGACGAAACAAAATTACGTTTTCTTTAATGGAAGACCCTATATATTATTCCATATTTCAATTAATCTCGAAATTCTAAACAAAATTCATGTAACACATCATAGAGCTTAACTTAACCGATTTCCAGATGTCGAGCTTTTAAAAATTTACAATTTTATCTAATTAGTGACGTAATTTATCTTTGGACACAAATTATTTTTGTATTTTTGACATGTGTTATGTCACGCATTGCTATGGAGATGAGAAACTTTCAAAGGTACCTTGATGAATTATGAACATAATCGACAAAAATATTTTTGTGTAATAGACTGCCTAAGTCTGACGTCACAGAGTTGGGCAGAGCTTATACCGATTCCAAACAATTTCGTTTCTAACGATAAACCACCATAAAAATGTCATTTAAAAAGTCACTTAGTTTATTTTATTTTAACACTAATTGAAAAATTGCATATGGTGATTTACCGTTAGCAACGAAAATGTTTGGAGTCGGTATAAGCTCCGCCCATCTCTGTGACGTCAAGGCTTAGGTTGGTTGTCTATTTATAGGAGTGATTTTCAAAGTTCAATATCACGAAAACGGTTAAGTTTAGGTTTACGATGTGCTACATGAATTTTGTTTAGAATTTCGAGATGAACCGAAATATGGAATAATATACAGGATGTTCCATTAAAGAAAACAGAACTTGGTTTCGTCATAACTTTTTGACTGATCCTGTATACAGTAAAACCTCGACTTACGCGCCCCTGTACTTACGCGGTTTTTCTAACGATGTCGAGCCATCGGGAAGCGACAAGAATTTTTCGACAAGTTTTTTTTTTAATTCTTAAAAAAAAGCATCCCTCATTCGTCAGTCAACTCTTTTAGATTTTATAAAGCCGTCGGAACCAACGTAATAATATACGTTTTAATACTATTTGTCCACGACTACCTTATAATATAATACCTTATGAATGAGTTTTCTAAACCAAAATGGTAGTCATTTTTCACGGAGTGAATAATANACTCATTTGAGGTGATTTGAGTTACGTAATGAAGTTCTTTATCGCACTGGTTTCATTACGTAACGCATTTTTAGCCCAATCAGAACTGACTTAATTTATTGAAACAAGCAACAATACAAAAGGAAAAGTGCTACCTATTGAAAGAGAAAATACTATTTATTATAAACATTAATTGTTATTTTTAGAGGTAACAAAAGTTTTTGTAAGGGTTGCACTTTTACTGGTTAGTAAAAAAATCTTGTATTAAATATAATACGTCTCTTTATTTACATGTTTCGCCTGTCCTAGCAGGCATCTTCAGAATAAAGAGTAAGGTATAATTTGAAAATAAAATTTTTTGAACAACTTAAACTATTATAATATTGAATTAACGGTAAAATTCTGTTTAAAAATCACAAATGGGTAGCTTTTGGAGATAAAACAATCTTTACAATCGGTGTTGAAAATGTGAAGACATAATTTGAAATTTTATTGAATTTCGACATACTCGATTTACGCGGCTACTCTCATTTGTCTTTATTGTAATAGATTAAAAAAAAAAACACTAAAACTTTTGTATCTTAAGATTTTTTGCTAGCTATCTTACTTTAGGAGAGATGATTGTGGGTTGGATAGATGATTTGTTCCTCACAGAAATGGTTCACTTTAATTTGAATGAGCCGAAGAATAGAGAAAAAAATCGACTTTATAATGTAATATAAAAATGGAAATTTTATATAACTTGGTCCCAAACACGACTTAATTTCAACCAATAACACGCAAATCCTCGCACATAACTTATTTGTATCCTCACCAACCACGGTTTGAACTTTTTTTTTCGCTTCTATTAATTCATTATTCCCCTCCCAATTCTTTCATTCCACTCTATTCTCAGTTCTCCCTTAAAAATATTCTAATTAATTTATCCTCTTATTTTATAGATATTGCAAGTACTGATAACCTACAAGTAAATTACGCTTCATGGGTAAAAGCAACCATTTATTATGGATTAGCTAAATATACAGTATCAGTAAATGGAAATCTGTTTCCGTATTTAAGACGTACATTCCAAGGTTTAAGATGCATACTTTGTCAAGATGAAGAAGTGAATTCAATTTCTGATCATTTAAAAACTTCACACCACACACAACAATTAGATAATCCGAAAGCTTGGCTATGCGTACAAGATTTTCACGATTATTGGTCAAGAAAAACCGACCCGATAAGTCAAAATCAACAGATTTACGTCATCAACGGAAAGTGCGTTTTATGTAGACACTACAATCATACAACGAACATAAACGAACATCTACCATCAAAAGAACATCGAATTACCGAGGATGGTGTTGATTGCGACGAACTAATAGATGTGATGGGGCTAAGTAAGAATTTATTAAAAATCGAAAATTAGATTTAATAATGTTTAAAACTAATTTTTTATTTTAAACAGGAGATAAATTCCGTTATTGCGATCAAGTTGAGAAAACTTTATACAAAGATTTAGATCAGTATTTTACATACCACGGTTTGATAAAATTACCACTTTTGAGATTAACTAAAGAAGGTGTTAGGTGTATTTTATGTGATGATACGGGAGTAACCTCACCAGCCCAACATGTTAAAACACCAGCTCATCAGCAGGCTCTTTACAATTACGATAAACGCGAGAAATTATGGAATTTCCATAAAATGTGGCAAAAAATGGAACCAGCGGCTCAAGCGCATCAACAACACGTTATTTTAATGATGTGTCTCGCTTGTGATAGAAAAATAAGTCTTGAAACTGGGGAAGCTCATGTTTTATCAAAAGCACACCAAGGAAATATTAAAATGAAAGAAAAAAATCAAGGTTGATTATAATCTTTTTATATAAAACAATTTCTTTTAAATTTTTATTTTAGCTAAACCAAAACGAGTAGTTACCCACGATATAAAACCATCAATACCATCTCCGGATCTTCACAATTTAATGAGCCAAATTCCGTGGTATTTCACACCCCACTTTAAATTTTTAAAACCTCAACCGAATAATAAAAACGAAATAACATGTACTGCGTGTAAAAAACTCTTTACAAACGCCATGCAAATAAGAACTCACTTAGACACCAAAGATCACTGCATCGCATCAAAACTAGATCAAATTAAAAATCAATTTCTTTGTGAAATTTGCATGAGAAAGGCGAAAAATGAAAAAGAATGGCTGGAACATTTACAGTCGGGAAATCACACGACTTGTGTTCAAGGTCTCGGTACTAATCGCAAATCAACCATGAAAGAAAACACTTGCGTCACGTGTAATATGGTGATTTTTGGCGATACCGTTTCAGTGATGCGACATAATAAAAGTAAAAATAATAAGGGAGGTGTTGAAACTACGTTAACCAAAGGAATGAAAAGATTACTTTCAAGTAAGAAAGCGATTTTAAGCGAAGCTATGAATCTTGTTAAAATCGTCGATCATGATATTGATAAAAGTAAAGCTGATGTTAATGAATGTTGCAAAGCTCTTGAGAAAACGTTATCTGCGTATTATTCAATGTGTCGAGTTTATCCGTTTGGATCAAGAGTTACTGGACTTGGAAACAGAGAAAGTGATCTTGATGTTTTTATTGATATTGGCGGTATTTATGACGGTTCACGTTTCCAATCAGCCGATGAACAAGCAAATATTGTCCTCAAAGTGGGCGATTTATTAAAAAAGAACAAAAAACAGTTTACTAATATTGTTACTGTACCTGGAGCAAGAACCCCAATAGTTAGAGTGTTTCATATTCAAACAGGAATTGATTGTGACATTTCATTCAGACATGGTTTATCGGTAGAAAATACAGAGTTTATTAGGTAAATTAAAAAAATTAAATTTGTGGTATTAATAAAATAAGTTTTTGTTTTTTTAAGATTTTGTATCGAGTTACAACCAATATTAAGACCAACATTGTTGTTTTTAAAATTATGGCTTTCAAATACAGATCTTCCATATGGTACTCCAACATCTTACGCTTTCACAATGCTAGTAATATTCTTTATGCAACAACAAAATTATTTACTATCTGTAGATGAATTACGATTTCGTAACAGAAAGGGAAAAGTAAAAATCGACGGCTGGGAAGTTGTTGAATATACAACAAGCATCGCGGAAATGAAGAAGTATGTCAGAGAATGCACTGTCCCTCTACCGGAATTATTAAAACAGTTCTTTGGTTATTATGAAAATTTTAATTTCGGCAGTTTAGTTGTTTGCCCTTTGTTAGGACATATGATTGATAAATCCCATTTTGTACCGCAACAACCTGATTTACCACCACAAATGAACACCTATGTACGAAAATTAAACGAGCCTAATGGGGAAGTTTTAAAACATCATACCCCAATGTGCGTTCAGGATCCATTTGATTTATCTCATAATGTTACTAAGGGATGTTCAGGAATAGCAGCGAAGATGTTTCAGAAGTATTGTAAGTTATCGAAGTCTCATATTAGTGCCTTGCAGTAAAGAAACGAAAAAAATTAAAAAAAAAACAATAAATAAGAAGAAGAAGAAAGTTAACAGATTTAAGAAAATGGTTAAATCTAAAACGAGATAAATCATAATGTTACCTTTAATTTTAGTTGTGTCAATTTTGTATTGTTGAAGTGAATACATTGTATTTAAGCTGTGGGTGCCATCATGTTTATGTTTTTTTATGTATTATTTCATTATACGACTAAAATGATTATTAATTAGATCGGATATCAACAAAGGTGTTGATAAAATTGTATTTTTTAATATGATGAAACATTTATTGATTATGATTTTAATGAAATAAAGTTATTTTTAATAAATAATTAACATTTTTTTTATATCCAATGATATTTATGAAATTTTTTAGTGCAATAGTGGAGCTACTTTTTTCAAGAATCAAGTTTTTGCAGTGCTCTAAAGCACAAGAATAAGCAATAATCTATTTAACCAAATAATTGACTGCCAAAAGCAGTGAGATATACAGACTCATGTCCCGTCTATGATGATAGCTTGAAACTGACGAAATACGGTTGACAAACAAATAACAAAAGTGTCGCTTATGAAAGTTAGTTTTTTCGATATTTCTATACGCATCAGAACTTCAAACGGATACAAAAATGACGCTTTTGAGATATCCAACGAGCTTCAAATCCGCGTCCGATTATCAACTATATGCCGACGCAGAATTGTTCAGTATTTTGAATATGTAGTACTATGGAACAAAACAAGCCTGGAAAAATTAGTGGCCCAGGGTAAACGCCCTCTCAATGGCTAAACCAAATTAAGAGCATCACGAAGAGAAGCCCCTACAAACAATATTGAGAGAAACTAAAGACGCTTCAGGTGGAAAGAAATAACAAATCAATGCACCTAAGCAACATAATGAATAAAATGATGAGATCGACTTAGACATTATTAACTTAGTCAATTTAATATTAATAATCACAATGACCACTTTTCTAATGACTTTGGTGAGGATACTAACGGGGTTGATGAGAGGAAAGGTGGCTGGAGAGGATGGGTTACAGAATGAGGATTGGCTGGAGGCAACAAAGGATATAATAGAGATATTTCTGAAAGCCTTGCATAAGATCTGGAGAGCTGAAGAATTTCCTTGGGAGTGGCGGATCGGAATTATATACCCTGTTTACAAATAAGGTCCGTTAAGCCAAACCATTTCAAGTTGGTGACATTGGGTCATTAATTTTTCTAGTTGTCAATGTGACAATTTGAATGAAAGAGTGCTTTAAGTTTTATAAAACGTGTTATTTATGTTATTTTTTGTAATTCGCGTTTTTATACTTTTTTTTAACAAAAATAAAATAAATTTTGACAATGTAAGGAAATAGGTATGTAGCAATAAAAAAAAATTGTCTAATTGTTAATTCAAATTTCTATTTTCAAGTGTTATGGTGTTACCAACTGCTACCTATACCTATTTCCCTACTTTGTCAAAATTTATTTTATTTTTGGTAAAAAAAAGGATAAATATACATATAAATAAAAAGGATACAAAAAATAGCATAAAAAACACGTTTCATAAAACTTGAAGAACTCATTCATTAAAAAATTCGTGGGTTCGCAACTCGTTTTTAAACTTGAATTCGTGCATTTCAAACGTGTCTTACGAAACTTGTTTTTTAATATACTATTTTAATATTTTGGATATTGTGGATTGTGTAATTTGTGTGTCCGGGTAAATATTATTGAACAGTATGCAAACTTCACTTTGAGTGCGTTTTCTATCACCATCATTAATATTTGGATCATTTGTCGTTCGCTTAATTGTGCCATATTTAAAGTTTAAACTGTCAATTTTTTGACGTTTAAAGCTGTCAACGGCATTATTTCGGCGCCTACTTTGATTGTAATTTGCTGACTAATACAGGTAGCCCAAAAGTACGTATTTTCAGAAAACGCGTTTTTTCTCGATTTTTTTTCTTATACAACCATATGATTTGATGTGTTCATCGCGTAGAGGGATATATACTTTATCAAAATATGCAAAAAAAACATATGCATGCCATTTAAAATAACAATGTTGGTTGCCATAGCAACGAAACAAAAAACAATGCAACCAAGCAAATATAGCCAAAAAATTTATCACAATTAATAAAGAATTTTTTATTTGAAACATTTTTCTTTAAAATCACAAATGGCGAAGTTATTCTGTCTGGCTATATTCCAGACATTTGACACATCCTGTATGTTGTAGCTGTATGTTTTAATTGTACACAGAAAGTAACAATAAACGATATTATATAGTATAAACTCACTCTCACAGAGTGTTCGCAATTAATTTCTGCAACAAGCAGTATGAAGCAGTACAACAATGATTACTTGTTGCTGTTGCACAAGTAACAACAGGATTTATTGCGCTATTGCAAATTTTTTCCAAAAAAGTTTAAAATATCAACTAACAGAAAATTAATCAAATTGATTCCAGAATTGTTAAGTTTATGAATATCATTCTAAAATATATTTGTAACCCACCCTGGGGTTGTAAGAATTAAATAACATCAAAAAATAATAAGGTATTTGAGGGTTTAATTTTTGAAGTAATTTGGATTGCCTATATTTTAAGAAAAGCTTCTTCAGCGGATTATTAACCAACACATCAGCTGTTGAATTCATCTTTAATAACGCTTAAATTGGTCACGTTTTAGGACACAATCCATAAACTATTGAAACTGTATCAATACTTATTAAAATTTTTGAAATTATTCTGGAGAAAGATAAAGGAGTTCATTTAAAAAAATCCGTAGGCGTTTTGTTTATCATTTCATTTGAATGTTTATTCTAATCAGGCTCACTTCCTCTTTTTTTAGAAAAAGCATCTGGTACATCAGTTTAAAACTTAGGCGGAAAGACACAAAAACGTTCACTTTCTAGGTATTTATAATATACATTTTAGAGTACCTCTTAAGATTGATTTAATATTTAAATTTTTAGACATGATGAGAAATTTTCATTGGAAAAAAAGAAATGTATCGTATATAATAACGATATTTTTAGCACTTTATTTATTTTTTAGAAGAAAAACTTATGAGCATGAAGAAACTTTGCTATTAGAGAAAATAAAACCAGTTGATGTTTGGGAATATGTAGCTGATTTTAGTAACATGAAAGATTTAAATCCCACAATGTACAAAAACCTTTTTTTTACTTAATTACTTGATTTAAATGAATACTTATATTTTAGAATATCTTTTAATATTATTGACGAAAGTGGAAATTATGATCACTGGAAATACTCAGTAGAATACTCTGAACATTTATCTCATTGGCCTTATCTTGAAAATCACGCCATTGGACATTATGATATAAAAGGAAATCATCAAAATGATGTTTATTTTATTAATTCAGCTCATATCACATGTTTATTTGGAAACTATTTTTGTTGTAAGCATAAATTTATTAAATTTGTTGAATTAATCATGCAATTTTTATATTTTTAGTAAATTCAAAAAGCAGTTTTAAAATATCTAATTCAAGGAATGGATCTATGTGCCAAGAACTTATAGAGTACCAATGTCCCGCGATTTTAAACCAATTTTGCTTTAAAGAAGTTGATTTCCAACGTAAAGCAATTATGAAAAATTTAAAATTACATTTTTATAAAAAATAAACGTTATCTTTAAACTAACAGTGTTTTAATTAGTATTATCTTTGCTGATAGAAAAAAATAACATATCCAATCAACATAACTTGTACTACCACTCAATAACCACTTCAAACCACATCCTTTTGCTAATAATAACTTAACCTAAAATGATAAGTAAATGTTGATTTTAAATAAGTTGACAATACTACGTGATAAGACATATCACTTTCAATCAGTTATTCATTTACACCGGAATTTATATAAAAAGTCGATTCAACCTAAACCAGTTTTTTTCAACAAGGTCAAGGTTACATCACATTCCTCTTGTAGGCATAAAATCAATTCGTTTTCAACCATTTCAAAGATGTCTCTGAAACATTTAGGTGCAGGTATTTGAATTTTTAAATAACTCCTTAAATAATCTTTAATAACCTTAATTATTATTTACTTTAAGGGTCTGAATGCCCACCAAAAAGCGATGAGAAAAAGCTTCGTTTATATTCAATGGAATATTGCCCATTTGTACACAGGGTGAGGCTCGTTCTTAGAGCTAAAAATCTTGATTTCGAAACGGTTAATATTAACTTAATCAACAAACCTGAGTGGTTGTTTAAGTTACATCCTGAAGGTAAAGTTCCCGCTTTAGAAATAGGCGATAAAGTAATTGTGGAAAGTTTGGATATTTGTAACTATTTGGATCAAGAATATCCAAATCCACCACTTTACCCATCCGACCCTACTCAAAAAGAAAAAGATATAGCTTTGTTTGATGTTATTGGAAAATTACATGGAAATTTTATCGATTTGGTGCTGAAAAAGGAAACAAAGACCCCTCAAGAATGGAAAAACATATTCATGCCTAATTTAACTAAATTGAATGATGAATTAAAACAACGCGGAACTACATATTTCGGCGGAGAAACCCCTGGAATGGTAAAACATTATTTTAAATTTATTATTCTGAAATTTGAGAGATATTTTTTAGCTTGATTATGTTTTATGGCCTTGGGCCGAAAGAGCCGGAACCGTTGTAATAGTTTTAGGAGAAAAACTTCCCCTTGAATCCAATGAATTGGAGGTAATTAGAAAATGGAGAAAAACAATGCAAGAACACCCTGTTGTTGCTGGAATTTACCACGGACCTGAAAAGTTCTATAAGAGCGTTCAAATTAAAGTCGGCGAATTGCCACCTGATTATGATGCTATTTAAAACGGGATAAATAATTACCACTTAAAAGCTTTATACTCCTAACACAAAAGCATAAATTAAAAATTCCACTTGCGCCTTGAATACTTATTATATATATTTCATCCAATTATGACTTAAAATTGGTCTTCCAAAATGTTATTTTAGATCCATAGTTGTTTAAAATTTTGATTAAATTTAATAAAGAATTAAATAGCAAATATTGGTATAATATATATTACAAATTTCCCGCAAAAATTAAGTTGGTAATAACGAAATTTGACAACTACACATAACCTCAATCAAAAATTAAAACAAACTGTTTAGTAAACACTAATTTCATAATAAAATAGATTATAATGGTAGATTTCTTAGCAGAAAATAATGTTTGTGGCCAAAACATTCTTCAATTGGTGTCGAGAGGTAACGCAATTATAGCAGAAATTTTAAGATTAAAAGATTACATTCCTAATTTGTTTCGGTAAGTAACTTATTTAATAATACTTCTTCAATAATACGTGTTTTAATTATAGGTTACAAAGCAAACAAGATGCCCAAAAGTATGGGGAAATAATCTTGGATTTTGGTTATTTTAAAATTGCTGAAGCGCAAGAATATAAAATTGAAAATAATGATGTAATTATTAAAATACTCTAAACGACGTTTATTTATGGTAAAAATTTTGTAGGCGCTCCAAGATTTGGATGGTGAATTTCGCGACAACCACATCCAAATCATACAAAGATTTTATTTGGTTTTTAAAAGTATTCATACCTACGTTACTGATTTAATACATTATATCGACGAATTAAATGATGGGATGTATCTACATCAATCGTTGGAGAGTGTTTTTAGTGATGTTGAAGGTCGTCAATTAATGGTATGAATAAATTAAATTACAAATTCTAATCCTTATACCTGATGGCGTCAGATAAATCTTTTTCCTATTCCTCCATCCACTTCTTCCACTCCCTCAGGTTCCTGGCTGATTCTTTTATATCTGCTAGAGTCTTCCCTCTCTTCTTCCTAACTTCTGCTATTCTTTCCTCCCACTTCTTCATAGGTCTTACCCTCTTTTTCTTATCCTTATTCTTTGCTTCAAATACCTTTTTTGCTATTGTGTTATATTCCATTCTAATTATGTGGGCATACCAGTTTAGTTGCTTTTTGATCTTATTTCCTCATTCCTTATCCTATCCTACTTTGTCTTCCCCATGAAAACTTTCCATAAAAATTTCATTTCCATTGCTGTGATCTTTCCTTCTTGTTTATCTTGGAGAGTCCATGATTCACTGGCATATGTTACTATTGGGACTACCACCAAGTTGTACACTTTCAATTTTATCTTTTTATCTACCTCCTTCCCAAAAATTGTTCTGTTTAGAGTATGATATATGTTGTTTATTTTCCTTATTCATTTATGTCTAAATCTATCCTTCCATCTTGTGATATTATACTGCCCAAGTACTCATAGGATAATACTTCTTCCATCTTTTGTTCCTTCATAAATAATTCTTTTGGGTTATTTCTTATTTCCTTTTTATTTATTATCACGATTTTACACTTATTTACGTTCAATTCTAGGCCCATCTTTTCAATTTCTTTTGTCTATATTTCAACTAACTTCCTTGCCATTTTATGGTTCTTTGCTATCAGTACTATGTCGTCAGCATATAGTAAATTATCAATTTTTACTGGTTCCAAACTTCTATAACCTATTACTGTTTGATATTTATTTGTTTTTGTTCTTGTATTTTTTATCACAGGCTATCGCCTTGTTTTATTCCCTTGCTCATTTCAAAACTTTTTGATGTTTCTCCTTTCATTTGTACTATGCTCTTGACTATGCCCTTTCTTGTGCAGGTTTTCAATTATTTTTGTTAGTTTTTGTGGTACCATTAGTCGTTATAGACAGTTCCATATAATACTATGGTTAACCCTGTCAAAAGCTGCTTTTAGGTCCAAGAATATAATGTATAGTTGCCCATCTCTATTATCCTGTTCCCAACGTTTCTTTTTCGCCTCCCTAGCCATATTCTTAGCTACATCTCTGTTCGTTCTATAAATTGCTTTATCCTCTTCCGAATTCGTTCTTATGTATTTCTTCCATGACTCTTTCTTCTTCTTGATTGTCTGTCGGACCTCTTCATTCCACCAGTGTGTTGTCTTTGTCTGATTATTATATTTTCTCATTCCACACACCTCCATAGCTTTATTTCGCATTATCTTTTTAAAAATTCTCCACCTTTTTTCCAGTGTTAAATTCTTTGGTTGTTCTAGTTTTTGTTGTTTGTTTTTTCTTGGTATTTTAGTCTTTCTTCATCTCTTTTCTTTCGATTTCTTTATTATTAATAGTTGTCATGACTAGTGTGTGGGTGGTTCCCATTTCTGCTTCAGTCTGTACCTCCTCGACTTTGTTTTGGAGATTCCAGGTGTATATGATGTAATTAATAATACTCTTAGCATTCCTTTCTTCCGCCACGAACGTATATCTATCTTGCCTCATCTGACTCATTCTTTGCCCATTTCTATTCACCACTGCCTCTCCCTGATCCCCATATTCTGCTATACTATCTGGCCCCTTGTGTATATCATTACCTATTCTCGCATTCCAGTCTCCCATTATAATTACTTCCTCTCCTTGTACTCTGGGTTTATCGAAGGTTTTCTGCAGACTTGAGTAAAAATCTCGTATTTCTTCTGTTCCTTCCGTTGGTGCGTAGATTTGAATTATATTCACCTTTCCGTTTAGGGCAATTCCCAATTTCAGAATTCTTGAATTTACTCGTGCATACTTATTTACTCTTTTATTTAGTTCCTCTGTTATAATTATTTATACTCCCTCCTTGCTTCATGTATTTTCTTGGACTCCTGAAAAGTATAGACTATAATTGTTTGATAATTGTATGCTTCTCCTTACCTCTTCATCTCCTCCATTATTTCCTTTTCCGTTAAAGTTGTAATATTCCACGTCCCCATCTTTATAACTTTCCTATTTTCTCCCTATTTTTCTTGCGTTTCTCCTGCCATTTTCATCCTCGGTAAAGTGTCCTCTTCTTTCTACACTTAGTTTTTTGAATTTATAGGGCGTCTCTTTTTTTTCTTTTTCCACATCGTCCGGTGATCTTTCCGAAACTGTACGTTTATTATTCCTGCCACTATCTTCTCCTTGTCGTTTGCTTCACCCTTTACAATTATTTTATTGTATTGTAAACAAGCTTTAACTCCTCTTTCTGTATTTTTTTAGAGTAATCCTCATCTATCCATATGTTCGTTCCTTTCAACTCTTTAGCGTTTTTTAGGATATCCATCCTTCTGTTTCTTCCTGTTCTCTTTATATGCTCCTATTCTACTTGTGACGTCAATATCATCGCTTATTAAATTTATTCCGATATTCCTTATCAAGTTAATCACCTCATTCTCTCTCTTTTCATAACTTTCAAATCGTTCTTCTTTAATTCCCTTTATTACCACATTTTTACGCCCTACCTCTCTTCCTAGCATATCTATTATTATCTATATAAATCTATACGTTCCTCCTGTTCCACAATCTTCCCCTTAAGTTCCTCATTGTCCCTTTTGTATCCATTCGTCTCCCTTCTGGTGTCGGCTTTATATCTCTGAACATACTTTTACTTTTTTCCATATCTGACATCCTTCATCTATCCGTTCTATCAAATTCGATTTATAGAATTAAATCTTCAGATTTTATGTATGAACCCCAAAATTCCTATTACGGCCCTGTTTATGCCCCCCTAAATTCGTTGTCGTCGTCAACCGATCGGAATTGGTACTCTTATCAGTTAACGGCCCCCAGCCTGATTATATTATTCGTTGTTTTATGAAAATATACCCTGTTTACCAATGATTCCACCAGAAATCCACTTTTCCTCACTATCATTAATGATTCAAATAGCTACTGTTTGTTATTTCTGTTTTGTTGTTTGTAATAGTGCGAAGCTCTTTATTTATATGGTACCATGTTACTAATAGTTGATGCCCATATTGAAGGAATTATAAGAGAAAGACTGTTAGTATCTTATTATCGCTATACACCTCAACAAAGTGATACACAAAGTTGTATAGATGAAGTATGTAAACTTTTACGAGATACGGGTTTAACAACTAAAAAACCTAATAACTATCCTGAAGATTATTTTCGGTATTAATTAGAATTTATCGTATTTTGATTAATTAAGAATTTTCGTTTTAGTCGAATAACTTTACCATCGTCTTACGTTGATATAGTGATTGGGCGTTTACGTTCAGATGATATTTATAACCAATTAACAGTTTATCAACGTACAAAACATCGAAGTACGGCTTTATCATCACAAGCTGCAATGTTATACATCTGTTTATTTTTTTCAACAAACATTTTACACAATCAAACTGCGATAATGCGCGAAATCGTTGATAAATATTTCCCGGATAATTGGGTTATTTCAATTTACATGGGATTTACTTGCAATTTAATAGAATCCTGGGAATCTTTTAAAGCAGCAAGAACCGCTTTAAATAACACTTTAGAAGTATCAAACGTAAAATTTTTATCCGACTTACACAACAGAAAAATTCAGGAATTATACGCTTTAACATCGAAGTATTTGCAAGAAGGAATTATAACAAGAGATAATTTACTATCGATTATTAACAATATAATTAATTTATTAAAAGATTGTAACGTAGTTGTACGCTGGTTAGTTTTACACACATCGAGCGTGGATGAAAAGAATAAAAAAAGCAAACAAATTCGTGATATGGTCATCACCGAATCGAAGTGTGAAAATAATCATATTTTTAAATTATTATTACACACCGCCCAATTAGAGTTAATAACACGGGATATATTCAAAAATTTATTAAGCGAAAAAGAACAAAATTGGGAAGACCTAAAAAAAGAAAGTTACAACAGCTTAATCGAACTCTCAGAAGTTTTTGGTGGCACCAAACCTTTAACCAGAGTTGAAAAAAATCCCAGCCTAAACAAATGGTTTTTAGAAATAGCAAAACAAGTCGAATCTTTAATCCAATCTGATAATGCATCAGCAAGGAAACTAATTCAACTTATTCAAGCTTTAGAAGAAGTGCAAGAATATCACCAACTTGATGCTCACATGCAAATCGTTCAATTTTTATCAGAAACGCGTAAATATTTAAATCAAATGATCGGCAACATGAATATAAAAGAAGATATTTTAATTACAATGCAAATAATCGGGGATATAAGCTATGCATGGGAATTAATCGATTCATACACCCCAATCATGCAATCGGGCATTAAACGCGATCCTAATTTAGTAATTCAATTAAGAGCTGTTTTTTTAAAACTAGCCTCGGCGTTAGAAATCCCGTTATTACGTATTAATCAAGCTCACAGTGAAGATTTCGTTTCCGTTTCTCAGTATTTTAGCGGAGAACTTGAAATATATATGCGCAAAGTGCTTCAAATTATTCCAAGGATGATGTTTGAAAAATTAGCGAAAATCATTGAGATGCAAACGAATGTTTTAAAAGAATTACCAACTAAACTCGATAAAGATAAAATTAGGGAATATGCTCAATTAAAAGAACGCTTTGAATACGCTAAATTAACACATTCAATTTCATTATTTAGTATGGGTAAGTTATTTAAATACAGATTAAGTTTATTTTAAAGCTTATATTCAAATAGGAATGCGAATGATGAAAAGTACTTTAGTTGGTGTGATTTGTTTGGATCCAAAAAATTTATTAGACGATGGCATTCGCAAAGAACTTGTTCAACACATTTCAAAAGCGCTTCACAAGGAATTGGTGTTTTCCCCAAAAGGAAAACATGAAGATTTTTTGAGTAAATTAAAAACGTTAGCCGCTATTATGGACGGTTATAAACGCTCGTTTGAATACATCCAGGTAAATATTTCTTTTTGTTATTAATTTTTTATAAAATTATTTTGTGATTTAAGGATTATGTAAGCATAAATGGTTTAAAAACTTGGCAAGAAGAAGTTACACGCATAATTAATTACAACGTCGAGCAAGAATGTAACGGATTTTTACGAAATAAAGTCCATGCATGGGAGAGCGTGTATCAAAGTCGAATAATTCCTATACCAAGTTATTCCCCGATTGATAATGTTAGCGAAAATTTTATTGGCCGATTAGCAAGAGAAATTATTCGTCTAACAGATACAAAGTAAGTGTATTATAGAATTAAGATATGCGTTCTCAAGATGAATTTATAACCTTGGACTTGGATATAGACTTGGATTACCTTAAATATATCACAGACAAACTCATCACCACCATTACCACAGTAGAATGCCTGCATATCTCAAATGAGAGGGTAGCTAGCAATAATACCAGGTTAATTGGTAAACATATATGTTTCTTAAATAGACCTGCAAATAGTTTCTGTCGTTGATCAGAGTATCCCAGACAAGCGAAAAAGATATGGTCTAGAATCTAGATCACCCTCTTCGTCACATTCGCATAGTGGGGTATTTTAAATTCCAATTTTGAACAGATAGATGGGGCATAGCGCATGTTCTATTCGAATTCCAGATGGGGAGGTGATCCTGTAATATTATTTACACTTTAAATCATGTATGAATATTGAAAAAGGTTTTACTGTCTGTTCTTTTTCTAAATACTTGAACCACTGCCTCAGCAACTCAATCACACAGTCGATTTCAAAGAAGTTTAGTGCCTCTACCTATACTTGTGTGTGCTTCACAATTTCGGCTGCAGAACAACCTCAACTTCTAAACAACACACTCTTACTAAAAGCAATAAATTGTAGTGTCATTACAATGAACTCTCGTCCAAACTGCCTCTGCAGCTAAGCTGCTTTGGCTTCTAAACAATGAATGCATATTGAGAAAACGTTTTACTTCCTGTTTCTTACTGTGTACTTCAACTCATGTCTCGGCAGTAGAATTACATTGGCGTCTAAATAATGCGTGTATATTGCAAAAGATTTCATTTGTCAACTTGAAAACTGAAATGTAAATTTTACTTTCAACCTGTTAAATTTGCAATTCACTAAAGTTCAAGTAACCTTCAGGTGGTTACTTCTCCTATCTTCTAACACTCTGAACACATACGATTTTTCGTCCTAGTTGGTGGAATAAACGGATATCTTCGTCATGACTCCGCCATCATCATAATATATTACAACACGAGACGTATATAATGCAATGTATTTTCACGACTAACATTTAAACATATACTTCATCTAGCAAATCTGAAGTGACACTATTATGGTCAAACGTAAGCTAGCATGAAGTTTTATACGTAGGCAACGGCCATACTACAGTGAATGTACCGGTTCTCGTCTGATCACCGAAGTTAAACACTGTCGGGCGCGGTTAGTACTTAGATGGGTGACCGCTTGGGAACACCGCGTGCCGTTGCCTTCTTTTTGGTTTTTTAATAATTTAATAAATAAGAATATGTTTTACACTTTCAATCAAAATATACAGGGTAATTCAAATTCGACCCCCACCATTGGGATCTCAGAAACCATAAGAGATACAGAAATGGTTAAATGGGGGCAAAGTTGCGTATCTTAGAGGCCATCATTTTTCAACTAAGTTTTTCTATCTAGCCGTTTTAGTTTTTAAAATATGGCCGAAAAACAAAAAAATTACTTTTTCGTTTTTTGCCTATAACTCCATTATTTTTCGTTTTTTGCCTATAACTCCATTATTTTTCGTTTCTTGCCTATAACTCCATTATTTTTCGTTTTTTCATGAATCTGAAAAAACATTCTTAAGGCAACTTTTTATGAAAAATGTCGTGACACAACTAGAAATTTTCTACGACGTTTGGTTTTCTTGAAACATGGTTTCTGCGATCTCAATGGTCTGGGTCGAATTTGAATTACCCTGTAGATTTTATGTTTTTTTAATCTATTAACAGACTAGTAATCTAATACAAGCTCATGCCTACAAGAGCCGTGTTCATATCGTTGATAAAACCACTCCACTTATTAGCTTTCAATTACACCTTTCTACACATATTTGAGCTATATCCCCGTATATACAGAGTGGGTCGGGAGGAACGGATCAAACTTTAGGAGTGTATTGTACGCTTCAAAATAATGTAAAAAAACTCATGTTGATATCTGATTTTAATTTTTTTTTTTTTTTTTTCATTTTCGACAAGAGCTCTTAGTAAATGAAGCCGGAAATGTTTAGAAGTTAATGGCGATATTTTCGAACAATCATTAAAATAACGTTGATGATCAATATTTAATGTTTAAGATTTTGTTTAATTGTAGTTATGCAGTAAGAGTCATGCAATAAAAAAAAGAAAATAAAAGAAAATCGGATAAGGACATATCAGTTTTTTTACATTATATTTTAGTGTACAATACACTCCTAAAGTTTGGTCCGTTCCTCCTGACTCACCCGGTATATAATAATTCAACTGATATCATCCAAAGCCAACACTGCTTAAATGATGCAACATCCACAAAGAAAGTTCTTTTACTAATAAAAACTATTATAATATTCCTGGAACCAGTGCAAGACATCTTACTCTGTAGCAACAAAACCATCGCTCTTTCTTGTAATTTGAAGAACTTCTAGAACTTCAACAAATCAATGAATTGAACATTATAGCAGTAATTGCTACGCGAATGATTAATGTCATAGCAAAGAAGATGCGCAAACGATTTCTTTCACATTGTACAGGTGTCCAAATTTCGATGGGTTTGCAGGGTATCTCAGTTATTATGAAAGATAGAAAGTTGCGGTTTTCGCGAACCTGATCTACTTTTTTGTGAAACTTACAATGGCACAAATCAAATTTTCATAGCCCTCTTCGTTTTTGATATACAGGAAGTGTTTCAAAATTTACGATTTTCAGACACCCCTGTATCTCGGCTATCCAGTACTAACTTAGTAAAAAAGTAGAAACGGGTTCTAATAGATTTTTTCACGTAGAATCCAATGGTGCACCCTGTATATGGAAAACTACTGGCACTATTTTAATGTAAATTTGCATACAGGGTTTATCCGAGGAACGCGATTCAGCTAAAATATTTTCAGTTTTCTGCAACTTTCTGATATACAGGAAATGGACCATTACTTCGTTATTTTAAATGGAATGTCACAATAGACAACCTAAGCCTTGACGTCATAGAGATGACTCCAAACATTTTCGTTACTATACTCCGTTTTTAAACCAGGAGTATTTTAAATTTGTCACCAGATTGACCTTGCACGTGATTGGTTGAATGCGAGGAAGGTTCACACACAGGCAATTTTGAATTTTGGTTTTGAATTTGAAGGTTAGGTAATTGATAATTCGACAGTTTCGTGTCATTATTGTATATTTTGTGTTCTTAAACCCTTTTTTATTATATTTTGAAATAAATACACTCATAACTTCAATGTTAATTTGTATGTATAGTGTTGACGATAACAAACGAAAATAAATACAATAATAAGTAAATAAATAAATAATAATTATTAATTTAAATTTACCGCCAAAATATCTAGTGATATTTTCTGGTGATTTTTCCTAGTGTAAATCTGACTTTCGCGTTTACTCCTCCTGGTTTAAAAACAGAGTATAGTTCTA